CGATTTCTCTACAACAACAAATGGCAGCGCAATCAAAAGAAGCCAGAATAATCCTGGCCATCGATGCAATCCGATCCTCCAAGAAAATAAGCATACGACATGCAGCCCAGCTCTACAATGTACCATTTTCCTCCCTCCGCAATAGAATAGCGGGTGCGATGCCAGCGAAAGAATTTCGACCAAAATCACATAATTTGGATGCACTCGAAGAGAGTGTCCTTATTAAGCATATCCTAGACCTAGATGATCGAGGATTCTCTCCCCGACTCGAAGATGTAGAAGATATGGCCAACTACATCCTCGCATCATGTGGAATGCGATGCATCGGCAAGCTCTGGGTGCATCGCTTCGTGAAACGTACCCCAGAGCTAAAGACAGGCTTTTCACGTTCTTACGACTTTCAGAGGGTCCTATGCGAAGATCCGAAGCTTATCGAAGACTGGTTCCGGCTTGTGACAAATATAAAAGCTAAGTATGGCATACAAGATGGCGATACATGGAACTTTGATGAAACGGGCTTCATGATGGGTATCATCTGCAGCTGTATAGTTGTAACTCGGTCTGATCGGAAGGGCAAAGGCAAGAAAGTACAGCCAGGTAACCGGGAATGGGCTACAGCAATTACTTGCATCAATGGGGAGGGTCGTGACATCCCTCTATTCCTGGTTGTTCAAGGCTCATACCATCTCGCCAATTGGTATACCGAGGGTGGTCTACCAGGCTCCTAGGTAATCAAACCCACAGAAAATGGGTGGACGAACAATGAGACTAGCTTGGAATGGATTAAACATTTCGACAAACATACCAGAAGTTCGACAAAAGGTGCATACCGGTTGTTAGTGCTAGACGGACACGAGAGCCATAGGTCGGCTGAGTTTGAGGCTTATTGCAAAGCTCATAACATTGTAACTATCAGTCTCCCTCCGCACTCATCTCATCTAACCCAGCCACTCGACGTTGGATGTTTTAGTGTCTTGAAGCGCTTTTATGGTCATGAGATTGATGTGTTTGTCAAATCTCATATCAACCATATCACCAAGGTCGAGTTCTTCTTGGCCTTCTACAACACCTATATCAAGACTATGACAGCAGAAAACATCATGGCTGGGTTCCGCGGGGCTGGTTTAATCCCCCATAATCCTCAGGCGGTCCTGTCGAAGCTAGATGTCAAGTTACGGACACCTACACCCCCCAGAACGCCTTCGGCAGATGCCGACCCTTGGGTCTCCCAGACACCACATAACCCCACAGAAGCTCTCTTATAGACCGACCATGTGAAGTTGAGGATCACCAGTCATCAAGGAAGCTCACCGACTCCGATTTTTAATGCAGTTGGTCAAATGGCCAAGGGTATGGAGGTATTAGCGCATACGGTCACCCTCTTGACTGCAGAGAACAAGACCCTTCGGAAGGCAAATGAGGCACTAAGCAAGCGTCGGATGGCAAAAAAGACACGTCTCCGGCAAGGGGAAGCACTCAGTGTAGATGATGGGCAGGATATAGTAGCTCAGAAAGATGCGGAGGCTGTGGTAAAGGCAGATAGGTACTCTCGGGGTGGTGGTGGAGGATCGGGTCAGCCAACTTCACGACGATGTGGCAACTGCGGAGAAGCCGGACATAATGTGCGAACATGCCAGGCTGATGCAAAGATATCTGATAAGTCTATAGATGAGCCCTGTTAATTTATTGAGGCATTGTGGTTGAGTAATTGAAGTTGGGAGGTGTGGTGGTGGGGAAAAGTGATCCGAGTACTGATATGATCCGAGTGCTGATAAACCACGTTATAACATACAGATATAAAGAAATTCCGTTTTCTCTATCCTGAGGTGACGTCTTTACCAACATGTTCTTGAATTAAACGCTCGTCCATCTAAACCTCTTTCTTCGGCACCCCGCCGGGTAACGTAGCCACCTTCTCGTTGAAGAGCTTCTCAGCGCCCTGCCACACGGGAGTGGTGGCCCGATCCTTCAGCGCCAGCAAGCTGGGCAAGAGGTTATCGGAGAAGTTCTCTGACGCTTCACGCGGCAGAGCAGACGGGAGGTGATCGATGGAAATGACAGAGAGCTTGGGGCCATTGCCCTCAACTGGTACATCAACCGTGGGTTTGTCGAAAGTGGTGTTGATGTTGTACACAGGGATGGGGTTGTGAGGATTCGTCGTATCGCAGCTAACGTCGCAGATAACGCTCAACCTGCGGTTCGGCGCCTTGAGGCTCTCCGCGTTGACGAAAGGAGGGATGGGCTTCGAGAGGTAGATACAATTTACGAAGATGTCCGACTCGACAATCTCAGGGTACGGGCCGGGACGCTCCGAAGTCTCGGCAAGATCCCACTTCTTAATATCTGAGCAGCCGATCTTCTCGAGGAGGTCAACGGCGCCGGAGCCGCAGCGTCCCAGAGCGCCGAGGACGAGACTGCTCGGGCGGCGGCCGGCCACCTTCTCGCCCTCTGCGACGTCTTGCTTGAGTTGTTCGATCAGTTCGGCTTCGTTGTTGTAGTAGCCGCGTCCTTCGGTGAAATTCTCGATGCCAGGGAGGGGCTCGTCGGCGTGTGTTAATTGCCATGCCCAGGTCTACGAATGAATTAGGCTTAGATTCCCAGTCATGATTCTCTTCATGGCTCACCTTGATGGCTAGAGCAGCTCCAACGAAACCAGCATGGTAGCCAAAAGCAGCTACTCTCCGTCCCGTAGAATCCTGGAGGAACTCAAGATCGTACAGAACGCCCCCACCCCTCGGAAACCGTGCCAAAACCTGCTCCCACCCGCCTTGTTGCTTATAACAGTGTGCGAAGTGAACGAACGTGTGTTTGAGAGGAGTATCAGCCTCCGGCAGCTCCTTCAATCCGATAATAATGTGATCGGTAGGTGCAGTGTCCCAGGAGCCCTCGTCCACGAGCTTTGCGCCGACCTGCTCGAATTCCTCATCCTTAAAGATACGAGAGAAATTGGGATCCGTTGAGCTGCGCTCTACAACGACCGGGTACCCAGCATCCAGCAACTTCTTAGCGGTGGTGGGAGTGAGGCATGAGCGGTGCTCGTAAAGCTTTGCTTCTGCGCGGGCATGGAGGGTCGGGTACGCCATAATCTGAGTTCAGAACTGAGATTCAAATGATTGACGTAGTGAAGGAGTCAGAGAAACAAAAAAGTCAGAGGGAAGAAAGGTGTTAATGGCGGCGTTTGGCGTTAGTATTCTATCCTGACGGCAAAGAGTCATATAGTATAACTGCTTTTTCTGCCGGGCGGTGAAACCCCGCGGTACCTGACGAACTCTTGCCGGTCCCTTGTCACTTTGCCAAGCCGGGCGCCGAGTTTCTCCGTGGAGTGGGAACGCCATCTGACCTCATAAGCAAGCATTTTCCCTTGGCCAGCAGATTGTGATTTTTCACTACGCCATATCCTCCTCCGCCGCCTATCCGGACGAGTTTTAGGCGTTCATGATGCTTCGTCGCCCTCCCCTACTGAATTTGTGCCGTATTTTCAGAACCTATGCCACCAAAGATGGACACACCGAGAGATACGCCGTCGACCTCGGCTGAACGACCCTCTCATAATCGCCGGTCCTCGAGACAACACAATCAACATGTTCCCGTGAATCCAAGCCAGCTAAGGGAAGTCTATGTTCCTTTTGAAGGGTCTGAAAACAACACGCACCCGTCAACGACGCAGCAAGTGCAGTCCAATCCAGGCCCGTCAACGGGCTTGGAATTCTGCAATGATGGTATCCACCCTGCAGATGACCATGCCTCAGTGCATGCTGGAGATGAAGAGGTGCCTACTGGCCAGCCTCGGGGTATATTCGAGTCCGATCTGGAGCCCACAGCCCGCACAAGGCTGCTTAACCAACAGAACTGGGATGCCGGTTCCTGCTGTGGAAGTGAACAGTGCAACCATGGAGCCATGTCGCCCCGCCCTTGGTCCGTGAGGAGTTATGGCACTATCAACTCCAATATGTCGCGTAATGTCTTTGAAAGTCCATATCCCGGTGGATCTGGTGCAGGCAGCGATCCAGGTCAAGGGCTGCTGGGATATACCGGTGTGGACGGTCTCTTGAGAGGTGGAAAAGCCAACAAGAGGAAGACAACGAGATATCTCGCGGAGCGGCACGGTATCAAGAATCAAAACATGATGTAAGAGACAAAGCAACTTTAGCACCCATGCAGAAAGCTAACTCCCTTCAGGTATCTGGCCTATTATGTGCCAGTGCTCAACTGGGTTCAGCAATACAAATGGCGATACATTACCGGCGACTTGGTCGCTGCGATCAGCATGGCCTCGTTCTATATTCCTATGTGCCTTTCGTACGCCTCGAATCTTGCGCATCTACCTCCCATCCACGGACTGTACTCGTTCGCGATCAACCCTCTGATATACGCTATACTTGGTTCCTGCCCTCAGATGGTTGTGGGACCAGAGGCCCCTGGATCTCTCCTAGTAGGCGAAGTGGTCCGAGAGGCTATCAAAAAGGGAACTAGCGGCGATGACGATGGCATCCTCCAGGCGGAGATTGCTGGTATTGTTACCTGCATGGCGGGCACTTTCATATTCATTGCGGGCCTTTTCCGCCTAGGCTTCCTCGATAATGTGCTGAGTAGGCCATTTCTACGTGGTTTTATTAGTGCCATTGGCGTGGTTATCTTCGTGGATCAGCTGATACCCGAGATGGGTCTTGCAAAACTTGCTCGCGATCAGGTATCGCATGGAAGTTGCCTGGATAAGATCGTCTTTCTCGTTCGCAATGTTGGCAACGCTCATAAGCTTACAACTGCTGTATCTTTTGGAGCATTTGCCATTATTATGTTTTTCCGGTATGTGAAGCCGCACCCTTCCTTTGAGCCAGTGCTAACTCTTTACAGTGAAGTGAAGAAGCGATTGCAATCCCGTTATCCTAGCGTCGCATATATACCGGATCGATTTGTCGTCGTCGTTCTTGCTGGATATTTGGCATGGCACTTCGGTTGGGAAGAGCGAGGTCTCTCGGTTCTAGGCGATGTCAAATCTACTGGCAACGTCTTCGCCATTCATTTTCCATTCGATCCCCCTCACCTCAAGTACGCAGGCGACGCCGTCAATACCGCTTTGATCATAGCTCTACTCGGCTTTTTTGAATCATCTGTTGCTGCCAAATCGTTAGGTACCGGGGATCGCTCCAAGGACGGAATACAGCAACAAATCAGTCCAAATAGGGAGCTCATTGCACTCGGCACCGCTAATATTACTGGTGGTCTTTTTATGGCCCTTCCCGCTTTCGGCGGCTACGGGCGCTCAAAAGTCAACAAGTCAACGGGCGGCATGACGCCTATGAGCTCTGTCTTCCTATCCTTGATCACGATCCTGTGCATCTTCTTCCTCCTTCCATACTTCTACCATCTTCCGAAGGGCGTGCTCTGCGCCATGGTGTCGGTAGTAGCATACTCTCTGGTCGAAGAGGCACCGCACGACATCAAGTTCTTCTGGAAAATTAAGGGATGGTCCGAGTTATCCTTGATGTTCCTCATCTTTTTCGTGACCATTTTCTGGGACCTGAAGCGAGGGATTGCCGTAGGCATAGGACTCAGTATACTACGCCTGATTCGCCATTCTACCAGGCCTCGCATCCAGATCCTAGGACGTGTCCCCGGGACTACAGATAGATTCACAAACGCCGAGCTGGATCCTGCAAGCGTCGAGTTCATCGAGGGTTGCCTCATCGTCAAGATCCCAGAACCTCTGACTTTCGCCAACACTGGGGAATTAAAAACCAGGCTCAAGCGGCTGGAGGACCACGGCACCAGCGTAGCACACCCCGCTCTACCGCGTGTTCGACGCGAAGAGCACAACAAGAACATTATCTTCGACGTTCACGGCGTGACGAGTCTCGACGGCGCGGGAACCCAAGTCCTCAGCGAGATCGTGGAGAACTACAGACGCCGGGGTGTTAATGTCTTCTTTTGTCGTATCCCGAGCGACAGATCACCTGTCTGGAAACTCTTTGAGGCGAGCGGGATCGTGGAGGCTTGTGGTGGCAGGAGACATTTTGTGAGTTCCGTGGAGGAGGCTTTGAGGATGACGGAGTTGGAGAGGTTGACAGAGGAGTTGGGAGGCGCGCGGCGTGAGGTGGTCGAGTCGCCGCATGCTATCTGAATGCGAGCGGGAATGCGAGGGATTCTATAGTCGACTCTGAATCACCATTATTGATTATGGAATATGGTTATATGCTCTTGTCTAAAGCTATGTGTTGACTACATCACGCTGTCACCTTGAATAACCATGCCATCACCATCCCAACTTTGTCACCACATTAGACTCATTCCATACTCAAACCTTCACATACAACCATAGCAAGAGTGAAGTTGGGTCTCTCGTCCGATCGGCCATACACAAGCCTCTTAGCGCCCGTTGAGTAGTATCGTAGGTGACTAGGTGCGAATAGCGTGGTGTTGTATGTTTTTGGATATCTTTTTGCCTCATACTCCCGCCGCCGCGGAAGGAAGGCAGAGGAGATTGTACATATTGAGGAAGGGAAGTGGTCGAAGCGGATATTGATTGCGGAAATTTCGATATGTTTTGTTGGGGATTGGATTCATCTGTTTCTGCATCGTGAACCTCATGGTCCTGGAAAAGGGGCGCTGATTAGATGCATCTAGGCTTCGGAACGTCGACTTTGTATCTTGCACTTAGGTGCGAACCTTAGTAGTAGCTTTTTTCGGATACCGTGGATTCTGTGCGCAGAGGGAATGGTGTTTACCATACCCTCTTCGGCGACAGTGGACAGCAACGCATGTAGGCTTTCCCTGCACAGCATAAATAAGCTCTCTCTTCATTTCCCAATACAGCAAGCACTAACAAACTTACGAAGCAAGAATATGAATCCGTCCCATCTTCGCTACAGTCAAAACTTCGAAGGTCGAGTGCATTTACTGTTCTACATCCACTACCTAGCCTAAACACCCCCCACGTTATCTACCCTCCATGATACAAAATTCATCACCCGACGCGCTACGCAACCGCAAGCAATGCATGAGCACCGTATCCGTCCCTAAAACAGTTTCATTACTTCCGATCTTCGCGCCGTTACTGATGCTACGGAGTGAGTGTGAGGGACTTGGAATAATGCAGGATGCAGGGGAAACAGACTTGCACGATAGTTGTGCTGTTTGAGGTTTTCGTATAGATCAAAGTGCGCCTTGGTAGGAGGATCTAGGAGGATCGTGTTCATTGTTCCTCAAGCGGGGGTGGGTAGGACTGAGCGTCGGACGTTGTCGGGGTTCACCCATGGGGACTCTGCTGGATTACTGAAGGGTAAACACGGTGAAGGAGCAGTTGAGGACATTGTGACGGTAACATTTGACCGTTTTCGTGAATCTGGTGTCTTCTGCGAGTGACTGCACGAGCTTTAGGCTCCGCATGTAAGTGATGCGCCTTGCAGCACGAGGTAGATAAAAAGTTGCATGAACTTGGACAAATAACCCTACAGTCATTTGGAAGCTTGTGATAAGTTGAAATGGAGAGATGTATTAACAACAGAACTTGGGTTGGCCAGTGTCAGTGAGGGCTACGGGACAAGAATAAGCGCACAATTACTACGATTCTCCCTATCCTTTCATTAAACTGCGCAGTCACCATAGGTGTTTCGTAGTTTGAATTGATAAAACCCGACCTAGGGCGCGGTGAAGGATGAGAGACGAGTTTCCGCAGTAACTCTCGCCTTTGGGCTACCTCTCTAAGATCACACGTACACTTGTTACTAAGCGTATAGACCGCAATGTTTTAGCCATCCTCCCCTGGTGTCGGAATGCGTCCACGGGTAAATTATAGAGCAGTCCCTCTGTTGTGGAGGAGTCACTCAAGGCGACCACCGCCCATGTGCTTCTACCTCGCACCAACACGTTTTCTGTCCCAGCGCGTCTCAAGGAGATAGCTGTGCAGCCATGCCCTAGCCAACTTGACTGAGCCTTTCCTGCACGGTACCGGCCTCTCTTCCTGAAACTTCCTCGCAGGTAACTTCTAGAAAATGTTCCATGCAGCGTCTAGGATGCTGGTTACATTGTCGTGTTCTTATTTACTTCGTACCTGCCTTAAACGGCATCTACTGCGTGCATCATGCAGGTACGGTGACCGAAGCATGGCAAGGTGAGACCAGAGCGACCGAGCGTGACATCCCGGCCAAGCATCCAACAGATCGCTCTGCAGGATGGCCGAGTAAGATTATAATCCCGAGTCTGTGGATCAGAATCTGGTCTCGCAAACGGTCGCAGATATATGAATGGCATACGAGAAGTTGAGCTGCTGGGCCGGTCGGGGGTGGCGGTTGAATGATCGAGTTTCTGATCAAGTCTGAGCAATAGACTGGCTGTTTGGTCGTTCGGGGACCAAGAGCCCGCATAGGTGAGCATAACCTGGCTCGCGTTTACGAGGGGCTGAATACACACGTAGCGGGATGATTGTATTTGTTAGTAGTGACGTTCGAGAGCCGCGTATACGGGACTTGATGCCGGTATAATGCTGGACGAGTTTGCTGGAGATGGATGATTCTGCGCGGCGCCCGAGAATTACGAAGAGCCAGTTCGGCGTAAACGCGCGCGAAATTGCTTACGAAACGTGATCCGATAGAGTATGTCAATTGGAAGATTCCTGCGTTGAAGGAGCTATTCATCGTTTGTTCGCACGTTCCAGACGCATAACATACTTGTAGGATCGTGGTTCGAATCCTTTGATCCTTCGCCCGACGATAGCTAATCTCGGTGCGTACTCCCGTTCGCTGGACGTTGAGGATCCACAGGATTTTAGCTCTTGCCTTTCTGATCTCCTGCTCGATCTGTGGGAATCAGAACTTTATAGGCGATAGAGCCGACGGTTGAACGATAGGCTTTCTACTTTGGGCATTCCCGAATCCTACCTGCACGGGCATGGGGCACTTTTGAAGCCAGGAGTCTGAGACCTTCATGTCACGAAAACAACTCTCGGAAATCACTGAGCCCAAAACGGTTTTCTGTGAATGCCTGCTTCTAGCACGTCTGAATTCACAAGCGTTGCCGAGGTAGGGCTGTTCACTCCTTGGCGGTATGTAATTTGCTCCTTCTGGAGCTTCCAACTTCATTAATTTACCCCAGCATCTCTACTATGTAAAGCAAATTATCTTTCGACGTGGAAAGCAAATTTGCCATGGCCCAGAGTCTGTCCCCGAGCATCTCGTTCTCGGAACAGCATACTCCGGTTTGATGCTTCGGTGTCTGCGAGAGTAACGTGTGCTTGTGTGCTACTTGGGGGCCAGATTTCTGCACATTGGGAACTGGTCTATGTAGATGTAATATGGTATTTGCTCTTTGACTGTGTTGTAGTTTGATACGGCTAAGGCTGGACTACGAGGTTTACGCGCTACCTTGTACTTTGTAGGATACTAGGTGCATTCTGGTAAAGCGGCGGAGGGCATTGGAACTTTTCTATAATTTCCTGAACCCTCAAAGAAATGCGTTCATTAGATGGATAAACGTTGAAGGAACACATCTACTTAGCGGGACAAGTCAGTCTGGTCTGTCCAGTGTGCAATAAATGCATGGACTTAAGCTGCTACATTGATCACTGAAATTGGGAAATGCTGGAGGGATCATTATACTTCTGATCACATGTTAAAATGTCCTCTGATTTTCTCGATCTGCCACAAGGTCATGGGTTGGTTGGTATGTCACAAGTGGCCTCTGACTGGTCGATCCTCCCGAGCGATCCTGCTACTACACAGCATGTATTAAGATTGAGCAGCTATCCTTTAGGAGTAACGTCTCCCCCACGTTTATATGAAGAAAGGTTGAAATGCATCCTCCCGACACTGACATCCCTTTGTTCCAACAGTTGCAACACAGCCACGCATGACATCCACACTACCACCCATTCGGTCTCGCCCTCCCCTCACAAAGCTGCAAGGTACAAAGACAACTAGCAACAAAGCCTTGCGGTCCAGTCGATAATCGATCCAACTACCCCGTGCATATACAGCGGCGATCTTCAAACATGGCCAACGCAAGGCCATTTGTGGGCCCATCCCCCCGGCGTCCCCGATCCCAACACCAGCACGGGTACCTGCCGATACCTGCCGCCAGATGTTACCGCAGTACAAGTTTCAAGCAGCGGTTCCAAGAATCTGTTCGAGGTGGCGCCTTGCCCGTCTGAAGGCTTTCTCCAAGGCTGCACTGTCTCAGTGTTTCGACGCCCGAGGAACAATGTTTTGTAATTTGTTGTCAGGCGGTGCGGAACGCGCAACCAGTGGAGGATTGTGATAGTCGGCGGCTCTTTGTGCCCGAAAGCTAGAGCTACATCTTGATCTGGATGGAAGCTTGCTTCTTGCATCCTTTGGTGTACCTGAGAGGCACGGACGTCTTTCACGTTACAGTGACGTCCCCGAGCCCCTCTCCAACACTGCGAAGAGAATCCGCCAGAACTCAAGAGGAAAGATCCGCAAGCGAAACGTGGATAAAGCAAGGAATCTTCTAAAAGCCGACGGATCTGCGATCTAGAGGCGCACGAGAGTGCGTGCTTGATGGTCAGATTTCGCAGACTCGATTCTGAGGAAGGATCAGAAACATATGGCCTAACGCCCGAATATCAGCTTAATAACAACCCCAAACAGGAACATTTAGCAACCTTTCCATTAACTCCCGTCATTGGCGCTTACGTCTGCCGCACGGAACCCATTCACATGTCACCTATCGAACGGAGTGCAAAAATCGGTTCCTCCAGCCTCCAGTATCAAGTCGATGGACTTCAACACGACCCAGCTCTTCCGCAAGACGAATCCGCTCCAAGAACACAACTGCCGCCCTCTTAAGCTTAAGGGGGCCGGCCCGAAGCGCAAATGCTATTGCAAGCGCTGTGTCTGCTTCAGTGCCGCATCTCTGCCTTGACTTGTTGAACCGCGCCGCACGCCTCCGCCCCATTCTTCAAGACGCCTGAGCAGCGACAGTTGGCGAGACAGGACGAGGGGGACTGAACGAATATTGGCCCGGTCGGTAAGGCTGTATACGTATGTTTGAAACCGGCGAAGGTCATTGGGCGAAGATTCCACATATGTTCTGTACAGCTCTTGAGGAAGGACAGTGAGGCCAAAGCGGGAAGGGTACGCAACAGATATTTTCTTCATAGTTACCGCATGGAACCGCATGGAACTGTTTCACAAGATGTACTCGGGTATGCGCAGCCGCGTGCTGCGCGCTGGGGCGAGTCTGACATCTGCGGTTCAGAGGCTGGGGCGCATCTATGTGATGCAACTTTTGAGGACGAGGCTGCGGATGTGGGACAGACTCGGTGACGATCGGTTTCTGTACGGGGCTTGGGCTTGGGAGAAACGCAGGTCCCAGGTTATTGTCTGGCAACATATGTTTGATTGTTGTCCTTGCTGCCTCCCCTTGCAAGGGAACAGTATCTTGTGTATTGTCTTCCTCGAATGTGCTCGGTATGCCTTGAGACAGAGCATATGCAAAACGACAGCCCTCGTTGTCGAAGTCCACATCCTACCTCGATCCCCAAGGTCCAAGTCCGACGCCCCACCCCCATCCTCTCCTCCCTCGCCCTCCCTGCCCTATCCCACCTCATGATCCACAAACCACACCCTGTTCCCCCTCCCTCCCTCCCTCCCGTGCCACACGCCCCTCCCCTCGCCCCAAGCGCCGGGACCCCGGCCGGCAGCACCCACATGCATCCCCTCGTGCCGCACGGACCGAGCCACCGTAACCTAACCACCCACTAACCAATACCAATCCGGAGCTTAATCAGAGAGAGCGTGGCAAGGCAGGGGTCAACGGGATGAACCCTCGGGGAGGCATCGACACAATACCGGGATTCGACGGGCTGTATTTAGCAATGCTGATTCGGGGCACCAGGTCCCGGAATCTGTGTTGGTGATGGTGAGTGAATGTGAGTTCTGCGTGTGGTTGTTGTTCTAGGTGTGGGCGGGGGACGAGATGGGGATTGCGAGGGTTGGGGGAGGATGGGGAATATGGGGGCGGTGTTTGAGTTTGTCAGAGTAGGGCGATTTGTGGGAACATACCTGTCTCTGTGATGCTCGTAGCCGCAGGTACGGGAAGAGAGGGCTTTACTCTGCAAACTGCATGTGTGCCAGTGGAGAAGCTTCAGCGCCTACCCTAGGGTAGCAGGCAAGGCTCTCGGCCCTACGCTGCCAATCCGAGGAACCCTCTGTTCTACGCGCTGTAACTGTTGAGTGAGATATAATCGACCTCTCGCGAAAGACGGCAACCTTCGTCTTAGTCACTTTTGCCTTAACAGTAACAACAGCAGCACTGCGACAGTGACTGCTCAGAACACCAACCGCTTCCTTGATAACTAACAACTAAGCACAAGGCTTCAATCTCCCTTCACCCTGCTCAGGTACATTAAACTTACTTCACCACCGTATACGCAGGACCGAGCCGAGAAAGCAACACGATTCAAACCCACTTTTCCGCATCCCAGCAGCTCCATCATCAGAACCCGCAAAAGGCCACATATCTGAATTCCACATACCCCATGATCGCGTTCAAAGCGATCCCCCCTCCCCTCCTTGCCCTACAGAACTGGTGGCTAAACAGCCAGAAAAGTGGCTTGCGTCGAAGCCGTATAGAAACTCGGCTTGCACCCGCCCACCACCACCACAACTGCGCGACGCCCAACATAGACACACTACATCTCGCGAGCAACAAAAAGGCGCCGACCCGCATCGCCGAAAGTCGTACCCGAAAGGCAAGGCTTGCAGAACTGCCCCTCCTCACTTACGCAATCCACACTGGGGTCCAGTTACGATTCCCAAGGGTTTTCACGACTCCACCTACCTAGGCTGCTTGCCCCACACCCACAAAAATCGCGGGTCGCGGGTCGCGGATGGCATCTCCAACCTAGCTAGCTTCTTTCTTCTACTGCATATCTGCACGTGGTCGTACGTATATATTCCAACAATAGAGCCAGCCCGAACGCACGCCTCGTGAATCATGCGAAGCTGGACCTTGTATCGAACCATCGTATGCCCCAGTGCTGGTCCCTGAGCTGGGGATTGCCACCCTCAGAGCTCGCGTTGCATACAGAAAAATTAGATCGATGGACTAGAGACTGGGCGCGAGCACGACTGGATGGATGATCGCTCGTGTCCCCTCATGCTTGCCCGCCTGCCAGCCATGCAATGCGGAACCAGGCAGCGGTGAGCAAACACGCAGCTCGCTCGCCAGCGCACATGGCGAGAGAAACCGGGAAAGGCGAGGATGCGAAAGGATCATATTTAGCACGATCGGAGGACGAGCACGTAGGGCTTTGTAGATGCATAGACTGGGAATGTTGGGATTATTGTCTTCGATGCTGTTTTTGCATCTTTCGCCATCTGAAGGTTATCGTATCCGATACCGGCGTAATGGGAACCTTGATATTGCAAATACGGGAAGAAGGAGGAGCTAGTAATGCAGTAAAGGAAAGTCGTAGACTACAAGAGACATATTCTAGAATATGCGTAGACATTTCCAGTGTGCTAATATTACAACATCCGCAGGCCATACGCAACACTGCGGAGAGCCATCTAGCAAACATAGCAGGTATTGGAGGGTATGGAAACTGCCGTTATCGCACTTCGAGGATACGAAACTAGATAAAGAAGGATGACATGAAGATCGCAGGCAAGAGTAAAGAGTAGGCTAATGACCTTTACCCTCCCAACTAGAAGTCCCAGCCGACGCAAGTCGGTCAAAGCAACCAAAGCGCTGGCCTGTCTTCTTTCCGCATGCCAGTAAACAGGTTTGGACCGGCAGCTTCGTTGGGTGATGAGCGAACATCGGCTGGTATATGTTCATTGCAGAGGTTGAATCTGTCTCATGTCGCAGCTAGCGCTAACGTAGTATACAGAGCGAATACGGGTGAGGATAAACGCCATGCGTCAAATTCAGGCAAGCATTGATGGCAAAGGAATTTCCGGATAAGCTGTTGAGACCATACGTTTGCCGCAGTGAGCTGAGTTCAACATGGTCGAGGTTGTGAAGGTACTGAGTGATGTGGTATGTGGACCAACGAAGGTGGTACGCGCCATAGTCGACTCCGGACCGTGTATTTGGAATGCTTATTGTCCATCGCAGACATTGTAGGCGAAACAAATGCGAGCAGAATACAAAGTAGGGTCTACGTCGGGCGGGTGCGGAAGTCTGCAGGAAGTGCGTCGCATTCTGTCGGTAATCAATTGGCAGGTGGCGTTACAGTCAAGCTGGGGTGGACCATGAGCCTGGATTTGATCTCTGGTACTCCATAGCCTCCCTCAAGAGGTTCGGGCCGGTCGTCAAGACATGGCAGCGGAACGTGGCCACAGCCCGACGATCGAAAGCGTCCTCAGATCAGGGTTCATGATCGTGTAGTTTAGCCCATGAGGCGTCTATCATGCACCAGTCAATGATCTTGGAATGCAGGCGTGGGAAGAATCGTGGGCAATACGTACACACTGAAGCGACCTGCCAAATCCAAAACCAACAGCTATGTAACGTCATGATCTCGGTGATATTGTTTGGGAATGTTGGTTTATCCAGTACACTATCTCCAAAGGAGTAAAGTGAAGCACACTGACCATCAGTGTTGTTGGATTCAGGCTTGGCAACTCGACTTGGTTAGAGTCGGCGATTTCTTCTGTCGGCTTATGGACTGTTGGACGCTTGAGGAGTGAGACTGAAAGCATGGGTGCAGAGGACAGAACCGGTAGACATTTCTCATGATACGAATAACACAGAAACTTAGAAATTACACTGACGCGAAAAGACGTGCGTATGATGAAAGAAAATGCGCTTCATTTGGGCATCAACAGAAGTCATCAATATTCCTTCATGCATCGGACAGCTCCGAGAAAACGAGATGATCGAGAATGTTTAAAACGATGACGAGCCTTTCAGAGGACGGTCAGCAGAAGTAAACACACTGGTGGGAAAGTACATACGTGCGGACGTCATAGCACCATCCCACTCCGTTGGGACCATTGGTAAGTTCTTGATGCTGTCAAGGTACGGAGTTGAGGTTACCGGTGTCGAATTGAACCCATCATGCTGTGGTTCCTGAAAACAAGGCCATTCGTCTTGCGTTTCATGCGGAGACTCTGATTCTTGTACAGAGCACTCACTCAAGGATAAAGACGGCACAGCTCGCGAGTGAGGCGGCTGTGAGGGAGAGACGGATGTGATTGGCGTTGGCCAGATGGTAGCAGTTTCGGGCGAGTCGGACACTGCGGAGAGATACTGGGGCGTTGGCGGTACTGGCGCGGGTTGTGCTGTGTAGTGCGGCCTCCACACGCGCATGCTGGTATCCAGTGGCAAAAGCCCTGAGCCATCACCTTCAAATCCGAGCCCAATAGGTATCTGTTCTGGTTGAGGCCAGCATTGGTTGCTTGCATACTGTTCGAAACTATCCGATACAGGTAGAGGACCGACATAGGCGAACGTCTCTGGTGTGCGTGGCGTCAGCCGGCTTGGTTGTGCGTATTGCTTCTCCATGGGGTGTGCTGTAAAGTGGGCACTATTTGATTCTGAACCGGCGGAAAAGGGATAAGGACCATCAATAATCTGCGGAGAGTAGGTTTGGAGCGGGCTAAGCATTTGTAGTGTGGTAAAGTCTGGCGTATGCTGGCCCACCTTGACCGCAGCATGGAAATCCATCTGTGAGACGGCACGCACAAGTTGGTGCCTGTGCCTGCTTGACGGGTTACTACGTGGCAAAGTATGCCGGCCGAGCATTGGCATGCTGTTGGAAGAAGGGAGCCTCTTCGGGGAGACAGCATGCTTCTTTGCACTTCTGTAGCTGCTGTCCGAAGTACGGCGCGTGGAGCGGGGCTCACACACAAGGCCTTTTGCTGTGCAACGGGAGCATGATGGAACCTTGATCGCGATGAGCATGTTGACCTAGATACGGGAAACAGGGTCAACCTACAGCTTTGTCGCACTTGGTCTTCGCTCTGGCACAGATTGTGCAAGCAATTGGTCTTCTGTGGGACATTTTGGCGTAAGGATTCGGCTTTGTGTACGTGTTCCCTTGAGGTAGCTGAGTTACGGTCTCTGCCTTGGGAAGGTGGTTCATTGGTAGGCACAACGAGCCGACGGCGGGGGAGGCAGAGAGAGTTCCCATAGAAGAGGCACTGCTGGCAGAGGGCAATAGAAAGACGAACCCAGGTAATAGATAAGGCTGTGTGAGAGGTGTACTCTGAAGTTGGAGAATCGAAGGACTATAGAGGCTCTAAACAAGTGAGGCCTCCAAGGAAGGAAACTTACGTGGGATATACTATATGTTGCCCCAGTAGAGATGCTCAGATGTCGGGGACTTGGCCTCACCCTAGGGCTCTTCAACGGTTGCCCCATGCAGGATTCGAATCAGCCCCTTCCCGCCAATCGAATCAGTTTTGAATGTTACTCTTCCCATACTTGGCTGAGCTCCTTCCGAGATGGTTCGGCCTGCGTGGGAGGTAGCAACACCCATTCTCAGGGTCTTCAAACATGGGCTCAAGCGCCTACTCTTGCCATGCGCCCGCAGTCTGCAGATACAAGGGGTTCCCGCCATCGTGGGTAAACTTGAGCAGCAATAGATGCATTTCCTGTTTCAGCTGAGCAATGGAGGCAAGGGTTGTCCTGCATGGCTGACCAGGCCAGGGTAGCACGGTTGTCGAGGGTGAATGATCTGAGGGGCCTACCCGGATGGCGATGGCAGCAGTGGGACACTTCACAAGGTGTGGCTTGAGCTTGGGGACTATCGGACAGCATTGTCCCAACTGCAGTACGTGCGAGAGACTCGATCCCATTGCGCACCCTATTGTAGCGGATAGATAGAGGTGATGCGTCGAGCGGACGGAACGCTCAAAGGTCTGTGAACAGCCACAATCGACAAAGGGCGTCTAACGAGAGTGGCAATGAGCTGTGCCCGTTCTCTGCTCTGCGCAACCAGAAAATGGGGTAACCGCCAGCGAGTAGACGTCGAAGATTGGGACCTAGGTTTTGGCCGGGGTGAACGTGGGGCAGGGAACGGGGGCTGCAGAGGGCGGAAGGGGTACAAGTGACGGCGGGCCAATATAGGGAGCATGGAGCGTGAAGGACGAATTGGTCCTGTCTGAGTGGTCTTGGAACGTCGGGTTCGGCGCGGCGAAACGGCATGCTCAAACAGGCCAGGCGTTCTGGTGCAGCCTCGCCGCGAGAGACATTTGTCGTCGGCTCAGCCTGAGGAGACCGCAGCTCTGCCCGGTTCCTGCTGGTAAGAGGCAAATCCACTCCCTTTGGGCGACTGCGCTTTTGTTGGGCGTTCTTATAGGGCGCAAATTAGCCCCATAGACTGTGTACTTCCTGGTTCGTCAATATTACCCGAGCAAAATCGCTGCATTTGTATAAGGTACATTTAAGTCGAAAATTAGCATCCGATCGGGAAAAGAGGCGATCGCTTGTCGTCTGCGGTGGGCCATGATGTTCCAGTGCCGAACTCCCCCAGATGACGCGATAAATCCAAGTTGCTTGTTACTAGGTTCGCATGTTGGTCCTCGCGACGTCTTCAACGTTCGCTTGTGACTGAGATAGCTTAAGGGGTATTCGTAGACCATTGCGAGTGTTCAGTAATTGGTATGGCTGTCCAAACCAATGAACCGACCTCCTTTCCCCACGTTCTCTTTCTCACATCCCAAGGTGGAAGTCAGCAAATCTTCGACACGTCTTCTTGACCAGTCTCTTGAGGCGATGGTTTCGTTGGCGACAAGCTATCCCCACGGAAATGCAGTGTAATTCTTTGGCAAGAAAGCCTGATAGGGGACATATAGGTGTCAAAGTAGATTAGTCCTTCAACGGTCGCTTCCGGAACTTGAAGCTGTTGCATTCAGGGTGTCCACTGTAGCAGAAAAGTATGCGCAGCAAGCGATGGCACCAGGGAACCGCATACACAATCCCAGAGAAGAGAAAACGATCAGACATCCACGTGGGAAGCGGTTCACAGGTATCCTAGTAGGATTCTGGCCTGAAACTGGGTCGTAGGTTGATGATCACAGCCACTTAAGCTTCAACGTCTGACAAGTCTAAAGTTGTCAAGGGCGAAAGCTAAGCCTTGCCAGCATGGGGCCAGAATGTTGTGGAAGCAGACCGCTTGAAGGTAGAGTTGAATGCAACATGTTTGATATGGTCGCGCATGGATTTGTTGGTAGAACTCTGAACTGGGAAGGATGCTGTTTCTCCTAGAGCCATTGGACAAGCTCAACTTCCTGATACTTGCCAGCGTTCGCAAATGCCTCAGCGGCATGATTCCGCATGATGAGTGGCCGCACCGGTGCTCGCGAGATGAGGAGGATGGGGCGAGGAATATCTTGACGGAAGGCAGCGCCTCAAAGAGATAATGCAGGGGGCTTCGTCATTCGTGTCGGGCAATACGGTGATGACCGTCTCTTCTAAGATACGGTGAGCTATCGTAGTACAAGCTTAAGTAGCACAGCCAAACAACCCTCGGTGGATATGGAGAAATGCGTGCCAGGGGATAGATTGCGTTGCATTTGTATGGGAAGTCAGTATAGGTAGAAGAATCGCCGATCCAGCTGCTGATAGACGGCTTGAAGGATGGATTGAGTTGAGTGGTAGAGAGAGGGTGATGTCGTTGGGTTTAGCTCGAGCCAAGTCCCAAACGAGCCTAGCGCAACCGTTATTCTTCGAACCACCTGCAGTCATCCAGTCAAACCACCAGAAACAACCAACACTGAATATCACCGTCTTCTTTGACCTTTGACCTTTGACCTTTGACCCACCGGAGACTTCCTCAGGTTACTATGCATGCCAACGAACCAAGCAGATTCCGGCCGGCTCATTTCCTTGCCGAGCATGCCCACCCCGAGGCAGACGTACCGCTTGATCTGGTCATCTTGAATCAACCTATCCACAATTTTCATGTCTTTGCTCGAGTATGGAAACACGCCGAATATCGCATCTGCGCCGACGGAGGCGCCAACAGGTTGTACGACATGTTCGAAGGTCCTCTCGAAGACCGGAGGCAAGATTATGTGAGACCTCGGAGTCGCAATAGACGGGGCCATTGCTGATTGATCGCCTGCAGTTACCACATTCTATCCATGGTGATCTAGACTCTCTGCGGGACGACGTGAGAGCGTATTATGAGTCGCATGGGGTTGATGTATCTCAGGACCATGATCAAGAGAGCACCGATTTCGGCAAGACGATGCAGAAGATAGCTTCCAGGAGATCGTCAACGTCAGAACGAGAGGTCGTTGTCCTAGGCACGCTAGGAGGAAGAGTCGACCAAGGCCTCGGACTCTTGCACGAGATCTTCAGAGAAGAGCTAAAGGATCCGCTTCTCCGCCTGTGGCTGATATCCGAAGCCAGTGTGTCCTTCATTCTGGAGCAGGGCCTGAATATCGTCGAGGGCTTAAAATCAAGCGGGCTCTTCACCAAGAACATGGGCCTTGTACCTATATATGGTCCTGCCGTCATTACCACCTCTGGACTGGAATGGGACGTCAAGGATTGGGATACCCAGATGGGGACGAGGGTGAGCTCGAGCAATCACGTGATCTCCGACGAGGTGCAGGTGAATACAACTGCACCCATCTTATTCACCATCGAGAGGAATTCGATAACAAGTAGCTCCGGGCCAGGGAACCGCAGGAAGGGGACGTAGGTTCAATGTCCGGTCATGATGGGAACCAGGGCGAAAGCTGGAAAGAAAGGGGTGATCAGTCTTCTCTGAGAACCGAGAAATATCTAAGGCGCGCCTGTTATTCCACCTCCCTGTCAGTCTGCTAGGCATACTCCACTGCTCTACGACCGGTCTCCGGGAAGGTTCGAAGGGATGACTTTTTGGGCATTCACCTGGTTGAAAGCTTTCCGCAGTTTTCCCGAGGTGCTGTCGCAAACGCCACTTGTCCGAAGACGGTTGAAACCAAACGAAACGGGAACTAGGCCCGTGCCCGCGACAAGTTTGGCGATCCTCCCGCTAGCTTTTCCCCTTGTCCGGATTGATGTCATGGCCTTGGTGGGCTTGCGAATCGCGATAGAAAACTTGGTGTTGAGAGCCCAGCAGAGCGACGAGGAAGAATATCCGCCCACAGCTTTGCACGACTTCGAGAGTTCGGGGCCCATCATTATAGCCATGAGCGAGCACGTCGCACATGTCCTACGGCGGTGGAATCGCACCGGTTCATAATGAAGTGGCCCAAAGCGGATGATGCTAGTGGTACCCAATTGGTCACTCAGCATTATCGAACCACACCAGGGTTGCTGGCGGCTTTGCGAGCCGAAACTGGGCAACGTCTATCTGTATCTGTCGCTTTCCGTCCCATCTTCGCCCGTCACCGTCATCGCGATCTTGTTTTGACTCTTCGTTCCTCTGTAGCACTTTCCCTGGACTCGCTCGAGTCTGTTCTCTCGCTGAATCACACTTCATCGCTCGTTAATCCCGCATTCGCTCACGAAAGTTGTACCCCCACGTTCGCATTCAAAGGTTCCACAACCCGATTGCGACACTCTAGGTTGCGCGGCCGGCTCCCCAGTTCCCCAGTGCTCGCCTTCGTCACCACGATAACGCACCGTTTCAGAAGAGCTTAGCAGACAGAATGCGATAGTCAAAAACGAGTGGCGCGCTCCGGAAACAAACGTCCTATTCAAGCGATATCGTTATTTGTGAGATTGGGTGATCACATCGAATAAATCGCAAGAGGAACGGCAGCGGCGCGCGCATGGAGCCACCAGCCAAAGCCGTGTCGATACCGGCGGCGGAAACATCGCCTTTCGAAGACCCAGAATATGCCCGACAAAGTGGACGCTCGTCTTCAAGTCTTAGCGCGGAGCGGTCTGTGGCGTCCATACGCAGTTCCGGAAACAGAACGACGGAGGTGACAGCAGATGCACAAGAAGCACCTGCATCTACCTCAATAGGGCCAGTTGCTACACAAGATAGCCGAAGCCCTACACCTAACTGGCCGTTACCGTCGACTTCGTCCCCACTGCTTCAGAGACGGTCTGCAGACTCCGTTGAGAATGGGTCTGGTTCCAAGAGCAAGGGAACTGCAAATGATGTACCAAACAGCACAAATGCGTCCCCTAAGCGGCCGCAAACCGCTGGAGCGATGCTCTCCCCTCGGATGGGACCGTCGCCCCGGTTGCAGAGGCGTTCCTTAGCGCACATGAGCAGGCCAGAGTTGGGAAGGGAATTGGACTCGCGACGCAGTAGCAGCGTTCTATCGATACCAGACTTGGGATTTGACTACACGCGATACTTTGATTTCTCTGGTAGCACCCCTAAAACTCCGCCCCCGCGGTACCGCAGTCCGTCGCGAACCCAAAGCCCCAGAATAGGAGCGGCGCCTGCGAATCCCTTCCTCACACCAAACGCGTCTACCACCAGAGTGGACAAACAATACGCAGACTCGGAAGCAGAAAAGGGCTTTCTGGTCGTGGACGACCGCCTCTCAGCGCCATATGACGAGAAGGGATTCACGGGTTGGCCACTCATATCCGATGAACCCGAAGACGACGATGACATGCATATGCCCATGCCAGACGATGACATCCGATTCAAGCCCCGCTGGAGAGACCACTTCACGCGCGGCAACACCATGTCCACGATTGGCCTGATCTTCATGATCCTAGGCTTGCTCTTCGTCTTCGTGGGTCTCCCCGTTCTGAGCGCCCTCGGAATCATAGACTACAACTCCGCCTACGGTACTCCGCTCGACCAGATGCCCAAAATGTACCCGGAGCCCGAGGAGTGGGCAACGGTGAATAACAGACGATATCCCCTCCTCTCCAACCTCCGCAGCACCTTGATCGACCCAGACACCCCCAAAAGCGCCAAAACCATGAAGGGCGAATTCGGCGACGAATACGTCCTCGTCTTCAGCGACGAATTCAACAAGCCGAACCGCACCTTTTACGAAGGCGATGACCCCTACTGGACAGCCCCGGATATCTGGTACGGCGCCACGCAAGACCTGGAATGGTACGACCCGGACGCGGCAACGACATGGGAGGGCACGCTGGAACTCCGCCTCGACGAATTCGCCAACCACGGTGTGCAATACCGCTCCGGCATGCTGAATTCCTGGAACCAAGTCTGCTTCAAGGGAGGCATCTTCGAGGTCAGCATGTCCCTGCCCGGCCCCGCAGCAGTCATGGGTCTCTGGCCCGGTGCATGGACAATGGGCAACCTAGGACGCCCGGGCTATCTCAGCACCACCGAGGGGTTATGGCCATACACATACCAAGCGTGCGACGTAGGCATCACACCCAACCAATCCCAATCCGACGGCCTCTCGTACCTCCCAGGTCAAAAACTCCCCTCATGCACCTGCCCCGGCGAAGACCACCCGACCCCGGGAACCGGCCGCGGCGCGCCCGAAATCGACATCGTAGAAGCGGGCGCAAGCTACGGCGGACTGCCCATCGCGACGCAGAGCTACCAAGTCGCCCCCTTCGACATCTGGTGGCACCCGGACTACGAATTCACCGCCTTCCCGGACCTGAGCATCAGCGCCCCGAATGGGTACACGGGAGGGCCCTTCCAGCAAGCCATTTCCGCGACGACGAATCTGAATCGCAACTGGTATGACGGGAAGCAGTACCAACGGTACAGTTTCGAGTATGTCCCCGGCGAGGGCGAGGGGGCGTACATTGTCTGGAAGGTCGGCGGGCAGACGACGTTTCTGATGGACGGGCGGGCGATTGGGCCGAATGGGAATATCCAGGCGAGGCAGGTCAGTCTGGAGCCCATGTCGATGATACTGAATTTGGGGTATAGCAAGAGTTGGACCGAGATTCGGTACGAGTTGTTGAGGTTCCCGACCGTCATGAGGGTCGATTATGTCCGGTGGTATCAGAAGAAGGGTGAGGAGATGGTGACGTGCGATCCGCCGGGGTTTGAGACGACTAAGTATATCGAGGAGCATAAGGTGGCGTATACGAATCCGAATCTGACGGTATGTGGAAGCTTATCTTGTGGGAATGAGGGGAGGTGGCTAACGTGCAGTAGAAGTGGGATCAGACGGGGTTCCCGTGGCCGAAGCACAAGTTGAACAGCGATTGTGGAAAGCCTTGAATCTTCCCCCACTGGCACATAGACATCACGGACACCATAGCTGCATAAGGGCCGAAATTCCAGTTCCGAGCGACAAGCTTCTTCGACGGTGCATCCCTGACGCCGCCCAGGTACCGTACCATTTCGACAAGTTACCTTCGACCTGGGCAACCGCCCACCAGAAATGTAAACGCCATCATGATGGATGCCCTCAGTGCCCAGGCGCGATACGTACATCTCGCCGCAGCTCTCATCGCTCGCCGCACGTCAAGAAGAACCCTTAAAACACGCGACCGCTTCCCGCGCACTACTCACGTCCGGGAGCGCTACACACCCGACTACCTCCTATCCATCCCACTCCTCACCTACCTCTCCCTCTTGGATAGCCCAGCCCAGACAGACGGCCAACATCTCTCCGCTGTACATACCACACACAACCCTTATCGCATGCATACATACATTCGACCCGGCGTTCAGCGCTACTCCTCCATGCATTCGACACATTCAACCACATTTCCTTTTTATATCCACTTATATCATATAATCCACACATCTCTAATCACGCCGTATCCACCCTTCATCTCCCTTCCAAGCCCCCTTTCTATCTCATCCGCGCACAACAACATTTACGGTACTATCTGTGCAGAACGGCGGCGCGTGGCGTTATCTATTGTTTCTGGGTACTTTATGATCGTTTCGTTTCGAACTTGGTTTATTGCGGAGAAGGGATTGGTGGGGGGAGGGGGGAGAAAGTATAAGGGCGGCAATGTCGCACAGGAATGAACATAACAGCGTAATGTCTATATAATGCGTATGTGCAGCACATCCAGTCCTCGCAATGTACTTATCAACACCAACCTATCATACCGTATATGTATATATGCTCCGTTTTAGCACAATTAGTAATAGTCGTAGCATGGGAAAACAACGCAGTCATCTCGCCCACATTTAATCAAATCAAATCAAAATCATCACCTTAGCACAGTACGAGAGACTCACACCAAAAAAGGATCGTATTCGCATCCCACCGATTGATGTGACACAGCTACACCTTCACACTTTCTCCACTCGGGACGCTTGCACACATCCCCTCCATTTTTTTCGTCTCCCCGCCCAAAACACCAAAGGCAAACATACACTCACATAAAATCTCCGTCTTTCCCACTCCGTCTTTGCCGGATGGACATACCCGCCTCCCACGCAGCCGACAAAGGGCTCGAAGAGGCAGAGAGGATGCCCAGCACACGCAGTAATTTCCCATGGCCAACGTACGCGGTGGCGTGGGAAATACTGGCTCGCTCAACGAAGGAGTGATGGATGGCGCTGGCGGACTGCTGCCCAAGACAAAGCCTGAAGGTAGCAGTAGCCTGCCCCTCTCGCTCGCTTCATCGTAGCGGTGTTACCATGTTAAGTAGGTTTCTCGAATAGCATGATTCGTGTAATGTCCAAGTCGTTCACGTCCTAAAACCCGGACCCGGACAAGGGCCCTCCAAGTCAGCCAGACTTCCTCCGGGTATCGCGGCGCCCATCCGTTGTCGCAGCAGATCCACTCGACCTTTTGCCGCGCAAAGACGAAGAAGACTGAGAAGATGAGAGAGACGAAGTCAAGTTGGAGTTGAGAGAAGAAGTTGCAGCGAAGACTGAATGCTGGCGAGGAGACCGGCAATTGACAGACTGAGAGGAAGAAGAAGAGGAATGCTGAGAAACGGAAGACTGAGACTGAGATTTCGAACAAGAAGATCTGTTATCGTTGGCGTACCAATTGATATCGTTGAGCTGTAACTTTCTCGCACGCTGATTGCTGCGGGTATTCCCCGCCTTATCGATGCGCGGCTGCGCATAGGGATTATGCGTTTTGTCGAGGCCTTTAGCTGTCTCAGTATGCATTCTATTGCAGTTGGGTTGGAGATTGTAAAGAAACGGTGAATCACCATCTGTGTCGTTGTCGTCCCGAAGATCGTAGTTCAGAACGAGATTCTTGATCCGCTGTTGCTCCTCCCGTTGGGCCTGCTGTTTGCTAAGCATAGAGATGGCAAAGCTGGAATCCGACGGGAGGTCAATGGCACGAGTCTGCTGCTTATTCCCGCGTTTGCTGAGGAGCGAGAATTTCATCGTGTTCGCCGGTGTAGCGGGAGCGGCAGATTCGCCAGCCTCGTCAGTATTCGCCTCTACCTCGCGGTTGCTCCGCAGTGGCAGAGGAACATCGAAGACGGGTTTCCGCTCAAACTTCCGCGACTCCACGCTCTCGGACATGAGCTTCGCGAGCTCGCGATCAAACTCAGCCTCAGCTTCGGGGTCACGTTCGTCTTCTGGGCGAGTGACGACGATCTGTTCTTCCTCGTCATCCGAGATACGGTGTCCGGACTCATCATCCCCAGAACCCTGGTAAGACTGCGTCAATGACGAAGGACATAGGTTAGTAGGAGGGGAGCAAACCTCGACATCTTCTCCAGACGCCTCTTCCTTCTCATCATCCCCATCGGGTTCGACAATCTCGTCATCATCAGGTCCTTCAGCGTCATCGTCGGAACTTGACTCATCCTCATCGTCAACCTCAGCAGGCTTATCTGCCTCTGAGGGTTTGTAGTTCTCCCTGACGACTTCGGCAAAAGAACGAGAAGCTTCCTCCAAGGTGGTGATGAGCTTCCAATTTGGTCGGGTTGCATTATATGCATCCTGCACGATGAACTCAACGTCCATTGGGAGAGGGTCCTTCAGGCAGATGTAGAATTGGAAGTAGGTCAGGAAGAAATCGAGCTTCTTCTTTGCGGAACCCTTCTCAAAATACATGCCACAGGTCTCCAGCAGGTTGCAAACCAGACGGATCCGGAAGTAGTCGTCAGGCAAGTCTAATGGGTTGATGAGACCAGGCCGAGCGTAACCGCCTTCGTAACCGTAGCTGAGGAGCTTGTAAAGAGTCTCGATAATGAGCGTGGTGTCAACCATCCGGTAGACAAAGAGCTCTCCAAGATACTTCACGTCTGCAATCCGGCGCTGATTGAATCTGAAGTCATTGAGCTCAAGGTGAAAAGTAATGGATTCCAGAATGTCATCGATTACCGATACCGCAAATGCATCGTGATAACGGCGGATCGAGGTCAGAATGTTGGCCAAAAGGTGGATATTACTGTACTTGATCCTGCTAGGCTTCGTGAAGATCTTGTGCAGGAGCCTGACAATCTCATCTTCCTCCCAATGCATCTTACGGATCTGGCGCACGGTCTTCTCAAGCGTTCGTCGGCTCAGGTCCTCATACATGAGCTTTCTCAAGAAGAGCTCGATAGGTGTCCGCTCCTTTTGTTCAATAGCGGCGCGCTCGGGTGGGTTAACATAGTAGACGGCATTTTCGATTAGCATCCGCTCCTGTTGACCAAGAACTTGTGCCGTCTTCTTCCGTTGCAAGGTCTCGAGGAAAGAGGCCATCCTAGGAGCTGTCTCGGGGTTACGGAGTAAGTATCGGCCGCATCTTTCCAGCAGATTGCAGATGATTTCAATATTCATGCGTGAAAAGTCGTCCAAGCTAACCTTGAGGCAATGGAAGATGACGTGCTCGGGGACGACACCAAATTTGGTGAGCTCAGCAAGATACCGCACATTCTGGGTCCGGACCTGGCCCAGGAAGTCCTTGGACTTGCGGCGCTGAAGACTGCGAAATTCATCGTCGAGATGCGCAACAAGGCCTTGGCCGACATCAGGCATGTACTTGTTGAGAGTAGCAACCAGCCTGGAGTAGAGAGGAAGTAAGTCAGAGCGACCCTTTGGAATATCTTGTACAGCTTTGATCAGCCGGTTTCGGGAGGCCTTGGAGTTCAAAAAGCAAAAATCGATAGCCGCCTGGTCAACTGAATCCTTGGTGTTGAGCTCCGGTAATCGGGCCAGAAGCGCGTCCACCTGGGCTCCGACAGACTTGTTTGCGATCGCAGTAGACAGGTCATCGGCTTCGTTCGCCTTAGGCTCGGCCTGTGTCTCTTTGGGCTCCTCGCCTGCCTTGGCCTCCACCTTCTTGCCCACCTGCTCGTCTTCGGCTTTCTTCTTCTTAGGTTCTTCCAGCAGGATCCCCGGTACGCGGTCCTTCAAATCCACCAGATTCTCGTAGAAGCGACGCTCCTCCTCGTCCTCCCAGATACCCGGCCCATCACCCTGGCCACGCAGATACTCCGCAGCCTTCACCAGACCGATTGAGCCGTCACCTGCATTTGCCGAAGATTCCTTCTCTTGCAGATCCGGCATTTCGACACCCAAAGCATCAGCCAGAACCTGCGCATTCGAAGCCAGCTTCTCCTGTGCCTTCACCTGCCTCTCATAGTTGGCCTGGCGGTCCTCGAAGACTTCGCCAGACTTGACATAGGCTTCCGCGTTCTTGCGTCCCTGGTTGACCAAATGCTTCTGGTCGCGTACTAGGTGCGATTTTACGTCTTCGAAGTAGCGGGTTAGGATGTTCTTGAAGCGCTGTTGCATTTCGGGCGAGCAGATGGGAGGGTCCTGTGCCGCGGACTCGTCTTCTTCGGTCGCAGACTGCTCGTCCTGTTTGTCGGTGGTCGTAGTGCCATCCTCGTTAACGGTTTTTCGCCCCTCGGCCGAAGTATTCCGCGCACCCAAAATATCCCAACCGAACGCCTTGACGAAGATGACAACGAGCGGTAGATTGGCGTGCTCTCGGTCATGGCCAAGCATATCCTTCAGAACCTCGAGCGGGAAAGGTTCAGCATCGACGTCGCCATTAACCGCTGCCTTCTTTGATCCCTCCACCAATTTATTACTCTCCTTCCCTTTTGTGGCTTCCTCTGGTCTCACACAGTCGTCCAAGCTCCTCAAGACACCAACGAGCCACAGCTCGGTGGCAACGCGCAAGAGCACACGTTGCCGAGCGATCCGTTCCTTCTCCTCCTTCTCGCGAACATCCTGTGCCAAGGCCTTCAGGTGTGCCTTATCGGGCGTGCTCAGTCCCCTCCCAATATACCATGCAATGTACCCGGTGAAATCCTCGGGTCCAAAGCGCTGGTGGAGAGCGCTGACAACCTCGACGCCTGTTGCAATTTCACCTGGTGTCTTGAGCTTGCATAAGCCTTCGTAGCAGGCGGTGATGATTTCGGAGAGATATTTGTGGAGGGAGAGGGTTTTGATTTCCTGCAGGAACTGGGCTTGCGAGGTGGGGTTGATAGCGGTTCGAAGGCGTTTAATGAAGGCGGTGTTCTTCTTCATGGAAGAGTCGAGCGAGGAACCGACCGGGAAGACATCTGGGGGGGCAGGTGAGTTTCGTAACATCAATCGAGATTATACGGCGGACCTTGTTCGCCAGCCCATGCCCTGGCATTTAGCTCGCGCAGTTCTCCTGCGTAATGTCAGTATCGAAGCGATCCAGCAAAGTTTCAGGTCTCACGTCTCCGTTGCCTCTCCATAGTGGGGGATGCCCGCAGCGATGGAGGGGCGGGTTATTGATCCAAGTCGTGCCGATTATGGGTCGTTCATATGGAAGATATCTATATCAGGTGCAGGATCTGTGCACATTGAGAGCTGGGAAAGTCAGGCAGCTTGTTGTGCGCCCTGGTGGACCGCCGCGTGGATTATCCGGAGGGAAGTTGTGGGTAGCTTGGGGTTTGTGAATGCACGTTCCTGCAGAGATGCAGGATACCGAAGATGGGCCCGTGCGCTGCTGACTAAGGTGTGGGGGAGCCGAACTCTCTCCTCAACACCATGAGTTGATACCAGTCTCGAGCTTCAATAGCAGTCTTAAAGAGGTTTGGCACAGAGGTCCTAGACCATACTTCGCTACCTAGGTACAGTTGTGCCATGTTTTATACTCTCTTGAGGAGGAGACAACATGAAGCATTCCATCGTAATTTCGGAGTCCTATCAAGCAGATAGGGGAGCAATGTCAACCTCAGTTGCAAAAGGGCAGAGCATTGTCTTTTCCGTAATTCCACTGTTGCAGAAGCCCTAAATTCTCAGCTAGAACAAGAGCCATGACAGAGCCTTTTCGTCCTCAACAGCGGCACCATGCATGTTCACTGGGCTCTGGCAATTAGCTGCAAACGTCTAGAAACAGGCTCTGTGCACATGAGTTTGTAGGTACACGGAAGATCGAGGTTCCACGTCAACAATTGACAAAAAGGTGCAATAACTCAAGACGAAATTAACACGCCCCGTAGTAACATCGGATACGATCGTACTCGGCCCTTGCCAAGATCAGTACGCAACCCTAAAAGGCTTTCAGAGAGCTAGTCGGCATAACTCCGGCAAGGCAGAAGAAATTCCAACATTGGAATCTACAACTCCTCTCTGCAAGGCCGATGGAAAGCAAATAGAAGCAGCTCTCAACGACAGAAACACAGTGAAAAAAGAGAGTACTATGGTATCAGGGGTAAGTATTCAACATTCGCCACCCGCTGACGTGTGCGGCGCAGAAGCCTGGGCGACAGCACTTGTCAGCGTTTCGTACAGTAAATGCCTTAGATAATCCTAGTGTCTTGCAGTCGCAGCAGATATAAATTATTTCCCGCATGAGTAATATGTATAGAACTTGACTAAGGCCAGGCCTTGGCTACATCTCCACGGTTCTATGGCTCGTGCACTAACTACCCCCGGCTCCTGGGTGGCGAATGTTGAATACTTACCCCTGATACCACAGTATGCACAAAAGACGTCGACCGAGGGAGCATCGGAAGCACCGGGCAAGCGGCAACTTGGAGCAATTTTCAGGTCGGAAAACTGCACTTTTTGGTTTTGGGTCGCCAGTTCCAAGGTCGCAAAAGCAGAACGCCAAGACGGTGCAGGGGGAGAAAAATGTCAGCCACACTCAGCCGCAATGACGCATTGGGCAACTTGTGCAAACGTGGAGATGATTCTGCAATGCCATCAGAGTCAGGCGCAAACATCGTGAGTCGCTGCGCCGAGATGATGCCAACGACTGCGAGACGAAATCTCACATCCAAGAGAACACATGTCGAGACAGTCGGTGGGCGTTACTCCGTAGAGTGTGTTAACAACCAACAAATCTGCAGTGGTCCTCCTCAGCCTTGCCGGGCACTCGCCACAGGCGGTCCGATCCAACGATCAGCAGCAGATCGACGGATGAGCGTCACTTTTTTTGGGTCCAGATTCCGAATCCCAGGAAGAAAACGGCGTTTGGGTTTCGGTTTCGGGGGACTGGTCGACACACAGCTCGGGTAATACTGTGCCGTGTTATTGATAGATATTGGGAACACACGGCGATGCGGCGGCTCTCGGTGCATGCTGTGGAAGGCCATGTGCATGTTTTGAGGTTGCAGTGGTCAGTTCCACGTGACAACGGCCCTTGATTGAATAACTATCGTGGATGCATGAATGGGAAGTCCAGCTCGAAAAGGGGCAGCAGAGTGGATGATGAGGCGGGGAAAAAAAACAATTCCATCGCTCGCTCACTTTTCGCTTCCAAGGTTCCTTTTGGGCGAGGCTGGCGCAGAGAGATGCAAACAACGGTTGTCGCCCACAAAAAGGGGGCAGCAGAGCACCACAAAAGGCCGGCATGATTATTGGCCAGATGTTGCAATTTTACGACTCGCAGGGGCGTGCTTGGCATCGTAAAGAGCGTCCTGGGCTGTCGCCTCCGAGCGCGCCAGTCTCTCTTCTCTCGGGAGAGCGACGGGCGTGGCGGATTGGCTGGCGCGGACGCAACGGGTGGTGGGAGCGGCTAGCAGGGAATTGTTGGGTGTCGAGTCTCCAGCATTTCATCATCCATAACGACGAAGCGGCAAGGCGGCGAGGTAGGCACAGTCAGTCTCTCGTGCCCCTGAGTTTCTGCGACAATTGCGGCCTTCTGTTCGCATGCTGGAGTAGTGGGCAATCGATACTCGATGGCCGGCGTGTGCTCAGATGGCCTGAGGTGCAGCGCTTGTCTCCCCTCTTTCACCATGCTCCGACGTCTGCTTTGGGGGCGATGAAACCGCGAAATCGAACCTTAACTTCCAAACGACCCAGGCCACTCGACTTGTTGACCGGCGGTGAGTCAGCCCAAAATAGGAGCACGCCTTCCCCAGACGAGCAAGGCGGGGCAGAAAGTTACCGTACCTGTCGTACCTGGCCCCTTGCCGCGGCGTTCAGGCTAGTCCGCTAGTCCGCTCGTGGGGTCCTAGCGTGCACTCGCCTACGCCGAAGCGTGCCCAGGGCTGCACACCCCCGGACTCACGCTCTGGTGGTGAAAAGTGCGAGAACCCCCTCTTCTTCCTCTCCCGTGGTTTTCTCCTCCTCCCATCCCGTCACCGCTCACCACCTCGAGCGCCCCTCTCTTTCTCCTGCGTGCAGCAACCCGTGATTCTTCCATGATTCACGCTTGACTCTCGCAATCCCTTTGCTTTTCTTGTCACCCACACTCGTTTAGACTCCTGCAGCCCTTTTAGAACACGCACCGACTCCAACCTCCAGCCCAACCGCAAACGAAACATCTTCTGCGCCTCAAGTCGGATTCTCATCAACCCCTTCTCGTGCTCTTTCCCTCCGGCTGTCACTTCAAAGCTCTTGAGCTGCCAGTGTTCCCTTCGCTCGGCCTTCGACGACACGTTCTAGTCTTGTACGACCTCGACTATCGCCTTGCAGGCGTGCTCTGTGTCACTTGATCCCTTTTCCGTCCCTCTGGGACTCGCACGGCAGCTGTCATCCTCAGCGCTGCAACCACACTCCGAGACGGGCCCTGTGGACACTTTGTGCCTGGCTTATCAACGCTTCGTCTAGCTCTCTGCAGCACGTCGAGGGACTGCCGACCTCTCCCAGCATCAGTCTAGGTCCATGCCCCGGAGTGACTGACGACGGTCCTGTTACGATTTCTTCGCTCGTTTTATCACGCCTATTGCAACGACTCTACTTTCCATTTAATCTTCTAATACCCCTATTTGAACCATGTGGGAGAAGCTGGGCCTCGTGGCCCGCGCTGCGAACGACAATGGGATCCCCTCCATTACCGACCCGTGGCCGACCAAGGATGTGAGTACAGGAACCTTCATGATGCTTTGGACTTGAGTGACTGACTCCGGCTCCAGATCGTCTACGTGGCCATCGTCGGTACCGTTATGCTGGCAGCTTTGCTTGAGTGGTTTCTGTGGCTCGCGGCCTTCTTGTACTGCCTTGTCAAAGTCTTCCAAAAAGCCGAAACCGTCAGCGTCAGGATTCTTGCCGTCATCATGATGATTCTCTTCTTCGCCTTCCGGTATGGGACGATTCTCAGAGTCTCCAAACGCAGCTAATCATTCGCAGTGCCATCTTCCTGCCCATCATGGTCGTCACACTTCCGCTGCCTCCGCAAGTCACCCAGTACTTCCCCCAGGACATGGTCAGCTTCCTGCAATGGTTCGCATTCTGGTCGTTCGCCGGTCTTCTGACCATTCCATGGTTGCTGTGCGTCTACCAACTCGTGACCCATTCCGTTGGCCGGAGCAGGAGGATCAAGACTGTACTGGACGAGGCTTCGGCGCCCAAGGTCGTCATTGTCATGCCTTGCTACAAAGAAATTCCCGAAATTCTCCTCCGTACCGTCGACTCGCTCGTCGACTGCGATTATCCCCCTTCGTGCCTGCACATCTTCCTTTCCTTCGATGGTGACCAGGAGGACGAGTTGTACCTGAACACGATTGAGAAGCTCGGCGTCCCGCTTACCCTGGATTCCTACCCCAAGTCGATCGATGTCACCTACCGCAGCTGCCGTATCACCGTCTCTCGCTTCCCTCACGGAGGAAAGCGTCATTGCCAGAAGAGGACCTACAAGCTCATCGACAAGATCTACACCGAGTATCTCAAGCGCAACGACAACCTGTTCGTTCTCTTCATCGATTCCGACTGTATCCTCGACAAGGTTTGCATTCAGAACTTTGTGTACGAGATGGAGCTCAAGCCCGGAAGCAAGAAGAACATGTTGGCCATGACCGGTGTCATCACCTCGACAACGGAAAAGAACTCGCTCATCACGCTTCTGCAGGACATGGAGTATATTCATGGTCAGCTCTTCGAACGTTCCGTTGAATCCGGCTGTGGTGCCGTCACTTGTCTTCCCGGTGCTCTCACGATCTTGCGCTTTTCGGCCTTCCGGCGCATGGCCAAGTACTACTTTGCAGACAAGGCCGAGCAGTGTGAGGATCTCTTCGACTACGGAAAGTGCCATTTGGGTGAAGATCGCTGGCTCACCCACTTGTTCATGATTGGCGCCCAGGAGCGGTATCAAATCCAGATGAATACGGGAGCATTCTGCAAGACCGAAGCCGTGCAGACCTACCGGTCTCTGCTCAAGCAGCGTCGCCGGTGGTTCCTGGGTTTCATCACCAACGAAGTCTGCATGTTGACAGATATCCGTCTATGGAAGCGATACACTCTGCTCTGTCTTGTGCGTTTCATGCAGAACACGATCCGCACCACCGCCCTGCTCTTCTTCATCATGGTCATTTCGCTCATCACCACCTCCCAGAAGGTCTCCAACCTCCCTGTCGGATTCATCGCCATCTCGCTCGGCCTGAACTGGGTTCTTATGCTCTACTTTGGTGCCAAGCTGGGCCGCTATAAGATCATGCTCTACCCCATCATGTTCGTCATCAACCCCTTTTTCAACTGGATGTACATGGTCTACGGCATCTTCACCGCCGGACAGCGTACTTGGGGAGGCCCTCGTGCCGATGCCGGTGCCGCTGATGCGCAGACGACCCCCCGAGAGGCTATCGAGAAAGCCGAAGCTACTGGCGATGATCTCAATGTCGTTCCGGAAACGTTCAAGCCCGCCGCAGAGAGCCACAAGCACCGTCCCGCGCCAGTTCCCCTGCAACCTGCCGACAATCTGGAAGGTCGTTTCGCGCCTGCCGAGAGGCTGCCAGGTGGCTGGTACCAGCAACCCAACGACTCTGGCCTCACGCTTCCGAACACATTGCCGCGCAACCCCAACGTTCCCAATGTTCCTCTGCACCCCCGCTCGTCCATGGATTCCTTCGTCTCCGGCGTCTCCGTCAACAACTCCATCTACATGCCTCGCCGCGTCGAGAGCTTCATGGACCCCGAAGATGCCCGCCTATACCACAAGACACAAGCAAACCAAAAACCCGCAGGTGGCGCATATTTCGAGGCGGACCGCGCCCACAACTCCCCCTACCATGGCAAGACGGGTGGTCACGAGTCAACCGAATCGCTCTCCGATGATTCCTTTTACTACTCCAAGAACCAGCAGAACCGTCCTCCTCACTCGCGCGGTAACAGCAATCAAAGCAACCTGGATCCCTACTCTCCAAACGGTAGCTCGCCACTCTCCGCGGAGTTCGGCGCGCCCAACCTCGAAGTGCCCAAGCGTACCCATAGTCCGCTAGGCCAGCGCGACTCGTCCGGCTCCTACAGCTCGACACAGCAACAGCGGCAAGGCCGCAGCCCCCTCGCTCGCCAGAGCTTCGTCCGCACAGCCCCAGGCGACAACCAGGGCATCGAGCTCCAGCAGCACAGCTTGCTTCGCGACGTATCACCCGCGCCGCTTGGCTCGCCTGGTTTGGAAAGGCCCCCACCGCCGCACACCGGCCACGAGCGGAGCGCATCCCGCGACTCGGAAAAGAAGAGGAGAAATAGACTGACGAAGGAGCCTCCGAAGAAATAGGTTCGCACTGTGACTGCGTAGCCATCTTGGACACGCGGAGATGAGCTTTCCTTTCTTCAGCAATGCACGAAAAGTCGACTTTTAGTATCTCTGGGTTCGGGATCATGTGAGCAGCATCGTCCATGCATTGGAGTCGTATTTTCCTACCATCGATTGCATCGGCGTTGCATTCCTTTCGTGCGAATCGAGCAACAATCAACAAGGGGGTTTTTGGCGTTGTGTTGCCTCGTCGAACTTTTCGATAACATTCGTTTTTGCTGTACATAAGGAACGCTTCTATTATTACCTTGGCGAAGACAGCGCTCTACAACTCTGCTTCTGGCTTCTGGCCCCTTGATATATCTTTTCGATATCCATGATATGTGTCTTGTTGAATTCCCGGGTTGGATCGGCGTGATGAGGCCCTCTTTTCTTTTCGGCGGGGTATGATTTTCCTTGATGAGGGAGGGGTTTGGGTAGATGGGTTTGGGTAGATGGGTTTGGGTAGATGGGTTTGGGTAGATGGGTTTGATGTGAGGGGCGAGAGGGAAGAGGGAAGGTTTTGGGGAGGATTTTAGAAAAAGAGGCAGTGCAGAGGCAGATAAATGGGTTATGTGGAAGTGGTATGAGGGGATTCGCTTCGCTTCGTAATGTTTAAGAGGTTTAGAAATCCATATGGTTGATTTCATTTCGGGATTTCTTGAGGGATTGATTGCATGGTTGGGTCTATTTGTTCGTGCGTGACATATATCCATTGGTGTAGGTATCGAGGACGTGATATATCTGTTAGGAGGAGGGTCCTTTTGGTCTTGTTTCTGGTAATCGACGGATGACGGATGACAACTCCTCAAGGACGCAGAAACAGTAGCAGAGGCAGTAGTGCTGCAAGTAGAAAGCCCTCTGGTATGCGAGGGGATAAGCGCATACACACTAAAAGTGACGGTCGTAAATCAGCAGTAGATGCTTACCATGGAAACCTACATTAATCGACATTGCGGTAGGTAGGTAGATATCTGCCGTTTCGTTTCGTTTCGGTTCGTTTCGTCTCTATCTCCAGGTTCGCCATCCCATGGTCCTAGTGTTTCCTATATGAAATTCACTGTTGTTCCTCGCGTTCCTTGCACGGCGTCCCTTGCACGGCGTTCAAGGTCCAGGAAGCCTACCTGGTTTGCGAAGTTCGGAATATTGTTGGGAGGGTGGGGTACTTGTGAATGTGTGATGAGGTGGGGTGTGATGGGATAGGATGGGGTAGGTGTAGGGTAGGCGTAGGTAGGTGTAAGTGTAGGTAGGTGTAGTCCACTCCATAGGCAATGGGTGTCTAGGTGCGATATCGACACCGCCTCCATGTATATATCCACTTGCCTACGATAGGCACTTACTTTCCAACTCAACCGATGGCGAAGACCGTGTATGTGAGTACGTAGTACTACTGTAATAAGTAGATAATTACTTCATGCTGCGTTTCAAGTCATTGGCACGTACAGTATGACCTCGCTTGATCGATTATTCGTCGTCCATAAATCAAGGCCCTTCCGCTCTCAAATTATTATTACACACCCTCTTCTCTCATGAACGTGGCGAAAACCCTCCCTCTTCCCATCCCATCCCATCTCATCCCATCTCATCTCCGCGACCCATACTCCGTACAGACCTGGGCTGGACTTATTAACCACCCACCTTCCCAATCCGGCCTAAACCTCGGCAACCAGACAGGGGTACATCGACGCAGCAGACGCGGACGATCTGGTCGCGCATCATCTCCCATCCAACCACTCGCAACACGCGCTCAGCCTCTCTCTCCTCTAATCCCCCAACGTCGCTCAAGTCCGAGAACCAAAGAAAAGCGAGGAAGCAGGGAACCAAGGAGAACAGTCACCCATGCAGTCTGATTTGCCTGTGCCTGGCTGGGATCCATCAGAATGGCCGAGTCCGCCGCCCGCCCGCCGGATGATCCGCATTCAGATCTCCAAGGGACGAGTTGTAAATGGTTCCAACGGGCGATGAGTATAAAAGCTAGACAGAGAGCCAGATTCCCGGATTCCAGCGCCTAGTCTCTCGTTCAAAAATCCCTACCTCACCCTCCTTCCACCCCGACTTCCTTGTCGTTGTTGCGGTCCCCCAAAAAAACACCGCTCAACATGGCAGCCCTCCGCCTCCTCGCCCTCACGACCCTCGCCTCGGCCCTCACCATCTCCCAAATCAACGGCCCCAAATACCTCTCCCCCTACGCGGGTCAAACCGTGTCCAACATCACCGGCATCATAACAGCCAAAGGCCCCAACGGCATCTGGCTGCGTTCGCCCACGCCCGACCGCGACGACCGCACCTCGGACTCCATCTACGTCTTCGGCAAAACCTTCGGCGCCAACCTGACCGTCGGCGACGCCATCGTCATCGGCGGCAAGGTCGAAGAGTACCGCTCCAACAAGGATTACGTCCCTCTGACGGAAATCGCCTCGCCGGTGCTCGAGCGCAAGATCTCGAGCGGGAACGAGGTGTCGCCCTTGGTGATTGGCAAGGATACAGTGAAACCTCCGACGGAGCAGTTTAGTTCGCTGGACGGAGGCGATGTCTTCGCCGTGCCCAACAACGTCTCGCTGATCTCGGTGCGGAATCCGACGCTGGAGCCCAAGAAATATGGCATGGATTTCTGGGAAAGCTTGAACGGCGAGCTGGTGACGGTGAAGAAGCCGACGGCGCTCTCGAAGCCCAACAACTACGGCGATACGTGGGTCGTTGGCGACTGGAAAGTGACGGGAAGGAACAAGCGGGACGGCTTGACCATGACCAACAAGGGTGGGTTATGTGCAGAACTGCGAAAGTCGTGAGAGGTCATGGCCGTTCGACTGACAAGAGCAGATGCAAACCCCGAAGCCATCCTCATCGGCTCTCCCCTCGATGGATCCTCCAATCCCAAGACGACCAAGCTGGGCGACGAGCTGGCCGAGATCATGGGCGTCTTCACGTATGCCTTCGGCTTCTACCGGATCCTGCCCACGACCGCGCTCAAGGTCGTCCAGTCGCAGAAGCAGGCGCTTCCGTCCGCAACAAGCCTCACCTCCGAAGGCAAATGCGACGGCCTGACCTTTGGCGCGTACAACGTCGAGAACCTCTGGACGCAATCCGCTCACTTGCCGAAAGTGGCTTCGCACATTGTCACGTACCTCAAGTCGCCCGATCTCATTTTCGTGCAGGAAGTCCAGGACGACAATGGCGAAACCAATGATGCCGGTATGTGTGTCGTTCGTGTCCTTTCCTTATCCGCACGCCACAGGCAAGCCACCCGCAAGCCGAAGCTGACCAGCCGCAGTTGTCTCCGCAAACCAGACCCTCGCAGCATTGACGGCAGCCATTGCGTCGGCAGGAGGCCCTCAGTATGCCTTTACGGACATTGCACCCAGCGACGACAAGGACGGCGGAGCCCCCGGTGGAAACATCCGAGTAGCTTATCTCTACAAGCCTTCGCTGGTGCGCCTGTACAAGCCCAATCCAGGAGGAGCATTGGATGCAAACGAGGTGCTGGATGGGCCCACGCTCAAGTACAATCCAGGGCGTATCGATCCGGCGAACAACGCATGGACGGCTAGTCGCAAGCCGCTGGTGGCGCAGTGGGAGGTGATTGGGAAGAAGGGCAAGGGCGAGGGCAGCTTCTTCACAGTCAATGTCCACTTTGGGTCCAAGGGAGGGAGCAGCAGCCTGCATGGCGATGCGAGACCGCCCGTCAATGGCGGGGTGGAGGACCGTATGCAGCAAGCCGAGCTGACGGCGCAATTTATCAAGGTGAGTGGAAACGTATTCCTCAATCACGAAATATCAGCCCTTTGCGCAGGACGGCCGCATCTGGTGAACTGAGTCCCTCGTCCTGGAGAGCAGAACACCGTCTTTTCATGTCGGCTGGCGAGCTGCAAGTTAGAGGAAAGCCTACCAAGGCGATCCTGGAGGGCGGACCCAGATGGCTCCAGGAAACGGGGTCGATGCAGATGTTTTCCCTGTGTTTAGCAGGATTCACGCTGTCGGGCCGTCGCACGAGGGGCAAATGGATCTGCAGCATGGGAATCAATCACGGATCCCATCCCAGACATCGAGGGGTCCGGTCGCGCAAGGCCCATTCATCTAACAGTGCTCTATCGGACCCTGAAGCAAAATAGATGAACTGCAGCTGACATTGTTGGGACCTAGGCCATACTCGCCAAGGATCGAAACGCCCGGATCATCACGGCAGGGGACTTCAACGAATTCGCCTTTGTGGAGCCCATGAAGCGGTTCGCCGGCATCTCGGGGCTCGAGGACCTGGACGAGGTGGCCGGGATCCAGGACGTGGAGCGGTACACGTACCTGTTTGACATGAACACGCAGCAGCTCGACCACATGTACGTCAGCGCGGCGGTGGCGAAGAAGGGGAGGAAGGCGAGGTATGAGCATGTCCATATCAACACGTGGGTGGACAGCGAGGCGCAGGTCAGCGACCACGATCCGTCGGTTGCCAAGCTGGACGTGTGTGTGTAGATTTGCGTCCAGATGTCGGGCTGGCTGGGCATTCATGATATTATCTCTACACCGTGGACGGATGCAAGCTGCGAGAATTGTGCAGTCATCAGACTTTAGCGAATATTATTGATTGCGGCGTGGTGGCGCTGTGCCTGGGATAATACATCAGAGGACTACTCGGTAGTGGATGCCTACTGTGTATGCGTGTCCGGGTGTGCGGCGTGTGCGCTGCATCGACATAATCAGAATGATTTCTTGTGTATGGTGCAGCTCCTATGTAGTAGATTTCGCAGGCCAACAAGTCGCTTGGATAATGATAATCCGCGAATGAGCAGGCGTACTGGTAGGGTTGCGCTAATCGTGGTGAAACTGGGGGGAAAGACGGTGCGCGCCCAGGTGTTCTCAGAAATAGAAAAGGAACCTGGGTTTGGCCACGTGTCGAGTCACAGGAGCGTAGACGGGTTGCTGGACCATCCCATCGGCCTGGTTTTCCCTCTGGTGTCGCATCCAGAAACCAGCAAGGTGAGGTGGAGGAGGGGATCATCAAACAAGGTGATGGACCTTTTCTCCATTTTCCCGTGGGCGCCAAGACGATAAGACCTGGGCTGGAAGGGTGGAAAAGCGCTTGGGGAGCGAATGACGGGGCGTGCATGTTCCTTTTATCCGATCTGATCGTGGACACGATCCATCTGTGTGCGTGCATTGCGTCTGTCAGCTCGCGAGGGCTGGAAGATTGCTGAGGCCTGGATGGCCAGGTGAATGTGAAGAGAGAAAGCTGAGCGGGACTAGCGGAAGTTGCCAAAAGGAGGTGCAGTAGTAGCGCGGGGCGGGCCAAGAGAAGGCCAATTTAGTCCCGCTCCGCACGATAGGAGGCGGGGATGATTGCGGGGAGAGGGTCTTTGCGGGAAACCCACCCTTTCTCAACACCACGACAAAACAGACGTCGTGCCCTCTCAAGAACTCACTTTTTTTCCCTTTGTCGGTGGCCATTTCTTCTTCCTCGACGTTGGAGGGACAGGCGCCAAAAGCTTCTTCTGCCGCGGCTGATCCCCCATCCGATCCTCCTGCAACCTTATCCTCCAGCTCGCCGTCGCACCGTGTGATTGTCGCGCCAAGGGCTTGGGGTGGCGTATTTCTCCCTCCTTGGATGGCGCTGCGAAGGGGATGAGATTATGAGAGCTCTTGGAGGGCTTGGGAGAGGATGACGCCCAGAGATGCCCAGAGATGTCTTCTACGCCAGTCCCGCTTGTTCTGGAACTTGCCCACCTCCTGCCACTTGCCCGTTGTATACGCTTGCGCCGATGCGTGTGAGCACAGAGCCTCAGAGGGGGGAAACAGACAATCTCTCCCTTAGGAGGCGTGGCACTACTCCCAGCAGGACTCGGTATCTCGTCGAGTTGGCAGATCCCAAAAGGCCCCAAGGTAGATCATGGGCTGTCCTTCAGCCTCTTGAGATCCAGAAGGCGTATCTTGTCGTGTCGTGGGACACAGAGACTGGCTCCAGTCAGAATGTGCTGCCAATGTGGTACAGACCAGAGCACCGAGTACTCTGTACAACGTCCTCCTGCGTACATGTAGCACCCAACCGGCTTTTCCGGGTGCGTCTGATGCTGACACGTCTTACCTAGTTGAAGAAGTAGTGCCAATACTGATAATACTCCGTACTGTTATCATCAATCCTCAGACTCGGCCCAGGCGAGAGAGAGCCAAGAGTACTCCAGACAGGTCGACCATGCTCGTCCCATCCACCCGTCCCCCATGGGGTTCGTCCTTGCGCGCCGCTAGCTGGTGATCCCCGGCAATCTTGCCCATTGGCGTTTTGGCGTTTGCGCGTTTTGGGCGTTTTGGAAATGGCAGCCGCGACGGACCCGCTTGCCGCTCCTGCCACTTCTGCCAGTATAGATAGCCTGCCCTCCTCCTCCCCAACTCGCTCAGCCCTCCAGCGTTCCCTCCTATTGTACCGGTATCTCAGGCTGCTTCAACCAACCCCATGGCCGCCGCTGACGAAAAGGTCGTTGTCGGATACAATGAGAAGAGCGATGTCGAGAGCTCCGGAATTTCCACGTCGCCTGCCATCGACTACGATGACCTCCCGGATCCCGACGTTGGCAAGTCCGACGAGGAGAGGGCCAAATTAGTATGATTGTCGATGCGTATATGTGCCATTATTGAGACCGGATGGAGCTGACCCATCCTCGCAGGATAGAGCCCTCGTCTGGAAGATGGATCTGTGGTTGATCCCCTGGCTGTCCCTCCTCTATCTTCTTTCCTTCCTCGACCGCACCAACATCGGCAATGCCCGTGTCGCCCACATGGAAAAGGACATCCGCATGACGGGCGCACGTGACTACAACAATGCCCTGACCATCTTCTTCATCTCCTACGCTGGTGCCGAGCCCGTCACCAATGTCATTCTCAAGAAATACAGCCCTCGCGTCTTCTTCACCACCATCATCCTGCTCTGGGGCGCCATCATGACCCTCATGGGCTGCGTCCAGAACCAGGCCGGTCTGTTGGCCTGCCGTTGGTTCCTCGGTCTGGCCGAAGCGGGCTTGTTCCCCGGCGTCAACTACTATCTTTCGTGAGTCGGCCCGCGCCCCTCCATGCACCCCTTCGTTTGGTTTCGTTCCTGACTTGACTCCACAGTTGCTGGTATAAGCGGTCCGAGCTGGGAATGCGAGCTGCCCTCTTCTTCTCCGCCGCTGCCCTTGCCGGCTCTTTTGGTGGTCTCCTGGCCGCCGCCATCACCCAGATGCACGGTGTCGGCGGCTATGAGGGCTGGCGATGGATTTGTATGTCTCTTCCTCGAACTCTCGGCTCAGTCGACTAACGGTTCGCAGTCATCATCGAGGGTCTCATGACCGTCTTCGTCGGAATCTTCTGCTGGTGGATGGTCAACGACTTCCCCGACACGGCGCGCTTCCTGACTGCCGACGAGAAGCTGCGGGCCCTGCGCCGCCTGCGCGCCGATAACCAGGCGCGTGCAGAGACCGAGAAGCTCAGCCGCAAGTACGTCTTTGCCGCCTTGAAGGATTGGAAGACCTGGGGCTACGCCGTCATCTACATGGGCTGCCTTTGCCCCTTGTATAGTACGTTTGTCTTGAAAGCATTCCCGCATCGGTCCTGAACCAGCTTGCTGACCGCATACCATAGGTTTCTCCCTCTTCTTGCCCACCATTCTCCTCGGTATGGGTTACAAGGGAACCAAGGCTCAGCTCATGTCGGTGCCTCCCTATGCCGCTGCCGCTACCCTGACCGTCTTCATTGGCTGGCTCGCCGATCGCACCAGATGGCGCGGTTACTGCAACATGGCCGTGGCTGCCACTGGCTGCGTCGGTTTTGCAATGCTCCTCGGAAGCGGCAATGTGCACGTCCAATACGCCGGAACCTTCCTGGGCGCCATGGGCATCTACCCGAGCGTGTCCAATTCCCTCACGTGGGCCTCCAACAACGTAGAAGGAGTCTACAAGCGCGGCGTCATGGTCGGAGTCGTCGTTGGCTGGGGCAACATGAACGGCATCGTCTCGTCCAACATCTACAACAAGCCCGACGCTCCCCGCTACATGACGGGCCACGCCATTGTCCTGGCCTTCCTGGCCGTCTGCCTCTTGGGCGGCAGCATCTTCATGCATTTCGCCTTGAAGCGCGAGAACAGGCTGCGCAAGGCGGGGAAGCGCGATCACTGGCTCGAGGGGAAGAACGAGGAGGAGATTCGCATGCTGGGCGATTGCCGCCCGGACTTCATTTACATTACGTGAGCATCGAGTGGTTTATTGTTGTTGGCAAGCTATGGGGTGTTTTCTGTTTTTCCTCAAGCGAGGGCCTGCATTCTCGTTAACGACCACGTGTGTATGAAGGGGTATGCGTAGAGATAGACTTTTTGATCTTGCACCAAAGGCGCAGTAATGCTCAGGGATTTAACGAACGACTCCAATAGAAAGTCATGAAGCTTTTTGCCGGATTGGAATACAACAGAGCCTTTTCTGGTGAAGAAGAGGGAAAATAAAAATCGGATCCACGATTTTTCTATCATCGGGTGCAATCGTCTTTCTCCTCGGGTGGTGACTCCCTACTGCCGATGCTCAGCGCTCACTTCCCTTCAAGATCCGCTTGTCCGAGAAGTCGCATGTAGCCTGGTATCCCGGAAGCTTGGACTCGGGCTAATAAGCGCGTGCGAGGGACCCACTACTCTGTACTGCGGGTTTCCACGTCCGACTGAACACCGCCTTGTACTGCTGCTCTGAGTTAGATTACCTAGTTCAACTATTTCAATTGGCTACAGCCTGGTTTACGCCACTAGAGCACGGTGTTTCAAGGCTGATTATACCTGGAAGGAGGGGCTGTCAGGCCAATTACAGCGTCAGATATACCCCTGCGACCCCCTGCTGTTCAGTCGGACGTGGAAACCCGCAGTACGGAGTACATGAATGGTATGTAACACGGCAGCGCAGCGCAGCGAATGAGACGGCGCAGAGTACCTAGGCAAGGCAAGGCTAGCCTGGTCAGTTTCGTTATTCGTCTTTGGTAGAAGATGAAGTTGGAGATGAAGATGGAGATGAAGATGGAGAGGAAGATGAGAGGGGAAGCAGGGAAGCAGGGAAGGAAGCAAGAAGGAAAACCAACCATGCATGGATCTATACGAGCGGGCGGGGGCTGTGGGCGGCAGCGGCGGTGGCGGTTTTGTCATGTCATACTGTTAAGTAACAAACATTTACGAGTAAGATGTAAAAACGCTGCGCGCAGGGGACAGCACGATTGGGAGGCTAGGAGGTTACCGTAGTACTTACAAGTACGCCAACTCTTTCAATTTGATACCTAAATCAGCCTTGGAGGCAGGCACAGTAATAATACTCTACCGTCCAGAGTCCAAACTCGCCATCTCTATTTCGCAAATTATTTTGATCGGTGCTGGATGCAGAATTCCGAGTGTTAAGGTAAACGGATTGGTTAGTAGCCTTTGATTTTTTTTTTTTTTTTCACAGATCAGATCATATCAGATGAGAGCTGGGATTTTGAACTGTGGTGTATGAACATAGCATCATGTATATGTTTTCCTTTCTCCTAATAATACAAAAGCACAAGTCCGTCTCACGACGGCCGAGTCCTCCACCTCGTGCGCCAGCCTAGCTCTAGCTCTCTGCGCCATCTACCTGCCTTCAGAAGCGGCGTTACTCTCCCAAGTCACCGGCTTTTTGGCAAACCACATATCCTACATCCATCACCAAACAGAACGAACCCCATTGGCACTCAACGACCTCCCATCCCTCAATCAAGTAATTGCCCTAGAACCACCCGCTATCCACCTCATCCTCGCTCTTGTACGACGGCAGAGGAGAATAACGGGGCAGAGTAGACACGCTCTCGTTGTGAGATGCTGCCGAGCTCTCCGACCCTTCGTCCGACTGCTCCTCAAACTCCTCCTCGAACTCCTGCTCAGACTCCTCATCCGACTCCTCCGCAGACTCCTCCAGAGACACCCGGCGCGAAGGCACGTACCCTCCAAAACGCAGGCCTATACCCTCGAGAGAGAGACGCGACAACTCAAAACTAGAGAGCGAAGACAAGGAAGACGACGAAGACGTGGACGAAGCAGCAGGCGCCCGAACCGTCGACTCGGAATCAGCAGTCGAGGTTGTCGAGCGGGTGGACTCCCCCGAGCCGGAGCGAGCATACGGATCCCCATGTGCAATGAGGACCTCGTGGGCACGAGGCGCTCGAGGGATCCGACCATGCATGTATGGCGTACCGGTGCGAGGAGTGACCGCAGTGGGCGGAGCTTGGATTGACGGCGCGGGCAGAACGACATGGCCTTGCTGCTCCAGGTAGATCCGCATATAGTGCTCGACGACGCTGACGAATGGCGGGGGCTGGAAGTTGGCAACGTCCGCCCAAAGGACAGGCCGACCCAGTGGACGACCGTCGTCCGCATACCGGCCCGTGTGGATGTTCATGAGCGTCATGCATTCCCGGACACGGCCACGGAGACGGCCCAGCTGCTCCAGTTCTAAGCCTTCTGGAAGGGCGATCTGCACAACGCCGAGTGGAGCCGAGAGGCGTTCCGGTCGATGTGGTCTAGCAACATGCACTGGAAGATGAAGAAGGTTCCGACGTTTGGCCATGGCCCGAGTGCGCTTGTTGGCGTACACCACCAGTGCTATCGTCACGGCAATGAGCACGAGGCCACCCCCAACACTTGCCGCAACGACTACCACGGTCGAGGTGCCATTGGCTGACTGCGGTCGTGCTGCTTGGGCCCTGTCCAGAGTCATTATGTCGAATGTGGTTGAAACGAGCGTGGGTTGTCCGGACCAAGTTGTGCCGTGGACTGGGACACAGGAAGGGTTGGGGGAGGGGAGAACCCCTTTTCTGCCAGCGCGCCCCGAAAGTCGACGAGCATGTTGAGCGAATGTATATGACATTGTACTAAAACGAGGCACTTAGTGAAAGTGCAACGCAGGGCCTCCACCGTGAAGATGTCGGGATGTTTCGCATTGTGAACCAACGTTCCTCAGGTGAGAAGCCATACGCTCGTAGGCACATCGTACACATGAAACGCATCTGTAAGAGCGCTCACGGACCCTGCTCTTTCATGGTAACACTGGTTCTCCTCGATGTTGCCCCGCTGGTGTTGCTGCCGCCAGTGTTTCTTTGCCTTAGCTCTTTCATCTCCAGTAACCGTGTTGAGCTCACGCTTGGTTGGAGAGAGAAATAGCCTCCAGCAGCATGTTTCTCGTCACAAGTACACGGGGTCCTCGCTCGACTTTGTGTAGGACTCCGTCTCCACCGGGGACTATGGCTGCCAGCGGTCAAACTCCGGTGGTGGTGGCGTTTTGGGGTCATTGCAGGTAGCTCCAGACGCGAGTTCATGCCGGCCCAGAGAGCTTCGTCTTCTTTCTCGCCGGCCATCCTCCAGCCTCCAAGGCCTTCATAATCTCTTGTCACCTCTCCTGGCCCAACCAGAGACACGAACGAGGCGCTTTTGTTGTGCAAGGGTGGCGGTCGCGGAGTGTCCGAGGAGGTGCTGCTTGTAAGGCTTCCAAGCCGGTGCCGTGTGCGATGAGGGGAAGCGTGCCGTTTCGTCGTCTTCTCTGGGAAAGGCTTAGGCAGGGGAGGAAATAGGTATGCTTGTATGAGCGCAACCGCGAGCTCGAAATAGACGATGGACACACGCAGTGTTAGTGCGCTGATGGCGACCGTGGTCGTGATAACAGCAAAGATCATCATGGGGATCGACACGGCCAGCAGGATTGGCGGCCCTGCGAGGTAGAAAAGACTACGAAACCCGCCCATGGCTACGGTGTAAGGTGAGAGTGATTGTAGAAGGGAGGAGCATGAGTTGGATAGGAGTCCCCTTATTGAGGGGTTGAGTTGTTGGAAGCTTGTGAATGTTGAGGGTCGATGCGGGGCCGAGGTATACAGTATACTTTGCTTACTAAGGACCGTATTGCGTTTTGAATGTAGACTAGCGTCCGTTGAGCCAGTAATACATAACCAGACGACATTCATCAATTTCACGAACCTCGTGTCATGTCCTAGCAACCGTAGTAATCACTACTCTTCTTCTGGAGAAAACGACCATTTAACACCTTCGTGTACTGCCTGGCTCACGCTCCTCCGCGTTTCGACCAAGATGTTTCAAGTGACAAAGCCGCCCAAACGACAGTGTCTCCAAGACAAGGTGACTTAAGCCGTCCCAAGCATTCTGAGCCACTTCACAATCTTGAAAGCAGCACACTTCCTCGTTCATTGTTCTTTTGTCTCCGGCTATCTTTCTCCTTGTCTGGAGCTCGATCCTATTTTTAGCGCTCTTATACCCTTTGCAAAACTTAAAGGTTCAAGGATACCAGAATGCCACTTTTTCTGCACGGTTTCCCTTTCCTACCTCACGATTCTCATTCCATTTCAATCTTGGCCATTTCAAAATGAACTCTCAGCAAATCAGCACCGCCCAGCCTTCCACGGTCTCAACCGCGCCCTCCTCAACCGTCGCAGCATGCTCTGCTGCCACAAAGACAACCGAGGAGAAGAGAACCCGCTTCACCCGCGCTGAGCGACGCGCCTTTGCCAAAGAGAGGAAGGCCGAGGCCTCGCATAATCCAGCTCATGGAGGGAAGAAGGGCGGAAAGCTCCCTCACAAGTGTGCCCACAACCATCGGGACCCCAAGCTCAATTCCCAGGCCTCCACCCAGGCTGTCGACGACATGATTGCCTACCTTATCAGCATCCGCGGCAAGGAGGGCAATCGTAATGTTCAGGAAATGCTCAAGGGTGCGCACAAGAAGGGTCTTGAGAATCGCATTACACGCGGTGCTCCTGGAGCTACATCCGCGCCCCAGAAGAAGAAGAAGGAAATCTCCCCCGAAAAACTGGCAAAGATCCAGAAGCGTAAAGAGTTGCGCGCTGAGAAGAGGAAGGCTTTTCGTGAGGCTCGCCATGATGCGAACAAGCAGGAGCAGAAGCCCGAAGACCAGAAGTCTGAGGAGAAGGTCTCGGAGGGGCAAAAGTCCGAGGAACAACCTCAGAAGCAGCAGCAGGAGACTAAGCAACTCAACGGCACCGTCGAGAATAAAGCGTCCGAGGAGCCCTCAAAGCCAGCTGAGATGAAGCCGGGTGAAGAGCCTTTGAAGGACCAGCATGAGAAGACGGAGGCGGAGGATGACCCATACGCCAACTTTGACGAAATTGACTTGGACGACTCTGACTAGATTCCCAGTTTCAACATTTTCAGGTAGGTCCTTTCTAACGCTGCCATATCCCCCGTTTCCAGAATTCCTGTCATTTCTTGTCCCTACTCTGAACCTCATATTCCCTCCATTGTATAGTACAACTCCTGTTTGCCAACACCCTCCCATGTCTTGTAAATCCACAATGTAGGCAAACAAACAATGCAACCCCTTCTGCTCTATCTTAAATATCATCCCCCTGCTGTGACCCACACCTCTCCCAGACTCAACCCTCAACGTGGTGATCCATCTCCATCGATTGGCCGGCCCACTCGAAACCATGCATCACCACGTTTCTTCCTACTACTCGCGCCGCGATGGCGATCCAGCCGTCAAAGGCGCCATCACTCCTACCCAACAGAAGACCCTCCTCATCGTCCTCGTCGTCCTCACCGTCTTCATAATCCTCGCCATCGGCGTTCCAATTCTCTACTTCAAACTCCTGCACCGCAGCCGCACCCAAGCCGCAGACGTCGAAAAAGCCTGCAACGCCTGCACCAACACCGATAACTCGTCAGTAGATCCCAATCTCCCTTTCCTCCAACGCCACCTCGCCGTCCTCCGCGCCTGGAAGAAACCCACCCCAATCACGAATGGATCCGCTCCAAAAATGCCCCTGGGGATTTCTGAGCTCTGGCCTACCGTTCCCAAGCCCGTAGCTGCTAATAAGCGGTACAGCGGCCGCCCAATGGATTTCTACACCCAGCATCGCCGCTTCCATCGGGTATCGGGTGGTCGGCCTGTAGGCGGCGTAGGTGCTCCGAATGGGAATGGGGGTAGGAGGGGGAATGCGAGTGAGCCGCAGCGCCCGCCGCCTGTGCCGCCCAAGGATGGGCCGAGGAGGTATAACCCTTATTATGGCGGGTTGGCGATGTCTCCCGAGTATACGAGTCCGGCAAATCCCTTCCATGGGAAACAGGGTCGGTATCGTTGAGGTAAATTGAGTGCTTGGAGTGTGAGACTGATGTCAACGGAAGTGTTGGCTCTTGTGCTGTGGTTAGCGCATATGCTTGTGGTAACTGCGCTGTCTTTGTGACTTGGAATCGATATAGTGTCAGCTTCGGATTCAGTAGAGTGAATATCATACCATCCATATACCATATACAACTGTTCCCTCCTGCCCATGAAAACACTTGAAATACACACGTGCCTCTCCATGAACCAACATACAACCCATCTGCCACAACCCCTCCCTAACGTACCTCTCCAACCTTCACTCTGCCCTTACCCCACCCCCAACGCATCAATTCCAAGCCCTCAAATCCGCCTGCTGATCCGCATCCCGCCACCCCTTATTCTCCCTACTCATCTGCTCGAGCGCAGTCTCTTTCCTCTTCGGCGCCGCCGCTGACGGCGTCGCGCTCGCATTCGCACCTGCGCCGCTCTTCTTTTTTTGCTGCGACGCGAGGCGCTGCTCTACGGCTGCGGCGCGGCGAGCGCGCTCCTTTGGGGAGGTTAGATAGAGGGAAAAGGGTAGCAGTGACGATTTACGCGGACAAACAAAATTCAGAAGTTTAACTGAGAGCATCTTGATGGAAGAAATCGACTTAAGGAAAGAGACAATGGGAGAGTGAAATCGATTTGAATACAGAAATGTCATTGGAACATACCTCCTCCCTCAACCTCGCTTTCTCCTCTCTAAATCTCCTCGCCTCCTCCGGATCCGCTGGCTCGGGCGTGGGTTCTCGATTTTGGAGAGCGCCTTGCGATGATTGTCCCTGACCCATTGCCGCTCTCAAAACTTTTTTTTTTTTCAAAGACGATTGTTTTTTCGAAATATGCGTATATGAACGAATGGGTGTAATCCAGATTTTATATGTCAACAAAATAGGAGAAGTTCGACTGGTGAATGATCCGTGCGCTAGGCAACCTTCAGGCTGTCAAGGAGGTCTTGCTGTCCTTGAGCGTGAAGGACTGGTGGCACAGTTGCGTCACGTGGTGCTTTGAGTATCAGCCCTGGAGGTGTCGTAAGAGTGTGCAAGTAGGTGTTGAAGCAAAGGTTGAAAGGGAGTCGCGAAGTGCGACCGAGATAGAAGCATTGACGCGAGTCAAGAAGCGAGGAGGGCAAAAGTATCCGTATCGGGAGAATGCGTCTAGACCTAAGCGGGCTTAAAACGATACAAAGAAACATGCTGAACGTTACTTCAACGTTGGAGTTTCGCTCAGATTAAAATCTGAAAAGACAGGACAACAATTCGAATCGCCTTCAAGCAACGTCAAAACATTGAGCGCAGGGAGAGAAGGGAGAAATCGTCCAATATTCTGGCTCAAAAGCAAATCATGTACAATACATTAAAGGGTCATTATTTAAGCAAACGCCTATAACTGCTCGTTGACGAACAGACCAGCCATACCCATACCCGTGCCAATGCACATGCTGGTCAACAGGATCTTCTTCTTCTGCCTCCTGCATTCGCTGAGACCAGTGACGATCTGCCTGGCGCCGGTGCAGCCGAGAGGGTGGCCGAGAGCGATGGCACCGCCTCTCACATTGAGCTTGGAGTGGTCGATCTTGAGGGTCTCGAGGCAGTAGACGGCCATAGAGGCGAAAGCCTCGTTGATCTCAATGAGATCGATCTCCTCGAGGCTGAGGTTGAACTGCTTGAGCAGCTTGGGGATGGCGACCGAAGGGCCGATACCCATGATGCGGGGAGCAAGGCCGGCAACGGTGGCACCAACGAACTTGGCCATGATGGGCTGGCCGAGACGCTCAGCAGTGGAGCGCTTCATGAGGAGGACGGCGGCGGCACCGTCCGTGACCTGGGAAGAGTTTCCACCAGTGGACCGGTCTCCGTGCGGCATGAAAGCAGGGCGGATCTTGGACAGAGCCTCGTAGGTGGTTCCGTACCTGGGGCCCTCGTCCTTGGTAAGGGTCACCTGCTTCACCTCGCCAGTCTTGGGGTCCTTGACCTTAACCTGGATGGGGACGATCTCGTCGTCGAACCAGCCCGCCTTCTGCGCAACCTCCGCCCTCCTGAAGCTCTCGCACGCGTATCTGTCCTGCTTCTCCCTTGTGATGTTGAAGTCCTTGCCAACGTTCTCCGAGGTCTGACCCATGGGCTGCATGCAGTCGCGGGCATCCTGGTTGGCAGCCAGGATCTCGTCGAAGAAGGGACGCTCCAGCTTGTCACCGCCCTCGGTCATGGACTCAGCGCCAATGGCAAGACCAATCTCGATGGCGCCGGTAGCAATCTGGTTGGCAATGTCCTGTACAGCCTTCAAGCCGGAGCTGCAGAAGCGGTTCACGGAGGAGCCGGAGGTGGTGTTGGGGAAACCGGCGGCGAGCATGGCAGCACGGCAGTAGTAAGCGGCCTTTGCGGATGAGACCTAAGAGGCTTGTTAGATTTGCCATTGGAGACACATCGTGCGGAAACGTACATTGCCGAGGCAAATGTCCTCAACCAGAGCAGGGTCCATGTTCATCTTAGCGACGACCTGCTCCATGAGCTTGAATATAATGCCATCGAGAGGCGTGTCCTTGAAGCCACCCTTGAAGCCCTTGGTCAGAGGCGTGCGGATGGCGAGGGTAATGACAATGTCATCGGGATTCTTCGTGGTACTGCAATACGTGCATTAGCATTTATTACTTGGACATTCGGAGGTCTGGCGGCTCATGAAAGCTGACATGAGTTCATGGTGAACGTACATTGCCGCGAGCCCGCTCTTCGACGGAGTCATGTGGGAAACGATGGACTTGAGACGGTCGGCCATTTTGAAGACTGTGTGGTAGACGGAGAATAAAGGAGAAGGAGGATTGATACCACGGGGAGGAAAGGTGAGAGCAGTGAGAATGCGGAGGATTTGCGGAGACGACGCTCTTTAACATAGTTAATTGTGGGGCGAGATACCGAGGCAACTCGGCCATCATGTCACGGGATCCGGCAATTTGATTCGGTTCCAAGGTTGTACACCAACAAGGCCTCCAGTCCCGAAGTTACTAACAGACGTGTGAACTAGACTATCCGAACTGCTCAAATATCTCGGCCGCTATATGTTCTGGAGCTGGCTCTTGACGGGTCGAGACGGTCCCTAGTGTACTTGTACATGAACTCGAAGACAGTCCAGGAACGTCGCCACCTCCGCATCTTGGTCTTACCGCGGTTGTAGTTGTGGAGTATACTTCCCGTGAGTAGTCTGGGTTTCCGCCCCGGCCTTCAGTTTAGTAAACATCGTTAAGCCCTGACAAATGGATAGATATTGTCATTCTATTATGTATGATCTATCAGTGCATCCCGCTGAGAGACTCAAAGTCTTGAAATAGAGAGAATATTTATGCGACTATCATACTTCACATCTAACTTACCTCTCTTCTCGTCGAACAGTCTTTTCAGACGGCCTCACAGGTTGGAATCGATATGGTCACGTGATGCTCACCTTCACCAGAATACAATGATCAAAGCAAATGAGGCGGAACCCTAAACAGACACTGGTAAGCCAGTTATACCGTGGAATGATCTATTTCGGTCCATGTCCTGTTGTCTTGAGTCCGCCATCCCTAAACATAGCCACTCCTGGGTTAATCACACTCCTACTATGATTGGGGCAAAAGCGTTAAACGATAAATTGAAACATGAAATGTATAATGTTCAGTCTTTTTGCGGAAGAGTTGGACCTTAGAGACGCTGTAAAGTTGTGGTGTAACTTTCAGGAGGCAACAACCATTTTCCTTTTCAAACGAAAAATGAGCCCCAGGTGTCAGTGGCGCCGAAAACTCAAATAGACACCGGCTCTCACTTTCAGATATGGTAGCCGAGCCGCAGGAGCGGGCCTGTCTTCTTGCAGTCCTCTTTCTTCCCCTTCTACCCTCATAATAAGTCAGTCCTCCTCAACGAGACATCGCGCCCGCTTTTGGCACCTTTTTCGCCTGTTCACACTTTACTGTCTGACATGAGACCCACAGTACATAACATGTCGGCCACGAACAACATCTCCGCCGCAACCGCTTCGCTCTCCGTCGAGCGGGCCAGGACAGCAGCTCTCTGCTTCGACCGCATCCGCCAGACACTCCTCGGCGCCATTCGTCTTAGTGCTAGAGACAAAAGGAAGGCAAAGCTCGCCGTTGCTGAAGCATTTGATGTTTGGGATAATTTCCCGACGAAGACAAGACCGGGAACTCATCTCAATGATTCCTGGTCCACATCCTAGCCTTACCATACCTTTGATCAGTGAAGCTGACGACTCTCAGGCGGGAGAACTAGACAAGGAAGCAATGAATCGTGTCATGGATTGAAGTCAAACAGAGTCCAGGCTACCGAGGAAACAGTAGATGGCTCCACAGAACATGTATGGCTCTCCTTTCTATAGAACTGCGCTTCGCGTCACAGGAATAAATCCTGCACCAATTGGACCGTCCACTCGAGTTGATGGTTTATCCGATATTCCACGGGAAACGTCAATGATGTCAGAGGACCTCACCAGTCACTCTCCTTACAGAGGTAAGTAAAGTTGTATATTCAACATTAACTGAGGAGCAGGACGCCGTTGAGTCGAGAGAGAGGACCGGGATACATAACGGAGAGTTTATCGCTCGTTCCGTCTCAGCCCAGCAGAATCCAAATCCGACTCCACATCTTGACGCAGTTGGGCAATATTTGCCGTTTCTCTTCCAACCTCTCTGTCCAAGTCCCTCACAGCGGCGACTACCCTGGAGCTATTTGACTCTGCTTCTCTCTGTAAGTTCCTAGCAACACTGGAAACTCTCGACGCGTCCGTCTCCACCTGCTGCTGTGCTTCCCTACCTGCACTGGCCGCTCTGGCCACTTGCGACTCTGCTTCCTTCTGCAAGTCTCCTGCTGCACTGACAACCTCCGAAGTGTGCGATTTCACCTCCCTTTCCAGGCCCTTTCCAGCATCTAATACCCTAGCCTTTCCGATCTCCAGGTCTTTCTCAAACAAGTTCCTTCCCTCCTTAACCTTCCCTTCTACATCCCTCCCCACATCCTCCTCCAACCTCTTCAACCTCTCCTCCTCCTTCTTCGCCACTTCCTCCAGCAGACTTGTCACTTTATGTCCATATTTCATCTCCAACTCTTCCACCTTCTGCTGAATCTTACTCATTGCTCCGCTCTTCCCCTTCTCCCCTTTATCCATCAAGTCCCTCACGCTCGGAATCTGCGGATTCGTCGCAGTCCGCCTATTCCTCAGATCGCCCACACTGACAAAATTATCCGGCGTGTTGGTCTGTATATCCGCCTTCACATCTTCATACATAGCCTCTACCACGCGCACAACTTCATACACATCGAGCGGACAATCCGGGCGGCTGAAATCTCGCTCCCGCTGCTCAATGAACTCGCGCACCTTCTTCCACTCATTCTCATAGTACCGCAATCGCATGGGTAATCCACTTCCCTTCAAATACGTCAACAAGCCAGCTATAACGGTGTTAATAGCGCCGAAAGCCGTGACGCCCGAACTGCTCGATCCGGCAGCGCCCATGGCCGTCAGCGCGGCGGCAACGATGATTTGCACCCCGAGGCAGCCGTTGATGAGGACGGCGGCGAATTTGTAGCCCTGTTTGGCTTGCCGCTCGCGGTGGATGACGCGGTTGTAGATTCCGAGGTTGGGGGCTGCGCGGGAGTTGGGGATGAGGTTGTTGTGGGAGAGGTTTGGCTCGCCGTTGGGGGCTAGAGAGGGGGAGGAGAGGATGCCGACTAGGTGCCGGAAGATGGTCAGTTTGTCTTCCGGTTGGAGCTGGGGAGACGTCAGTGGAGTTATCGTCAGGAGGTTTTGAGGATGTTTGCGCACGTTCTGGTTCCCGCGTTGACCTCCCATTGTTGGGTATTGGAGAACGGTGCTGTCGGACATGCCGTCTTCTAAGTGTGAACGGCGTTGGCGTCCTCTACCCAGAGAGGACCTGAGAAAGTCCATGTCCTAGAGAATTTCTTGCGTATCAAAGGAAAAAAGAAGCTGAGAGGCACTGAAGCTTGGAAGAATGAAGGAACAACAGGAGGAGGGTATCATAAGAGCCGCGAAGCTCAACTATAGTCTCAAATTCGCAAGTCCACCGCTGAACTTCCCATAAGTCAATCAGGCGAGAGATTGCGACCTGAAAGACGGAATGCTGAAAATGTACATGGGCGTCAACCTAATTATCTATACACCAATACCCAGAAACCCCCCTCCACCAGTGTACCGTCGTTGCATGCGCCAGAACCCGTCTACACGGATAGTTAAAGTGATTTACCCCCCCTCCTCCCCAAAATTGCTAGCGCTCCCTTTTAAGAACGGCAGAGAAAAGCCATCCCGAGCGTACACCATCCAGGATTGGTACACTCCAGCTGAGAAGCTGCACGCCACCTGCGCCGGGGTTCTCGCTTCAGCCGTCCAATGTCGACACTGGTCCCGCCACAAAATATTGGGACATATTGTGTAGGACGGAGTACTCCGTGTGTAAAACCGGATTCGCCTGAGTTCGAGATATGGAAATCGCGATCATTAAGGGCGGGGTGGTTCTTGGTCTCGGCGGGATGGTGTGCGAGACCGAGGAGTTGTAGGGGCTGAGATGGTGTGCGGAGTGGCCAGTGCTTAATTTTCATAGTGTGGACCACGAACAGGGGACCGGAATCTACCTGTACTGGAGAATCTACGCTGAGTGCTTCGCCCTCAGACTTCGTTATTGCTGCATGGCAGTAAACCTCGCTCGAGTTCCACGACGGCGAACGAGGAGTGGGAGGCGGTGTCCGTGGAATTACGGTCAGAAAAGAAAACAACGAAAGAAGAAGGGGTCAATCGGGGGTATGCGAACAGATATCCGATTCAGAATTGATACCCTAGCCATAATGTTTGGCGTCAGGCAATGTCCACATAATGCCCTCTTAGGCATCGTTACGCATGCGTGGAGAAGCGGGTTGCCAGGTAGTCAGTAGCAGGAGAATAACAATGCTCGCTAAACACAAAAAAGGTACATAGTAGTAAATACTCTCCACACTAGGTGGTTATGATACCGCCCTCAATCACAATGGTCCGTCCCGTTATATAATCTGAATCCGGACTGGACAAGAAGCTTACTGTGCTACTGACATCCTTAGGATACCAACACTCCCGGGGGGTATTAAATCTTGGTGTATTTCTTGATCGTCTCGCTTGTCGGGACGTCCTTCAACTTGGCCAGCTGCGTGACATACGTACGGTGCCATGGGGAGGATGCAGCACCCACTTGCCTTGCGGTGGACGACAGAGAATCGAGCCGGAAACGCCCGGGGTTGCAACTTAAATGACATGATGATACGGTTGGTATAGTTGAACTAGAAAGATACACTTGCTCAGGTCTTGAGCAGACATATTAGGATGCTGAAGCGGAATACGCGTCTACCCCTCTTGATATCAATGTGTTTACAAGTTTTGATTGGCCGGAATTCGGGATGTCCAATATACGTTCCCCATCATTTTGCACCGCTCACTCCGGTTTCATAGGCACGGATTCGACGTCTCACGGTGATGAGTGTTGTCGTCGCGTCCCAGATAGAAACACGAAAGAGGGGGTTAAATTGTGTGAATGTGAGGGAGTCTCGGGAGTCTCGGGTTATCTCCGGCCCGAGCAACCTATTTCGGGATTAGTTTGTTGACGGAGTGGGGACCACGAGGTTCAACAACACCACCATGACGGACACGGTCTCCAGGGTCGCAAAACATGTCTCGCCCAAGTGTTGCCCCGTCGCGGGCTTTGACGCTCACCGAAGAGTTGGAGAAGCTGGAGCAATCTATCACATTGACTCTGCAAGGTAGTTCACTCCCCCAGTCTGAGCGCCGTCAACACTGACTCGGATAGAAATTGACCACAACTTCAGCCGAGCGCATCGTATCGTGACCACGAGCATTCTCCCTATTGTTGAACAGTATGGGAAGCACTCTGAGGCAGTATGGGAGGGATCCAAGGTGCGCCCGGATGTCAGCCGTTTGGACAGGTTACTGAACCCGGCCAGTTCTGGAAGCAGTTCTTTGAGGCGAGCGCCAACGTCTCCCTCTCAGGTTATGAGTCCCCGGGCGATGATACTGCGCACGAGGAGACCAGAGAATCGCAACTGTACGATGAAGAGGCAGATGAAACTGTAACCGGCGCAACCGCGACTCCTCCACGTCCTTCTTCTTCGCAAACCCAGGAGCTTGAAGATACATCCACCCTAGATTCCTCTTCTTTGGCACACGCTCATAGTACTCCGAGAGCACCTCACGCACAATCAGAAGGAGCATCGTTTGCAGACTATCCATCCCCCTATGAAACACTCAGGCGCGAAATGGAGGCAGAAGGGACAGGCCAGCCGGAGCCGCTTACGCCGGGAAGAAGAACACAAGAGCTACCCGACATGTCCATGGCCGAGTCATCCCCTTTCAAGCTGCCTATGGCTGGGCAGAAACAGTCACACGTTAAAGATCCAGTACTCCACCACATGTTGGACAAGACGTATCGCATTGCTGCTACTCCACACACCGCACAGAAGTACAAAGCGCCCATTGGCAACACGCCTGGAACTGGGAGGCGTGGAGCCCCGGCGTTGGCACAATGGGCTATCGATTCATCTCCTCCTTCTTCGCCAGCACCACAGCTGCGCGCTGATATATTCTCCTCACCTCTGAAGGCACCTCGCACTCCAGGAGTAAGCGTACAGACCCCTGGAAGGGGAAGGAAGACTTTCGAAGCCACTCAAACGAAAGGCATTTTCGACAGTGATAGCGACGAGGATGACGATGGTCTGGACTTTAGCCCCCCGAAGACGATGCAGTTTCACATACCTCAGAGCAGATTACTTCAAACCCCAGGTTCGTAACATGGCCCCCTCATATGTTCGTCCTTTGGTTGACTTCATACCAGCACGTGAAGCGAGCAGGCGAATTGTGGAAGACCTTCTTTTGACAGCAGGCGGTGACATCACGGATGACACCGGAGGTCTCGCAGAGGACGACAGCCCGAGTGTTGTCAGACGGCAAGTTGATCTTGATGATAGCTTTTAATGAATCCGATGCTTTCGCAGAGGACGCTGGTACACAAGTTGCATTTTGTACCTGGTGTTATGTTTAGACTCAAAGATACCCACATAGATCCAATGATGTTTTTCCTGTCTTTTCTTTTGGAGATAGTGCTGAGACCGTCCCATCTTCACATGGAAATGGTTTGGGCCGGGGAGTTCTTACGCTAAACCCGATCGGGCAGCTGTTGGCCGCCGGGGAGGCATCGTCATACCAAATTCAAAAGATTGTTCCTTTCCACGCCAGGCCATCCGAAGGCCTTTCTCTCGCCGCTGGCTGTCTCCCGGCCTCTCCACAATGCCGAAAAGCCGTAGACCACCGACATCTGGCTATGCCAGAATCGCGCAAGCGGAAGAGGAAGAGGAGGAAGATGGCCTGCACGAGCAGTCGGATGAGGACTACCATCACGGCACCGTCCTAGACTTGCAGTACACCCGAATACAACCCAACCGTAGCTCTCGGATGCGTATGCCTGGAAGTTCCAGTGATGCGTCTCCCAAGCTCCGAAGAATGAGCTTCGGGCGCAGACACCGTAGCAACTCGGGAGTTGACATTAAGGCGATCAACGCGAGATTCGAGCGATGGGCCGAGGAGATAGCCCAGAAATTCAAAATCAAGAAGTCGAAAGGGAGGCCGGAGGAAGAGCCGCTTGAGATACATCATTCCGTCTTCCAGGCACCGGACTGGATCCGACCCGCCACCGCCGAAACTCTCACATTCGACTACGATGCCTCCGACCGTATGACTTCGTTACAATTCGAGGAGATTGTGGAAAGTGTCAGGCTAGCTATTGAAATGGGCACACATCCAAAGCTCATTTCGCAAGGCAGCTCTGGAAGTTATTTTGCGCGGAACACTCAGGGGAAGGTTGTGGGCGTCTTTAAACCCAAAGATGAGGAACCATACGCGTCAAGAAACCCGAAATGGACGAAGTGGATACATCGGAACTTATTTCCGTTCTTCTTTGGGCGCGCATGCCTTATCCCTAACCTCAGCTACGTCTCCGAAGCTGCCGCGTTTGTCCTCGATACACAGCTCCGCACCAACCTCGTCCCTTATACCGACATTGTCGCCCTCTCCTCCAAATCGTTCTACTACGACTTTTGGGACCGTAGGGCTTACTATAGGAAGAAGAAGCCGCTGCCAGAGAAGGTTGGCAGCTTTCAGGTTTTCTTGAAGGGCTACAAGGATGCCAACATCTTCTTGAAGGAGCATCCCTGGCCAGATCAACATAACTCGGGCCTTCGGACGGAAGCGGCGTCCCGGAAGAAGAGGAGGAGATGGGCGGAGGATTGCAGACCCGGGGGACCACAGACGGACAACGAGGATGAGCGGCCAAACGCAGAGGAAACGCACCAGAGGAGAGAGTTTTGGACAGAAAGCCTTCAGCAGTCATTCCGGGAGCAGCTTGAGAAGCTAGTTATTCTGGATTACATTATGCGCAATACCGACAGAGGCCTTGACAACTGGATGATCAAGATCGATCCAAAGACGGAGCAGGTCAGCATTGTGGCAGAACCACCACACACGAACGTATCCGCAGGAGGTGAAAATGAGCCAAGCCTCTACACCAAACAGTCCATGTATGAGCAAGACCCGTACAAGCGGCAAGAGCCAATGCGAGCAACAAGCCGATCAGCGACACCGTTGCCTGATACGTCGGGGCCCAGTGTTTCTATAGGGGCCATCGACAATAGCCTGTCATGGCCTTGGAAGCACCCTGATGCTGTAAGCCTAATAATGTCCCCTTCTTGAATTAACATCTAACATCCATAGTGGCGAAGTTATCCATTCGGCTGGCTGTTTCTGCCTGTCTCTCTCATCGGCCAGCCGTTCTCCGATGCCACTCGCCGCCACTTCCTGCCGCTGCTCACATCGAAGCAATGGTGGAGCGACACGCAATTGGCGCTTCGGAAATGCTTCTCGCAAGATGCAGATTTCAAAGAGCGCATGTTTGCAAAGCAAATGGCTGTGATGAAAGGGCAGGCATGGAATGTGGTGGAGACTCTCAAGACGACCGACCATGGACCACTGGAGCTGACACGTAGGGCTAGAGTTTGCGTATGGGATGATCTAGTGGATATCCCCATCGCGGTGCCCTTACGTGCCCCATCAGCAGAGATGCGGCGTAAGCAAGAGCAGGATGAACATCGCCACCGGTCGGCGCCCGAACACGAAGAGATGGACATTACCGCACTTTCAAAGCCGCCACAACAACCGCAGTCCGATCTCCTTCTCAATTCCCCACCCCTGGAGCTTGCGAATGAGAATCGCTTCAACCTCTCTCGCCAAGGTAGCTCCATGAATGTACATGACCGAGAGCAACCTATAGCGCAAGCAACGCCCTGGAAGTCTCTTGGTGTCAATGGCGGATCAGCCGATCTATGGCAGAACCGTCCGTCACACAAGTCCCGCGTGAGCTTCGACGCATCCCGACACAATGGAAAAGAAAATGACAGTCAGAGAAGAAGATTCTCGCTAAACTCTAGGAGAGGCAACAGCTCCTCATTTCTTGGTGACGACGACGAAGGGGACCTAGGGTATGCTGCGAATGTAGACCTGGATGGTAACACCAAGAAGGTGATTGTGGAGAGGCTGGAAATGGTGAAGGCCAGGAATCCTGTGTTCACGTGGTGTTAAGTGTTTGATATTGTATATATAGGGCATGAGGGTTATGGTAAGACGAGAGCTCGCATATGGATGGGTTCCCAATGGCTGTTGCATCTGTGTGGCGTCAATCTAGTTCTGGGGTTGATATCTGTTATGGTACTACGTACCCAAGGGACCTGGATTGTATTACTAAATTCGAAGCCTTCCATCTATGCAGGCAATTCAATGTCTCATTCTTATCGGTCGGTCGTTTCCCATGACACCCCGAATTGCACCTGGGCACTCTCTGAGGGTCATCTGACCCAGTTGTGGCTCAACTGCGCGCACGGGCCAGTTATGCGCCACCCAACCGTGACTTTACGAAGGTATCAACACATGCAACACTTCCTCACCTCAAACAACCGTTTTGTATGCAACTGGCCTCGGAATGAGTTGTTCATACCGAGCCTTGTATCTGAGAACCCTTTTCTCACTTTCCGCTCTGCCCGCTGCTCAGTGCGAACACGATACCCGCTGACTACTGAACTCCTTCACCAGAGCGAGCGCCGCTGGAGGCAGCAAGTCGAAACAGCTCGCTTATTCGACCAAATCCTCTCTTACTCGTGAAAGGCACGTCTCTAACGACGTCAAATGAAGCGTCATACCGTCCCGTCACCGCCAGAGGTGTGAGAGATTGCTTTGACCGCCTCTTCTTTCGTTAGCTGTCACGGGATGTGGGCGGAATATAAGTAAGAGATGGATCCTGCGTTTCTGCTTAACCCCAAAGGCGAGCGTCGACGAGGTAACAAGCTCTCTTCCTTCTCTTTATTCCCATCCTTTCTCTCAACCTCCCGTTTTTCTACTTCCTTATCCTCAACCCCATCTTTGTTCGCCATGGACGGGCCAGAAAACCGTCTTGCCCGGACGCCTACGCCTCCCTCCTCACATGCACAACCTCAATCCTTAACTTCATCTTTCAACAGCCCTGATTTTCAGACTCCGGAGGCGGAATCTGCAACATATCTTCAACCTTGTCAAGACGGCTCATTGGCTGTCGATGATGATGAGCTAACGTTGGAAGGGCAAGCCGCTGTGAACGCAACTCCGGTACAGCCTGGTTATGATCCCCGCGCTCTCCTTAATCCCAGGACCGCTTCCAAGCGACCTGCCGCTTCGGACGCTGGTAGCGAACGTGGGCCGGACGACATCCCTCCCAACGGTCAGGTTTCTCTTGTTGAGCGCCTGCACAATGTGCAACAAAGGACTGCGTCCCCGGCTAAGCGTCCCAAAACCGAAGACGAGCATACCCGTCAAGCGACGCCGAATGTCTCCGGCGGCAGTACTTTGGCTATGAACGCGCATAGTCAGGCGTCACCTTCCGCACTACCGACAAATCCATCCGCATGTGTTGATCTTACCATGAGTAAGTAAAAGATAGAGACGCAACATATACATTCTGACAATTATGTAGGTGAAGACGAATCAGATGTTCAGGTAGTCAAGGATAACGGCAAAGAGATCATTTGTATAGGGAAGGTCAAGCAGGCATACGTCCAATGCCATACCGTTCCCAATCCCGATCCACAGAAGTACAAGGGCAATTCTGGATCGCAGGGCCGTATCAAAGTCACTCTCCGCCGCGGAGGAATTGATAAGAAGACACTCCTTATCATGGTCGTCGACCCGACAGGCAAAGAGTTTGGCCGTATAGACTACCGAACGGCGAAGGCGCTCGCGCCATTGCTGGACGGCGCACGTCAAACTGGACTTAAGTGGATTTCCTCGACCGACCCACGGAGGAAACTTCAAGGTGAGTTGAACGTTGTTTACTAAAGTCACTTCCTGCTGACTCGCTCGGTTATCAGGGGAAGGGCCGCCAGGGTCACCGACGCAGGCGCTTATATCCATTACACTTCAGTTGTACTGTCCTCGCATGATTTCAAGCAGTATTGGGCGATTCATGAAGGCGCAAGCGGTATATCTTGGTGACCCCATCCTGGAAATCGACAAGTACGATTACTATAATCCGCAAAACGCGAATTCATACAGTGTCAAAGACATCTTGCAACCGAACAACGTCCATGCAACGTACGCGAGGCAGGCTCAGAGCTATGTGGCAAATTACACAGTTCGGAGTGTGGAAGAGATCCGCAATGACGTGTTGGGCGTGTTCGACAAGATCACCAAGCAGGAAGACATTCCACGGCGATCGCAACCGGCTCTCATCACAACTAAATTGCTGAAACACCAGGAGCAAGCACTCCACTTCATGCTCGACAAGGAGGCGGACTGGACCGATGACCAGGACTCTTGGAGGGACTCACTCTACAAGGTCGAAACTCGGGACAACGGCCGCAAATACTACGTTCATGTGTTAACGGGGGAAAAGTTCAATCATCAGCCACCCCGCGCGCGTGGCGGTATCCTTGCTGATGAGATGGGTCTTGGAAAGACACTAAGTATCTTGTCACTAATCGCGCACGAGGAGTCCATGGAGGCAGCGAAGGCGTTTGCTCGGAAAGGCCCCCCTCTCGCGCCGAATGGCGCACGCCTGCAAACCATCAACAGCAGAGCCACACTTCTCCTCTGTCCTCTGAGCACCATGGTCAACTGGAAGACGCAAATGAACGAACATTTTGCCCAAGGCCAGGGACTCAAGTGGTGCTACTATCATGGCCCTGATAGGAAAGACTTCACCCCAGATGCCTTGGCGGACCACGATCTTGTCGTCACAACCTACAACATCGTCGGCATGGATGCTCTTGACAGGAAGAAGCCGCTGAGTTACATCAACTGGTTCCGTATCGTCCTGGACGAGGCCCACCAGATCCGGTCGGGCACAAGCAAACAAGCCAAGGGTGTCTACGCGCTTGCTGCACAAAGGCGTTGGGCCGTGACCGGTACTCCGATCCAAAATCGCCTTGAAGATCTCGGTTCGTTGTTCAGATTCCTCGGTGTCAAACCATTTGATGAGCCTTCCATCTTCAAGTCAAACTTCATTGCCCCCTTCAAGATGGCCGATGAAGAAGTTCTCCCAAAGCTTCAACTTCTGGTCAGTTCTCTGACCCTGCGTCGCACCAAGGAAGGAAATATCATTCTTCCGCCTAAGCATGATCAGATTGTGCGTCTGAAGTTTACTGAGGACGAAGAACGGCTGCACAGAACTTTCGAACTGGACTCTTTGCGCCAGATAACTGCAATGACGTCCGGGGACAAGCTTGGCTCAACTGCGTACGCCCGCATCTTGAAGGCCATCAACTATCTTCGGCAAATCTGTGCTCATGGTCGAGATCTTCTCAATGACGAAGCGCTCAAGATCACCGAAGGGATGACCTCTGAGCACCCAGTGGAACTTGGCGACGATGACGAAGAGATCCCCGCACTCCAGAGAAAGCAGGCGTATGATATGCTGGACATCTTTGTTCAAACCGACGCAGACAAATGCCAGTTTGAGAGCTGTCGGAAGAGCATATGCAACCCAGCGGAGACGTCTGACAGTGAGGAATCTGACGATGATGACGGCCAGGATTCTGATCTGTTGGGTGTCATGACTCCCTGTTATCACGTTGTATGCCCTCAGCATGTGAATTTGCTCAAGCAGCAGTGGAGCGAACTCCAAGGCGAGGACGGCTATGTGGCCTGTCAGTTCTGCGATACCCGAATTCGACCCGTAATGTTCAGTTTGAGCGAGTCCGAATATGATGAGTTCCACGAGGAGCAGGAACGCTTGAGGAAGGACCCCAGGATGGCAAAGCGGTTGGGCGCATATACGGGGCCTCATACTAAAACAAAAGCCTTGCTTGCAGAGTTGGAGAAGGACAAACAGATGAGCGCGGCGGATCCTGACAGCCCTCCAATCAAGAGGTATGTGCCCCATCATTGTACCTTAGGGAGAACTACACTAACCTTGTGTCAGCGTCGTCTTCTCCTGCTGGACCTCACATCTGGACCTCATTCAAATTGCGCTCGACGATAATCAACACAAGTACACCCGACTGGACGGCCGCATGAACCGCGCAGCCCGCGACCGAGCACTTCAAGACTTTGCACAAGACCCCAACATTACGGTCATTCTCGTCTCCATTGGCGCAGGTGGAATGGGTCTTAACCTCACCACTGCCAGCAGGGTCTATATGATGGAGCCGCAATTCAATCCCGCAGCCGAGGCCCAGGCTGTTGATCGCGTTCACCGTCTCGGCCAGAAACGTGAGGTCTTCATCAAGCGATTCATCATGGAGCATAGTTTCGAGGAGAAGATGCTCGAGCTTCAGCGCAAGAAGGTGGCCCTTGCTAATATGACCATGGCGAGGGGGGCAGCCAGTAAGGAGACGCAGAAGCAGAAGCTGGAGGATCTTAGGAGCTTGTTCCGCTAGACGATTTTACACGAACTCCCTGGCACCTCCAATGCTCTCATGAATATTTACTTCGACGATTGCAGGCTAGCGAATTCTGGCGCAGATCGTTGGCCAACATCCTCTCCTTGGTGTCCGACTCCGATTTGATTGCGAGCGCCTCTCATGCCCCAGCATCTTTGATATTTTCCATTCTGCATGTCTTTCCGCTTCGGAGAGACTTCACCACTGTTTCGGGAGGCTTCTCCTGACTCATTTTCATTCTTCATCACGTTATATTATCTCAACCCCGGTGTGACTTTCCAGCATTTGTCATTTGATTCCCTTTCTTCTTTGATGCAGATACTGGGCATGCCAAACATGACGTTTTGGCGAAACGGATTGATGAACGTGCATATCAGGTGGTTTTATGAATCAGGCATGACTTCATGAGTGGGTTCCTTTGCTGGAGATTGAATGACTTCTGATATCGGGGCGTATCCATAGAGCTGCTCAACGTAGTTAGCATCCAATATCATTTCCATCACTTCTCCGCATTCCCTCGGTCTGTGATCGTCTTTTGGTGTTCTACTTTGCACTATGTGTGGGATTGTGATTGCATGGGGATCTAACAGCTGTCACTTGCGGTGCCATTCACACCAAGAACGTTCTGGTATCTGATAGTGACGGCTGAGCTGTGACCTACTCCGATTCGGAATAAGTAGAAGGCCGTCCTCAAGGTTAGAAATCGGATTGGGTATCAGATGCTTGTGTTGCGATGGATTGCGATGGATTGCACTCTTGGGCACGTCGGTTAGGGAAAGAGGCGCGCCTGTGAATTGTGCAGTAAGGCGGCCGAGATCCTGGTGATACGATCAGACAGCATTGAAGGTTTGTGCCTAATAAAGGAAACAGTTTCAGAATACGGCTCAAGACAAACAATATCAGGTATAGTGTGTAATTATATAACAGTCCTTCTAATGAACTCCTACCAGGGTTGATAATCGGCATGGTGATTATATACTTCTGTAAGAAGTAACCTACAGGAGCTGGAGTCAGTCACTGGTTACGAGCGTTTACGCTTTCACGATGGACAACGTAATCTCCTTGTTTATGCCGACGCGGAGATGCCTACCCTAGGTAAGCTCTCCCATGTTTCGATTGTGGGGGCGTGCTTTGTGCATTTCGCTTTCACGTACGCAGAGGGCGGCGGGTCCTCCCATGGCTCTCTTTCACAACTTGACTTACACAGTGCGCTTTGTCGGAGATGCACCTCAAGGAGAACCGTGACCTATATAACTGGCACACAACACCACCTAACTGAACCAGAACCTCGTCACAATACAACCGGAACCTACAGAAACAGCACTCACGCAAGCCAACCCAAGCGGAGATCCACACCATCAATACCGACCCAACTTACAACATGAACGGTCTTTGGCAACCAACTCCGAATCCAAGCGGTGGCCCTGGAGCAACTGCACCTACCTCGGATCTCGTCCTCAACCAGGAGGAAATCCTCGGCCGCTGGAACCAGATCTCAGATCACGCACAGATGAAAAACATCCTAAACGTCCTCAGCAAGCGCGTCACCGTCACCGCTCTCCTAGCCTCCTCCCCTCCCGATTATCGTCGCCGCGTCCCCGTCACCAAAATTCTGTGCATCGGTCCCGGTAGCTTAGCACGCGCAACGAAGCAGCGCGGCGGCGTTGCCGAAGGACCACTCTGCCGCCTCAAGACGCTGGCGGAGGTCTACAAAGATGCGGGTCAGAGAGCTCTGGGTCCCCTTCCTCATCCTCCCTCTGTGTCCCTGCCGCGACCGGTCACTGTCGTCCAGACGGATTACAAAGCATATGTCAACACTCTCTCCGCTATCCGCTTTGCCAAGGCCATCGAGGAAGCGTATATATCCGTGGGAGACTACCGTTCGAAAATCGAAGTCGTCCTGTGCGATTCCGCGTACACCGAAGCGGACTCACAGTTCTTCGATTCTTTGCAGAAGACTACTGGTGTGAACGTGCGCATCAGTCAAGAGGTTCCTATCGACGAGGAATTTGATGAGAACACCCTTCTGATTTCCTTCGCCGATGTTGCAGAGAAGTCATCCGTCGATGCGTCGGTTATTCTCGCTCCTGGTGCTAAGGAGAGTCGGAAGTGGCCTGGGATTGAATCAACTGGGGACTTGTGGGAAGAGGGAAATGGGATGGGGAGGGAGATGGGGTATTTGAATACTCGGTTTTTGGGGTGCATGAGTGATGTGCAGGGTCTTCATATTTTTTTGCGGTGGGATAGCGTCTCTAACAATTAGGAGGGAGATTTAGTGGCGCCTTTCGAGACCGCAAGCCATAATCCATCTCTCTGTAATACAACTTTTCTCTCATCACTGTAGCTCATATTTCACCAATCTCTCTTTTTATTCCTGCTATCCTCCGCGAATGACATATCCAGTACTTTAACTTCGAAGCGAAAGGGAATTATCATATCGTGAAATAATACATGATTTTAGTACGCGTTTACGCTACGGCTACTTCTCTACTGGTGGCATTGCAGGGGAGCCTGCGAAGCGGAGCTTCAGCAGTGGCACAAGCCGGAAGCCGCCTGGAACTTGCAGATTTCATACGGTGTGGCCTGTGTGATCTAATCTGATTTCAACTTTGGGCCTTTCTAGTAACAATTCCGTTCCTAAGCCGTGCTTTGTAGCAACGTGTCTCCCCCGGGCCGTGTTCATGATATGCACATGTGGGCCTTTGTGTTGGATCTTCCTCGTTTTTGTCTCTCTTGTCCATGAAAGCCATAGTGACTTCGTAAAGGAAGTCCTTTGGAATCTCGTCTTGCTCCGCTCCATCGCTTGTCCAATGTCCAGGTCCGTGATGAACATAAATATCCACGAGTAGGCGTCTTGCCTTCGACGACGTCGGAGTATTCTTGTACATGCATCTCAAAACGGGGCCAACCGGGAACCACCGATGTCCGTCCGATGCCGTCGATTTGCATTTATCTATCATCGCGTCTATAACGACGTCCTTGAAATCACCATCTTGTAATTTATCACCCAATATGTAGGCCTTTGCCAATTGAAGGTACTCGGAGTTCATTAACGGGCCGGGCTCGTCGATTCTGACTGGAAGCGTGCCACGATATAGCCAGTGTAGGTAGACCAGGAATGTATCTGGGTCGTCATCCTCGAGACATACTAATAGTTGCTTCGACTCTTTCCAATCTCCTTCCATGGCCTTTCTGAAAAAGTCGGAAGAGGCGCATATCAAGTTCTCGTGGACGCTGAAGGGAATAGGAGGCTCTAGTCCCACCACAACCTCGATCGATCTTCCGCTCAGACTGCTAATGTCAGCTGGCTGTAGTAGCAGCGTAGAAGAAGCGCGTACTTATTAATCCTGTCATCTTTGGGAATGCGTATGCTTCCAGAGGCCGTAGTCACGATCGCTGATCCTATGGAAACATCCCCACACAAGGGCTTGGATTCTTGGTTATCATAATCAGATAAGGAACAAGTGGGGAGGCGTTGAAGGGACGTGAACTTTATAGCTAGAGCGGCAACGACAGCTGCACACTCGGCTGAGTAGCTAACCCTTTTACTTACCCTAGGGTATTTAGTCACGATCATATGATAATGAGCAGTGACCGCCAGTCCCGCGAACGCATACGTGCGGAATCATCTCGCGTTCCTATCATCCGCTTAGGAAAATGCCTTGACGCAGTCTATTGGCTAGGTATTCCCAGCATGTGATTGATGACACACACATTACCGCCTTAACAATCCACTCATTCTTTATTGCGTCTTTATTGCGTCCAAAAGTGTCCTGATCGCGTTAAGATGATGATAGAAAGTTGGTTGTGATACATCACAACCACTAGTAGAGAGGATAGCCAACCCGGCGGGGGCTTATGCGGAAGCACGTTGGTAGAGGACGCAGGGCTCGGTGCACTCTACTCCGGAATCCTTATGTGCAGAAAATCAATGCACTGCATTGCGAATGCCTCAGAATGAAGCTTGGTCGATCGAACCTTCATCCCCTACTACCGATACTCTACCATCTAGCGGGGTATCACAACAACAGTGCGGCTGATTGCTGCGAATAGAATTTCTAGCTGTAACCCCACACTGCTATGATTTTCTAATTTGGATCCGACTATATATATGATAGTAGCTGATCTAAAAGGAAGTATTGCCTATAGCTCTCAATAGCTGCATTGCTATATACAAGGTAGTGTTGCTACGCTACGAGTGCACGTGAATGGACGTTACTACGACTTTTCAACTCCGACGGAACACCCCACTGTACCTGTGCTCCAAGTTAGATTACCTATCTCGCGGTTTAATTGGCTACAATTTGATTACGCAACTCCAGCACTGCGTTTTAACGCTTATGACACTTGGGCAAAGCCGCTGCTAAGCCAATCACGACGTCTGCCATGCCCCTGTGACTCCTGGTTGTTCAGTGTGATATGCAAGGCGCAGTAACTGACTCGCTGTTGGTAACAAAAGAGTGTCTGAACAACAAGGCTGCTCTAGAGTTGACAGAAAAAGTTCGCCTGACAATTGTCATCCCACTTCTTTCCTTACATCTACTTAGCATTTCACAGAGTTATGAGTGATGGTGTATATACTGAACCAAGCTGCAGATACCTGTCAAAACTGGCCACCAACTTTTCATAACTCAGGTTCCTGCCTCGCCCATATTGTCACGCGAAGCTAGGTTGCACAGGCCAATATACGGACATATTACCCTCGTGGCATACATACAGTGATCCCGGAAGCATAGTGTCCTGATAAGATCAGTATGCGCAGCAGGCTGTGAGAATACGTCATGCCACTTACCCCCAAGGAAAATCCGTTTTGTCTTCACGTCGTGCAGCGCCACTGATGCCGCCTCGATAGCTGTCTTGTTCTTGTCCTCCATGACCTTTTCAGTAACAAATTTGAAGACTCTATCTTCAAGGTTCTTTATCTTGAAAACAGTGTTGGTGCTTGAAAGACCGGTTAGATCGTACTTGCTTCGTCCAACAGCCCAGATAGCTCCCCTGGAGTCCACACTCAAGCCCGCAACCGGCATTCCTAATCTGATAGTGTGAACTTGCTTGAGTGTCCTATCATCTTGCAACTGGAACACCCGAATGCGGTCATCAACCAATGAGGGTATATAGATGTGGTCATCCTGGCCCCTGACAATGGACCCAAGAATAGGCAAAGTTTTCGGGGTGACGGTATACTTATCGAACCAATCATCGTAGTGAACAAGGCTCGCACCTCCAAGCAACGGATCCAGTTTTCTCCTCAGACCAGTCTGCGCCGAGCGTTGGTTGCTGACAACGAAGTTATTGCCGCCCATCAGCGCAATCTTATTTGCGGAATGTAACGTCGGACTCCAGCTGGTAGCGACATGTGTCATCTGCTTGTCGTGCTTACGGTGTTCATACACATCGATGGTGATGTTCGCACCGACCCTGCTCTTGTCGACGTTCCCCTTGGCATCATACAGTGGCCGTTGATTCAGCAACCAGAATCGCGTTGTGGTTGAATCGACTACTTGGGCATCCATGGCAATTACATCGAGATGCCCGTCGCCTGGCTGCGGGCCATACCCACTGGGGCGGATTCTGTGCATCCGGAACAGTCCGTCCTTGCGGGGCTCATCAATGTAGATCGCCATGAGGCTGGAGCCTCCCGCACGGCGCCCGGATGTGTTGAATTTCGAAGCGCTTTGTCATTCACAGTCAGTCTCTTCGCTGAAAGTCTCATTGTAGTTGAAGAGTCGGAAGGGAGCGGGTTGGCTGACTTCGGGTTCCATTCTCTCCTTGCTTTGACACTGCTGCATATCGCATACAGTATGCGGTTTGACTCGTCCAGCCACATGTCACCGCATGCTTCCAGCTGGCCGCTCTGAAGTGGACGGCATTGGTATGGAAACTTCTCGATGGGTTCGACCGCGCGGCCGAGTCCAAGAGTGACGAAGAGGACGTCTTTCAACCACCACTGGTAGAATACAGCAACAACCAATAACAGTGCTGCTGAGACTCGAAACGACGCCATATTCGGTAGCGATAATTAAGTGCTGCTCGAAGAGGGATCTCGCTCGCTTTTGCGATGGTCGGGTTGGGCTTCGTCTTCCGCAGGACTCAACGTGGGGCAGTTATCATACGAAGCAGTCGGCGCGGCTCGTCACCGAGATGGCTTCCATGCGGTATGACATGCCAGAAATGCCACGTGGAAAGGCTTGCTTTCCGCCAATATGAGGGTGTTGGAGAAAAGGCATACAGATAAACAGGTGCAGCCCGATGTATACGCAGGTTGTACTGAATACTACGCGAGGACTAAAGTGAATGTATCTTGTCTACAGGTAGAGTACATCTATCTGTACTTGCCTTTGCGCCGAGAGGTACTGCTGCTCGGGCAGCATGTCGATCCATTTTCTTCCTTTTCTCCATTGCAGTGACCAAGCAGTCAAGTCCAGGTCACAGGCAACGTCCGTACTCGCCCACACCGTCTCACTGCTAAGGTTCCGGATGAACGCAATATTCGCAGCTTGATACTCTCCGCAGCCCCACAGATGTCATTCCTTTGAGAATGTGGGGAAGAAATCCTTACATGGTCAGGCACGGACGTAGCAGCTTGTCGCAGTGCCGGATTGGCTGCGCGATCGTCGTTAATATATCAAGTACTCTAATTGCCACTTCAATACCACAACATCCGAGATGGTAGTGGGACAGAACCGACTTGGTATTCAGAGCGCAGTAGTGGGCTGGTATTAAAGACTGGAAAAGGTCCGCACTGGCTTTTGGTCGCCGCGTCCTCTCAAGTGCTCCAGTGCCGTCGTGTTGCTGAAGTTTAAAGTTTAAACTTTGAACCCTTCGACCCTTAGCACAAAATGCGTCTTCCAGCTCTCCTCGCCTTGGTGGCGGGCTCTGAGGCCCTGCCCCAGTTTGGCGGCAGTGGATTCACCATGCTGCGGTTTGGTTGCTCTCAGCTCGTCATCGATCGTATCGACCCTCTTGTCAATCCAGGCCAGGCGCCGTCGCCCCATATGCACCAGGTTGTCGGAGGAGATGCTTTCAACACAACTATGGCCGTGACCGACATCTCAAAGCAAGCAAAGTGCACTACCTGCGGCTACTCGGAGGATCTTTCCAACTACTGGACGGCCAACTTGTACTTCAAGGCTCGCAACGGCACATACAAGCGGGTTCCTCAGATACCGAACAGGGAGTTGTTCAATGACAAGTACACCACTGGCACGAAAGGAGGTTTTGTTGTGTACTATGTTTCCCCTGGCAAGGGCCAAGTTACCGCCTTCAAGCCTGTAAGTCTCCGTTCAAGGATGCAGAGATGTCGACTTACTTGAGGCTGACAACTATATCAGGGTTTCCGTATGCTTACAGGCGACGCTAATCAGCGGGAGAAGATTGGCAATGGCAGGAAGTCGCAGTCCTGTTTCCGCTGCTACACGTCAAAGAACTTCGGAGGGGATAATGCGGCTCCCTGTGCTGATTCCAAGTAAGTTGAGACACCGTCAGAACAGGGTTACGCAGATGACCAGGGCTAACACGAATATGTAGGCTCGATACCGAGCATCTTCCCACCGGCCCTTGCCCAGGCGGTATCCGCTCTAACATTCTCTACCCGACGTAAGTGTTCCACATTCTTAGATCCGTTACACTTCTAACGATCCCCCAGCTGCTGGGACGGCAAGAACCTCGACAGCCCCGACCACAAGTCACACGTCGCGTATCCCGTCGGCGGTCCCGCCCCCTTCACCGGCACCAGCATCCAGGGCACCTGCCCGTCCACGCATCCCGTCAAGATCCCTCAAATCATGCTGGAGGTAAGCCATCCAAGAGTACCACTCTTGCGTCCCATGTGCTTACATAATCCAGATTGTTTGGGACACCACCCAATTCAACAACAAAGCAGAGTGGCCCGAAGACGGTTCCCAGCCCTTCGTTCTTTCCACCGGCGACCCAACCGGCTACGGCCAGCACGGCGACTACGTTTTCGGCTGGCAGGGTGACTCTCTTCAGCGTGCCATGGACGAAGCTAAGGGCTGCATGGGCGCTTCCTGCGGTGGCCTCAAGACCCAGGCTGTCTCGGCTGGTAATAACTGCAAGGTTAAAAACCGCGTTTTGGAGGATGCCGATGGCTGTAAGTCTATCTTCTCCTTGTGAATGGAATGGGTTGTTTTGCTAACCGCCTTCGTAGGGCTTACTTCGCTTCCTGGCATGCCGATGCAGCTCTAAGTGCCTTTGATCCCTTGTCGGATTGTCAGATTCTTTGTTGTGTAACGCTCAAGACGATTAATTCTGTAGTACTTACGGTAATATAAGCCATTAGACATCCACTATGGCCCTATTTGCACAAGTGCGGGATCGAATATCCCAAGGCCACTATGGCTTCTCTCCATAGCGTTGTACCTATAATCCCTGCCCCCGTGATCATCCCTCAAGCTTCTCCGACATTTTCCATACACCCTCCCCCTCCTCATCCTCACTCTCGCCTTCTCCATCCAATTCTCGCTCAGTTCAACACAGCAACCAACCTCCCTCCACTAATCTCCCTCCTCCTCAATCGATCCAATCCCGCATTAATACCCTCGAGCCCATTGACAATCCCAACGACGTCCGGCGGCAACAACAACCCCTTGAGCAACAGTCGCTCACACCATGCGCTCAGTGCCTCGCCGATCTCCGGAATCTCATGGAAGAGCTTGATCGGCACATTGTGCAGTGCTGATCCGGCCGGAATATTTGTTGTCGGAAGATCAGTTAAGCCGACAAGATGCGAGCGAGTTGCTTTGATGGAGAGAGCATCAGACGGAGTGCTAGGCGGCGTTGGAAGATCCGATTTAGGAGATGATGAGTATTTCGAGGAATCAGCAGGTAGAGCATCCGGCTTATCGGGAGATTGGAGCGCGCGAAGAAGGTATGCAGCGCTTTCCTTTCCTTGAGTATCGAAGCCCAAGCGCGCTGAATTGCCGGTCGCTGCTTGAATGACTGAGACTGCTCTTTCTGGATCATGGCTATCCACTATCAAGTCTGGTCGGATAGAGGGATGGTTGGACAATCTTAGGCCATGCTTGCCACTGTCGACGACAGATATGATCTTAAGCCCTGCTAGACGTGCAATTTGTTTCATCGTATGCGCGCATGTCGAGCTACCGCCCCAAATCACAAGAAAGTCTCCCCTTTGCGCTCGTTCGTCCTCTTGAATGCCTTCCAAACACTCAGCTCTTATATCCGCCGGCAGCCGATCCGGTTCAATCGATCTGACGAGGGACAGCAGATCAGGTCCGTCCTCAATACCTTCAAAGCTAACTCCCATACAGATTCCCAAGGCAAGGGCAGATGAGACGAAGGCAACGCCTAGTATGCTTCCTGACTCCACTGAGATGTGCTTCGGCAACCGGATCGTGTTGAATGAAGCAGCTACACTGTACTGCTGGAACGCAGCCTTTCGCAAGTCCCGATAGTCGGTTGATGGGACGATGACAACGTCACCTTTTTGGATGCGGAAGGAAGACGATGAGGGGGCTTGGATAACGGTGCCAGATAGCTCCCGACCGGAGATATATGGAAGAACAGGGATGCCGAAGTTGAAGTCGCTGATGAGAGGTCAGTATGGTTGTTGATTTGTTGTGTTGTAGATACATACGGAGCTTTCCAGTCTATGGGATTCAGTCCTACAGCGCTGACTTTGACGAGGAGTTCATGCTCATGTTGCAACTCGGGCACCCTGTAGTTCGGGTTCAGCTCGTATGGTTGCCGTATCGCACGCAATAGCAGGACCGATTGCTGCTGCGGAATGCTGATATTTTCATGCCTCTTATGAAACTGTGCAGCATTGTTGGCGTTCGTTTCCAAAGTCTTCTGCATTGTGCCCAAGGAGCTCTTTCTCCGCTTTCCAAATGACCAAGGAACCATAACGACGGCAAAGGTAGACACAATGACTCAAGGTTGAAAGAGACGATGATGCATTGAGGGAAGGACACAACGAGTGAATGAATGGTATGAAATCAACTGAAGCGAACCATGCTCGGTATATCCAGGGGATATTTCCGACGCACGTCGATCGGAGAGTGCGTCAATCGGCCGCCTACGGGATGCTTTGTACATTTTTGGCCTCCTTGACAGCATCTAACAAGCCCACGCACTCGAAAGTGGCAAAGGGCGGATTGCGCTATAGTGAAGAAGAGCCTTGAAGTATTGCTAAGGCCAATCCGGACGCTCAACCACTGTCGAATAAACCCGCGAAGCCCTGGGGCTGGCAGCAATCAGTACTTGTGAGGTTGAGATAGGCGATTGCGTTCAAAGGCTCTCCAAGCACATCATCCACACTAGTCAACTGTTAACAACACCAAGTACAATGCTCGATGCGATACCGGACAAGTAGGAAATGCTTTCAGACCACGAACTAGGAAGGAAATATCAGAACATCAAGACTCCGTTCAATGGAACCATAACTCCTGCAAAGAGATCGAGCTTTCAATGCTTGATGGAAAGAGATGGGTTCGGTCACGTGATACGACCTGTTCTCCACGTGCATCGATCACTTGGTATTCCCTCCTCTTTCAATCATCCCAACCCCAAAGGCGCGGACGAGGTTGACGAGTGGCTCATATAGACAGGGAGTGTGTACCAATCGCTTTCTCTATGGCGCCACCCGGACGACCATTCGCATGAGTTCGATGGAAGCCGATCCGATAGATTTTCATCGCAGACGTTTTCGGTACGCATATTGAAACATCCTTCACCAACATGAGTCCCGGGTAGAAAAGAACCTAATGTGTGCTGACAGGGAGGTGGGCAACTACGTCCCTCCGGGAGATCTTTTCTTCACACAGTACGGAGTACACACGTCGCCATTCGGATCGGAATTCGGCTTTGTGTAGGAACCAGAAGGCCTAAACAATGCTTGAGGGGGTCCGGCCCTTTCTAGGGGATTGTCTGCTAATGAGAACAAATGAAAATCGACAACCACGAGAGGGCTGTTCAGCTTGCAGCTCCGAAGCTTTCAGGGAACTTCAACATCGCACGGAGCTAGGGGAGGTCGATGAATCTTACGACCAAGCCTTTTCCTAAATGGGTTAGCGTTCCCCTTTCCCCTTTTTGACTCTGTCGCTTTCGGCCCTCCAGCTGCATATTGCTGTCATACTATGTAAACCTAGCAGTATTGTGCTCAATCGGAGGATGCTCTTCTCTTACAATATTGTTCAGTGGCATTATGTCCCGCATCGTGGAAACGTGGCCAACGGGATCGATGCCGAGTGCGACTTACTTGAGCATCATGGGTGAGTCTTTGACGAACCCCTCCAGCAAGCTTGGATATACCTAGGAGCAAAGACAGTGAAAGGTACTTCAAATGCGAAAATTTTCTTAATGAAGGCATTGCTGAAGAGTTATAATCGGCGATTGAATGACTCATCAAGCACTACACGTTGGGATGTCCCGCGGAGACAGGACTTGAGTAACTGGAGAATGGCACAATTATATTACTGCAGTCTATTCGCAAGTCTAGTGGTAGAGATGGGCGTGATTGGTCGCTTAACTAGTAGGTTATTGCGTTATTGCTAGTTTTACAGCTTACCTTAAGATTATTATCTACTTGTAACTAGTACGTACCTTAAAGTGAAAACACTACATAGGCCCCTTGGCTCCAGCTGAAAGCAAAAGGCCCTCTCAGCCTTGCTCGAGTAGATGGCCCACACGACGTCTCAGTCGCAATCGATTGGCTGTATTACCAGTAGAGGGCATCAGGCGTGTTCTGAAGTTTGAACGGATGCGCCAATCCAGCTAGCGTGTGGCTTCAAAAAGACCTCTGAAGATGGGCCGAGTCGCACGGTGCGGCTGAAGCTGGTCATAAAGGGAGAGAGGGGCAGAATCACGCTACAGTCGGGTTGGAAACGGACAAAAGTAGTGATGCGGCTGCCGTACGAAGTATATAGTAATGAGGAAGGTCGCAAACAGTTGTGTACTCTATCAATCACACCTCAACCTTGGCCTCGATGACACGGTACCCGGCTTCCACGAACTACGACTCTCAGCCGTACCCCTTCTCCCGGGGCCCCACGACGCGCCTCATCTGCCTTGTCGGCCTGGCAGCCTGCTGGATCGTGTGCGGGTCCGGGTTGGTGCTCGGCATCTTCACGTACCGGCGTGGTGTGGTAACGATTGGAGTGTCTAACAGCGGGCGGGAGGTCATGCTGCTGGCGCTGGTGTCGGCCATCTCGTTGATCAACGAGGTGCTTGGGTACATTCACGGCACGACACTGCGTTGGGCGCTTGCCCGCGAAGGCCGCCTCGAGTTCAACACCAACCTGCGCCTTCTGCCCGCCGCCAAGCTTTCGACGTTGCCCCCCAACTGGTGGCCGGTCAACCTCCTCATGCTGCTCGCCCTCGTCGTCTCTTACTCATCCGCCCCGCTTAACGTGTTTGATCACTCATCCGGCCAGATCACTCATCCGGCCACCCCACCAAAACGCTCGTGTTTTCTTGTACAATAGCTCTACGCCACTATGATAAAATATATAGTAAATAGATCTATTAGATGCGCGCTATCTAGCAGTACATTGAGTTCTTCTATGACCTTGTTCATGGCATTTGCTGTAGGTTGGTGGTGCTCGAGGCCTACTTGGCTGCCCTACCTGCTCTACCTGCTAGAGCACCCTTTCTGCCTCTGCAGCAAGCAATTGACCTTCCTCTGCCCGTAGAGCTCCTCCACGGGCTATATACTGTCGGTGCTGCTGCTCCTTATGCTGCCGGCATTGACTAGCCTATCGAAGCTTCCTATTCTCCTCTGCAAGGATCATTACTAAATTCATTGCAAGTTGACAACCTTTGATAAGCTGGCGGATAGCCTGAGTAGTAGGACTCTGAGAAGGCCGATGAAGGTGGTCCTGGATAAGTCAAGCCTGCTGTTCTAGCTGAGCAATAGTATGTGGTATCTCTGCCCTCTATGCGACCTCAGCGTTGGCCGCTATCCCTGGTGGAGACGGCATCCTAATCACTGTTAGTGACGACAAGACGTGTTCTGGATAGGCTGGGACTAGCCCTGTCACCTGGAAGCCAGCTTGGATATTCTGCTCTGAGAAGACTATCGTTCTGATATCTGGATATATCTGTAGGAAGTCCTGCTTGTTAATATGGAAGATGCCTTGTCATGCAAGCTCAGAGACCTGATGGCCATATGCGTACTTGAGAGGTGAGAAGCAGCTAATGTCAAGTGACTGTAGGAGATACGATGTATGTGATGGTATACAGAGTATAATAATTTTATTCTCTTTGCAGAACTGGTCAAACTCAGGTGTTGCATGGCTGCTGTGGCCATCGAGGATAAGCAGGCAGTAGATGCCTACTACGTGAGGCTCTGTATATCAATAGAAGTGCTTTACCCACTCAAGGCCAAGCTCATCAGTCATCCAGCCATTGTCGCTAACAGCAATAACCCACTCAGATGGAAGGCCTTCATACCAGCTAGCCTGGTGGAGCTTTCCAAGCAGAATGATGAAGGGTGGTGTCAGATGATAAGCCAGTTTATGGACATCCCATCTGGGACTGGAGAGGAGGACTGGGAGAAGTTTATATATCGGTACTGTCTGAGGATATGTAGCTAGTGATTCTGCAGTGGCTAGTGCCCTGTGCAGTCTTGGTGCCCAGAGAAGGAATATCAAAACCGGTGTCAGGTCCCAGCCTCACATACACATAGCATACCTCTGAATACAATCAGTCAACCCATCTTCAATCAATCTTTCTGTCACCATGACATCTTCAGATACCATCAAATCTGACAATTAAGAGTCTCACTGCCTTTATCAACATGTCTACCAACACTATCAACAACCAAACTCAAGCCACTCTGGCTACCAGCAAGGACTGGACCTTCTGGTTCACCCAACTACAATCCAAGGCAGATGCAGCTGAAATCTGGGACATGATTGATCCTGATGGATTTAAGGAGTTTATGGAAAGGCCTACTGCTCCACTTAACTCTCAAGTCTCAGACTATGAGCCTACACTCCCAACAATCCCTACTATTGAGACTGCTTCTTCTAACACTATGAGCACCAGAAGCTGCACCCAACAATCTATCCAAGCTACCTCTACGAACGATCAAGCAATCAACTGTGTTCCACCCAGATTCCTGTCAGATCTATCAACTTCAGGCCTCAAGGCATATAAGGATGACTTGGAAAACTGGAAGATGGAGATGGAAGCATACAAGGAAGAATAGGGGGAATAGAAGAGAGAACAAGCAAGTCATAAAGATTTGGTCAAATACATCCAGGTGAAGAAGGGGAAGACCCTGAAACCATGGCGATGAAGAGGAAGACCCTGAAGCCAAAGTCCTTTAGGAGACCGAAGAGGTACTAAGGGCATAGAGTTGGTGAAGAAAGGCAAAGCCTTGAAGCCATATCTGGATATCACAGTTCAGAAAAGAACTCCAGAATCCGAGGATATCTAGGAGACAAATGATGAAAGAGTTCAAGATGTACATGGAAGCTGAATACCAAGTGAAGAACAAAAGCCACAGGGAGGTGTTCTTTACTAGTGACACCTCACCTGCCCCTTCTGAGCATAGTGTGCCCATCCAGGGCAGCAGACAGGATGCTGTTTATGCTGCTGATACTCCACATCAAGGTGAAGAAAGGGAAGACCCTGAAACCATGATGAAGAAGGGGAAGACCCTGAAGCCAAAGTCCTTTGGGAGACCGAAGAGGTACCAAGCGCACAGAGTTGATGAAGAAAGACAAAGTCTTGAAGCTATACCCAAGCAGCTCAAATATGGAAGACATGGAGTACCAGTGGCAGCTGGGGGCAGATGCCCTGCTTGTGATCTACCCCATTCACTCAAGGATTGCTTTTATGTATTTCCAGAGAAAGCTCCTGAAGGCTTCAATCCCAGACCCTGGACAGCTAAGATGGTGCAACTGGCACTTTCATCTGATGCTGATCTACAAAGGATGGTAAGAGGACTAAGGAATGCCAGGTCTTCCAAGACACCCAGGCTCAAAGAGGAACAAACACCCAAACCTGAGGCATGGAAGGAATGACTTGAAGGCCGGAAGATATCAGCAATCAATGCTGCATTTGTGATGGTATCATTCAGAGCAGAGTTCTCTGATTACCCATTGAGACACTGTTTCATCTTGGACTCAGGTTCTACTTGTCATATCACAAATGACAGAGGACAACTCCACTGTATCCGTGATCCAATGCCAGGTGACTGCATCTGGGCTGGCAACTCAAAGGTATGGATCCAAGGCTATGGTTCACTGATCCTTCACCTCACAGGACCCAATGAGCCTACCAAACTTCACCTCACCAATGTGGCCCTGTGCCCAGACATCATGTGCAATCTGGTCTCTGTTACGGATCTAGATTCCGGAGCCGGGATAAGAAATGATCGAAGTGATCGAAGTGATCGAAGTGATCAGAGTGATCATAGTGATCACAGGAATATATGGATAGGGCGATGTGCTCCTATAGCTCATCGTGTTCAATTTCTTTTTCCAAGTCAAGTACTTCTTAGTACACTTGGTTTTCAAATACATGTCACCCATGTATCACCCTCGTCACCTCTGATGTCATCCTCGTCACCTCTGGTGTCACCCTCGTCACCCCTGGTGTCACCCTCATCACCCCTAGTGTCACCCTCGTTACCCCTGGTATCACTCCCATGCAAGGAACCCTATCGTTCATCCCCGAGAACCAACAAAGATTCCTAGAGGACATACCATTATCCGTGGAACCTTTATAGTCTCATTCAGGCAACTCAGGCTGCAAGGAATATGGTAGGATAACAAGAGTGATCCCACTCTCCTCAGACTCATGGACAATACCCCAATCACCTATCTCAAGGACAGATACAATCAATGGGTCATCCAGCCCTATGATCCATCCCAATCTACCTTCCACACTCAAAGGATTAAGTCCAGGATCAAGAGATCACCACAGAAGGCAGATGCTGTGGTATAGCATAAGAGATTGGGACACCCAGGACCATCAGCAGTAGAATACCTTGTCCACCAAGCTGAGAGGGTGAAGATCAAAGGAATCACCACTGTTCAGTGCAATGCATATGGAAGTCTCAGGCAAGGGAGTGAAGGATACTGGTCACCAAATCCTGGACTACATGTGGGTATATGTCTATAAGTTCGACAAGCACCATAGACTGGACAAATGCAAGACCCACCTGGTTGTAAGAGGAGATCAACAGAGGAACATCACATCTCAAGACATATATGCTGCAACTCTGGCAGAGAGATCCTTTAGGATGATGATGGCCATTACAGCACACTTTGACCTGGAACTCAAGCAATATGATATTACCAATGCCTTTATGCATGCATCTATAGACAGAGAAGTCTATATACAAATGCACCCAGGATACAGGAAGCCAGGAATACTCCTCAGACTTAACAAAGCCTTATATGGACTCAGGATTTCTCCCCTGCTGTGGCAGAGAGAATTGATAAAGATACTGGTGGAAATGGGATTCCACACAGTGAAACATGAACCATGTTATCTCATCAAGGATAGAACTATTCTATTCTTCTATGTGGATGATATCATTGTTGCATTCCACAAGTCCAGGAAGAGGGAGGCTCAGGAAGCCATCAGGAAACTCATAGAGAAGTACACCATCACAGGAGGTAGTGATCTTCAGTGGTTCCTTGGTATGGAAGTCCTGAGAGACCATGAAGAGCGCACTTTTCTTCTCTCCCAAGCCCAGTATGCTGAGAAGATCAGCCATCTGGTAGATAGAACAGACCTCAGACATGATACCCCAATGGCAAATGTTGAACTCAAGCCAAAGGAAGGCCTAGCAACACTATCTGAGATCAACAAATATCAGAGAAAGATTGGATCCTTGCTGTTTGCTGCAGTCACCACCAGACCAGACATTGCCTTTGCAACTTCCAGACTGGCCCACTTTCTGATGAACCCAGGACAGGAACACCAAAATGGAACAGATCATGTTCTTCTGTACCTCCTTGACACCAAGAACCTTGGTCTCAAAATGGGAGGAGGTGATTCCTTGGAGGTTGCAAGTGATGCATCATTTGCAGACAACATGCTGGACAGAAAGAGTTCCCAAGGATACACAATCAAACTGTTCAATAGCCTTATTGCATGGAAGGCAAACAAGCAAGATACAGTCACCACATCCACTACTGAAGCTGAACTGCTTACACTCTCATAAGTGGCAAAGGAAGCTATGTTCATCACAAGACTCCTCAAGGAACTGGAGGTTCCACTCCCAGGGCAGACAATAACCATCTACTGTGACAATCAACAAACTACCAGGCTCCTCAATGCAGAGATCTCAAGGTTGCAGACCAAGCTCAGGTATGTGGATATTCACAATCACTGGCTGAGGCAAGAGATATCATCTGGGATAATCAGGATTGAGTATCTGCAATCAGAAAGGATGCTGGCTGATGGATTCACAAAGGTGTTACCTGGGAACAAATAGAACAGGTTCTTGGAACAATTGGGACTGGAAAGAGTGAAGAACTCAAGTGCCCTGAAGGAGATAGACTTGGATGAAGTGTAAGACAAGTTGGAAGACATGCTACTCTGAAGAGAAGATGCTGTTGGGTCCAGCTTGCAATGGGTTCCAAGCTGAGGAGGTGTGTCAGATGATAAGCCAGTTTATAGACATCCCATCTGGGACTGGAGAGGAGGACTGGGAGAAGTTTATGTACCGGTACTGTCTGAGGATATGTGGCTAGTGATTCTGCAGTGGCTAGTGCCCTGCGCAGCCTTGGTGCCCAGAGAAGGAACATCAAAACTGGTGTCAGGCCCCAGCCTCACACATACACAGCACACCTCTGAATACAATCAGTCAACCCATCTTCAATCAATCTTTCTGTCACCATGACATCTTCAGATACCATCAAATCTGACAGGTGGGATAGACCAGCCAGACGCATTGATACACTCAATTGTCATTACCTACTCTCGATCATCTGGCTGTATAGTCACTGCCCGGCTGACTGCCTCAGAGCTTGTAATGACTTTTGACGTCGTAGCGATCTCTATCATAAAGCCAGTCTCGTCAAAGTTGTAGATATCCATGTCTAAGATGCTGTATGACTGACACATCTTCTCTACAAGCTCGAACCATGCGTGGATCATGACTGGGTCCTCAGATCTCGCACACTGTGAGTGGAACTTGCGATTCCACCTTGTCTGGAGCTCTGCCTGGCGATTAATGAAGCGGGATACCCACTTCTGGCTGACTAGTGGGGGAGGAGGTTCCTGGCTGTGTGCAGCGAGTAGATTGTCTACCATTCGTCGTACGTCGATAATCTGGGGCTGAAATCCTCATCGTTCAAGGTCTAGGATCCAATCTACTAGAGACTGTTCCTCTGTAGGGTGTAGCTTTCGTTTCTGTGCATTGACAAGAGCTTGCGGGAGGGAGCCGTTGATGCGATCTTGGAGAGTAGACCGAGGGATACTATACAACCTAGCTAGCCTGCGCTGGCTTAATTTTTGGCTTATTTGAAAGGCCTGTTTCGCAAGAGCAAGCCTACCCTCTTTTTGAGCTTGCTGGGTGCGCTGGGTGGGTGGCATCACGAGTGTTGTGAGAAGACGCGTCGTGTTTTTGGTGGGCTGGCCGGATTAGTGATCTGGCCGGATGAGTGATCAAACACGTTATCTTCCTTGCTGACGATCCGCGCTTCTCCTCCGATTCGCGCGTGTCAACGGTCGTGTCCGGACTCCCGCTCATCGCCTGCTCGTCCGCGCTCCTCACCCAGGCCATCATCGCCACCGCCTGCCTCCGCCCTTCCTCCACTGTTGCAGTCCTGACCTGGAGCTCTGATCCGCTCGACACTGCAGCTGCGTGCCTGGTGCTTGGCCGTCACCAGCGGGCGCCCGGCCGCTGCTTGCGGAGCGTTCACGACCTGAGCCAACCCGCGATTCCTGTGGCGCCACGGCATCGTCAGGGTTCAGCGTACCGCGCGCACCCACGGGTAAGATGGATCCTGAGGGTCATGTGGGTGACGGTGCTGGAAACCCTTCTATGGGCCGTGATAATAGTCCTCATCGCCAAGGGCTCTCTTGGCGATGGCGACAAGTACAACTGGTCGCTATTTCCGACAGCCGACACGTTCACCATCAACATCGGCTGGGAGGTCACTGACAGCGGCAATGGGATAACCGATGCCACCATGCTTCGCGCGCTGGGCATCCTGACAGCCTTGCAGACGCTGCTCACGTTTACGACACACTGCGCCGAGCTGCAGATCAACTGCTCGCGGGACGAGAGCGTCTGGCGCCAGACAAGCCGGCAGCGGGGCCTCAAGCGCGACACAAACGCCGTCTGGCGCGCCCTGTCGTCGTGGCAGACAGTATTCCTGCTCGTGGCGAAGCCCGTGGTGCACTGGCTCTACGGCCTGGCCGTCTCGACCTGGTTCAACGTCGGCATTCGCATCTCGCTTGTGCAGATCGTATACCTCATGGTTTCGGTCCTTGCCTTGGCCGTCTTCACCACGTATCTTGCGAACCGGAAGCCTCACGGTCCACAGCCGTGCAATTATGGGCACATCCAGACCATCGTCAATCTGGTGGATCAGTGGCCTCCGTTGGATTCACCGATGCATTGGGGCCATTCAGGCTCTGTGAATGGCATCGCCCATGCTGGCACTAGCGGTAGGCCGCTCGGCAAGGTCGATATGAACGAGCAGTACATGGGGGATGTATCGAATGTGACATGATGAATAATAGGAATCTTGCTTTCGTCTATAACTAGTTCTTCTAGCTTTGGGACCTCTATTCACTCCGCTTCGGGAATTACTTTAACATTCAAAGTCTATCAAAGACTCGACACAGCTCGTGCTCTGGTAACCATGTGTCCGCACAGTGGCCAGATATCGAATGTGGCCAATCGTTTGGTGGAATCCTTTCGTCTGAGGGGCGGCTGTCGTCATGCACAGCCTTGGAAGAATCGTTGAGCTTGAGGAAGCAACTAGCAACCCAGAGCACCTGTATCGGGAACTCTTTTCCTCAATGCCGACCCGAGTGGAGAGTGGCTTCAACCCAGAGGAGATGCCTACGCCGACTCTGAGTTTCCGTGCTCTACGGTGTCATAACACTGGTTCCGGTAGCACTCTGGCCGCCCAATCTGGATATTCTCTTTGGGATAGCCCGCTGCAAGAGCTCGCTGAATATGGCGATCTCTCTTTCCAGGGCGAGCTGGGTTGTTCTTGTTGCCCAGCCACCAGTCCCTGATACTCAACGTCGGAGTCCCCTTCTGATTCGCTCCTTTTCGCTTTGACTTACCGGTGCGTGCGTCTGGAGTACCTACGTATAGGTATAGACGTTCCTCGAAGACTCCCCGCTCCGCATTCCACACCTCCGCCCAGAAAGCACCAGAGTAATCTCCGGGATTTTCATAAGTTTCCACCGGTTGAGTCCTAGGGAGCGTCACATTCTCGACCTGCCAAGTCTCGAGAAGAAACCACTTTTCAACCCACTCCATGGTCATTGGCTTGCTAATGGAGGGCGAAGCATATAGGTTCTCCACGCTGCTAGCACGGACAGGACCTATTCCAGGATCAGCGATATTACGCAGAGAAAGGATACAACCAAATACATGCTGTTCCCAGGAGTACCCCATCTCCGGCATGAAGTCCGTCGGGTTATGGTATACCTCGTGATACTGTGCTCCATGGACATGAGAATAGAACGCATGGGCAAGCTCATGTCCGATGGTGCCGGCCAAACAAATCTGAAGGCGCAGATTTTTCGCCTTGCTCAGCGGTCTCAGTAGATGGTAGAGGTAAACCGACGAGAGCCCAATCACAGGGGAATACTCGTCATGGTGCTCACGGCGCTTTTGCTCCCATTCTTCCCTGTCCATTGTCGCGAGCACATCGTACGGGGTATGGAACATTGTACCTGTACATTCAGGCAAAGCCATCCACACAAAACGGAGCTTGGCAGAGAGGTCGGTGAGCGCCGCTTCCAGATCTCGAGTGTGCTCTCCAGGGGCAAAGTATACTCTTTTGTTTCCGGACGTCTCCTGGACGATCTGGCCGTTGAGTACATGGAGCCACCAATCATTCGCCTCGTCGATCGAGAGAAACCTTGTGACTAGGGCAAGAGCTGGCCTTATCCTGTCGTATATTACATCGAACGCTTTCTGGCCTATTGCGAGTCTCTCCCACTTTGACTTCTCAAGCACTGGGTGGATATACCAGTCACTGGTCTTGCAGTACTCGGGTCGAGGGCCAGCGGGGAACTCGATATAGCCATGCTCGAGTAGGTCAGCATATGAAGGGAGCCATTCATCATACTGTGATTGCGGGCCTTCCATGGTCCTCGAAACAGTCTCTTCGTCGTTCAACGCTGCCAGCCCGCTGGCAGCAAGTTCCACCGCCTCGCAACCTGAGAAGTCTTCGACTAGGACCTTGAGCAGATCATCCGCGTCTAGACTCGCCCTGTATGTTTCTAAACTCTCGATCGGCCAGGCTAGGGGCCGTGAGTTTGGAAGTGGGGTGGAGACAAGGTTGCCCATGATGCTGCAGTGTGTCCAGATTCTCTGGGGTCGGGTTGTTCTTTCGTCGCAAGACACAAGATGCGAGGGAGAAGTCGATGCGGCGCTCCATCCCTTTTTGACAGTGGAGCTTCCGGGGCGTAGTGTGTTGTTCAGGGGCATTGTGTAGGTATAATTCGGCCAGTTCTCTTCGGGGGACTACGTCCGCAACATCGAAAGGGGACAATGTGTCAGCAACTGGGAAGTGTAGTTCCTTCGTGGCCGCAACGTCGACGCAATGCAAATGGTCCACATTGTTTACTGCCAAGCGGATGGTCCTTTATAGTGCGAAAGATATGTTGAGTCTTGGATTGTTTGCGAACCGTTCTGTGCGTTTTCGAACATTGTGCTTAACGGGTAATGGCTGCACAATGAAAGCCCACGTGTAAGCGCTTGATGGAGCAACATACGGAGAAATTGTCAGGGGGTTACGGTGTATTGAACCGCCACCTAGGCTGTTCGGGATAGTATAGAGGATGGCTAGCATAGCTTTTGGTGGGTGAGGAGATTTTGTATGTTGGGGAATGCTGTTTACAGATGCAGCAGTTACAACAAACGAAGTTAGGTGCTCAGGATTTTTGAATATATATTGGATATCGTTGTAACTAGACGTCGCGGTGAGGCATTTTCATTCAGAAGTAAGAATGTTACGGCAGGTGGTGCTTCTGTCCACGTCGAATACCCTGCTTTAAATTCGAGACCAGCTCAGGTATTTGAAACATCAAACACGGGTGATGTGAGACAGATTAGAAGTAACCAGGATGTTGCTAGAATGTAGTTTCTCAGACAACAACACATTTTCCAGGCGCATAAAGTTAATAAAGAAGAAAAGGGACTGGCAAACTACATCGTATGTCCACCTGTCTTAGCCTGTCTCAGCCTAATGGTGCGCCAGTGAGCAGAGACTGCGACACCGCTTCTGAGTACCATCAGTTGGCAGATATTAATTCTCCAGTGCAGTAGAGCGCTCATCAATCATATGCGGTTAGCTGACCTTATAAAATCGGGACGGCTTCTTGCTGTATAACAATGTTCAAATTACTAGTTCAAAATTCATCACTTACTGACGAACACTTTCTTGAGCGGTTAAGATCTTGCAACAGAGTCCAAGAGCGAGTATGATATAGTCGTTAACGAAATTAAATATAAGAAGAGAGCACTAAGTGAAGCATACTGCGGCTTTCCACATCTCAATGAAGAAAAGCCTTATCAGCTACTATCGAATAATGTTATAAGTGAACCTTCTTTTAAGGACTTAGTATATGTAGATAGAAGCTCTACAAGGTTAATTGTGAGGTTGGCAAAATCGCTGCGCCTTTTGGCTATTTCATCTGAGGTGCAGAACAACGGTACAGAGGCAGCACAGGCGAGTGTTCACCGTGAAGTCGGGCGTGGAAATAGGTAGTACATTCGGCCTATACCGTCGTTCAGTTTGGTGTCTTGAATAAGCAACTTGCGGCAAACCGGTTTCACTATGCTCATTACACAAGAAAGAGGTAATTACAACGGCAGACGTTCCTTGTAGTGGTCATATTGCACACATGTAGTGTATTCTAGGCGTATAAGCATCAAATGATACACGGTATAGATTTCTCTACTCAAACAGCTTCTTTGAAATAACTCATATACAGAAAGAAGATATGAAGAATTGCACATGAAGAAGAAAAATCAAATCACACATGCCACCTTAGCTAACGAACCGCTCGATGTTGTTTAGAACGCTCGGGCGTGGATGCGAGACCTCCGGGACTTGCTGTTTGAGGATTTCGCAGTCTTTCGGAGCCATGCAATGAAGGTATCAAGTGTAAACGTCTCCGGCAGGGCGTTACCATCCCCATTGCCAGCACCGTCTGTTTGGGACGGAACAGGGACAGGGACTCCGGTGGGCGACGAAGTAGGTACAGGAATGAGGGTGGTAGTTGGCACGCCAGCCGTCGGTACAGCGGTGGGACGAGTGGTTGTAGTAGGCGCAGGCGCAGGGTCCGAGGGTGCAGGAGATCCGCCAGAGCCACTGACGGTGAAGTCGATGCAGGCTTCGTAGGTCTGGTCAATTGAGCGGGCATCCCAATACCACTGGATGACACAGTCACCCGGGTTAGCGCACTGAGAACCCAAGTCGGACGGGATGGTGATGTCGAAGTTCTTCTGGTTTTCCGGGATGGGTGCAGAGTTCGAGGCGTAGGAATCGAAGCTGATAAGAGGAGAACCAATAATGGAGTTGGAGCTGGTCTTCACAATGGAGACGTTGGCGGTTCCTGTATGGGGTGCACGGATATCCACGGTGATGGGGACGGTCTGGCCGGCAGAGAATGTTTGCACGTTGGCGGCGTTATCGGCGAACTGGAAACCCTTGCACAACCAGACGTTGCAAGCGTCGGCATTGAAGTCGGACTGTCCTCTTGCAACTTGAAGAATTCCTTGGACATTTCCGTATGTATCGGCCGCCTGGTTATTGAACACCTGCTGACCGCATGCTGCGGCCATGGCCTTGCCTGCTCGTCTTGCTGGGGGATCGGTGACGAAACCGTGTCCAGCTACGCTCGCAACGAAGCTAGCAAGAGCGAATGACGTAGAGAAAGAGGACTTCATTGTGCCAGGAAGGTTCTTGGAAAAGTTGCTTGAATGGGAAATGAACGGAAGTCTGGCTTCACTTGAAAGAGAGTGATTGAGGAGAGGTAGAAAAAGGTAAAGAGTGTGCGGTCCCGGACCGGAAAAGCAAGTACTGCAGAAGTGGAAGGTAGGATGCTCGAGAGATCAGAAGCTGTAGTTCTACGAGGAGTTTTTATATTTGGCACTAGAATTGCCTCGTGGGCGCGCCAGCGGAGAGTGAAACCCCGTCCCATGGCATCATCATTCCAGAGGAAGCAGAACAGTGATGGGTTTCGAAACACACGAGTCAACCGGTGGACGAATGCTCGAAGCACATAGCCAGTGATTAACGACCAATAGTTGCACTTGTTTGGCGCCGTGCGAGCTATGCTGCTATCAAAAGAGCCAAGATGAAATGATCTAGGGGAGAGCCGACCCGCAGGGAGATACACGCGAGATACCAGGAACCCGGATTGAAACTGGCGGCGTTGTTTCATATTTATTGACTGCGATGCCAAACACATGGCTAGGTGCCTATAAGGCAAAATTCAACTAAAAACGGCTATTCTTCCGCACCATTACGGAAAACATGAATATCGTGGAATTCGAGGGACTGAGAGACGGAAACTTCGATTATTGGTGGAGACATTGTCACCGAGACCATCGTTCGGAGCATAGAAACTAGTCTGTATTCGCAGTAGTGTGACATTCATTAGCGCCTTTCAAGACATGGTTCTGAACATCCAACCTCCACCACACAGTTCATAACTTTCCATTTCTCCAAGGCATGAGATACTGCGGTACATGTCTTTACTCATGAGCATCCGCAACCTTCCAGACCAGCCTCTCACCGCTGACCTCTCTCCGTCTTAATGCGAGAATGGCTCTCTGAGCCCTTTCCAGCATGTCCTTTCCATCGACAAGTTTCTGAGCGTTCGGCTTCACGATCCCCTCTTTCAGTAGGGCGGGCATGATTTCCGGCTGTAGGTGATACTTATGGAATTCGTTCTGTATCGTGTCAGCACAAATCCAACGGCTTCTCCCCTCAGCCTGAAGAACTTACGTCGGCATAAAAGTGCGTTCGCACACCCCTGACCTTAACTCCGTCCTTCCACTCGGCGGCTGCGCCTACATCCATCCCGTAGATGGGAGCTTCAGCATCGCTGGCATGGCGCACGATGACCGGCAGTAGAATGGCAACTGTTGTGCCGCTCTTAGCAATGCCGCTAATCGGTCTTATACTCCCTTCCACACTTCCAATACAATCCAGGATGCGCGGGATGCTGTTTTCCTGCTGCTCATTGCCTGTTGCCAGGATCTGGTCTACTACTCCTTCATTCCTGTAGTCGAAAACAACCTTGGCCCCCAGACCCCGAAGCTCTTCATGGTGCCGTTGCGACGCCGTCGCAATGATGTTCCTGTATCCGTAGTACTTGAGAATCTGGATCGCATACTGCCCAACGGAGGAGGATCCTCCCCAGATCAAAATTGGCTTGTCTGCATCGGAAGGACTGTATCCTTCCGGCTTCGGCCAGGGAAGCTCAACTCCAAGGTCGGTGGTAAATGTATGCCACGCAGTAACGAAATTATTGGGAAGTGTCACGACTTCCTTCATAGAGAATCCCTCCGGAATCTGCTGACTTGTTAGCCGAGCGTACAATACTCAACGGACCAAACCAAATCCAACCTTCCCGAACTTCCAGTGCGGCGCCGTGACGTACGTCTGTTGCGCTCTCTCCTGATCACTGCTCCACACAAAGCCAAACACCTTGTCTCCGACCTTCAAACTCTGCACTTGGTCCCCGACCTCGACGACTGTGCCTGCGAGGGAGTCACCCAGAACCTGCGGATGCTTCACTAGCAGCCCCCCATCGGCTTGGTGCAGGTCCAGTGGTGTTGATACTACCCACTCGACACGGACACGTATTTCGTCAGATGATGGCGACACAGTGGGGCGTTGAATCAGGATCAAAGGCTCCCTGGGCCCGGGCGTGGCCACTGCGAGATGTGTCTGTGTAGAGGACATTGCCTTTGGAAAGATGTGATGTCACCCAAATGTCTCGTAGGTCGCGTGCTTTCGTGGGTTGGCTTTGATGATAGAGACGTGAATTGTACTCGTGGCGGATATTGGCAAGAGCGATGGCGTGATGAGTTGAGTGTTGGATTGCTGCTACGGTTCAATCTTGACAGCCTTATATAACCTATTCTTTTGCTTCGAGCAAAGTCTGTCTGACAAATATACTCCTATTATCTTATTCATCAGGTTCGATTGCATGGAGCGCTAGAGGGACTTCCCTAAAACAGATAAGTTGCATGGCACACTAGAGAAATTTTCCCGAAACGGATAGATGCTAGAAGCCCCGACGCGCCAAGATCAGACAATCTTGGCGCGTGGGACGGACATCTGTTGATCGTGATTGGTGAAGTTGTGCCTACACAGTTACACCAGTGAAATAAAGAGTATACATCTAGCATCTTCCACGCGTGTAACAGGGTTGTATGACCGATGACACATCACGAAGCTTCAGCACCATAGGGTATGAGAAAGCGCGGGATTACGCAATGACAACTGCCCTGCGAGCGGCGGATGGACGGGACGGGGAGGGGACAAAATCAATTCAGCTCAATTGACTCCCAACACACTCCCATAACCTGCGGCACCCGATACCACTTACTGTGTACCCTAGGGTAGAACGTTACCTTCGCACATATTTATCCGATCCGTCTGCATATCTCTCACGTGCAGTCATCCGAATCGGGCGGCTAACGCACTTTAGACAAACATCTCATAAGTGATACCATGAGGCGGGTCATAGTCAAGCTCTTCAAACCATCAGTCCCTATCAACACAAGAAAGCAAGCTTGAACTCACCAAACCAGGTATAGCCAAAATCCCTGTCTGGATCATCCGGATACAGCACATACTGCGCGACCTGGCCCTTCCAGCAGGGGACGTGCAAACCAGTAGTGGTCACGGAACCGCTATGCGTGAGTTCGACTTGGCCAACATATCCAGTAATCCTGGGACGATTGTTCCAGGTATCGCGGTCTTTGTCCATTCTGTGCTCGATGCTGGAGATGTTGAAGCGGTAAGGGGCTTCGCCCCAGAGGGTGCGCGGTGCATTCTTGCTCGGATCGGTGTTGATGTAGAAGTTGAGTCGGCAGTGAGTGGCTCCATTGTTGCTGGGTACGTCGAAAGAGATCTCGGTGTGAACCTGGAATGCTGGTGAGTATGGTGTCGGTGGAGAGAGCGGCATTAGACTTACTGCTTGCTCGATCCTTCCGCTGAATTGTGTGCCGAACACCCTGTCGGGCTCGCGCTTGTCGACTGGAATGATGAGGTGAGGAAATTGTCTGTCTACAAGCGTGTCCGCTAAGGCGCTGAGGCCAAAGAGTAGGGGGACAAAAGGTGCGGACCGCATAGTGAAGGCAACCTGAAGGTTGGGTCGACGAGAGTGGACTGTACAGTGATTTTTCTGTGAGAAACTCTGAGCGTGGAATGGCGCTCTATGTATGTTTTCTGGGTCCGCACGCGGAGGCTGGCTCCGTGCCTTCTTCGACCTTACATTGTTCCTTTGAAGTCTTGACCCCTTTGCTGTATGGCCGTGTCACCTTCATCCGAGAGTACAGAGAGACATCGGTGAGGGGCTCAACGGACACCCGCATACAGGTTCTTCTACGACATCGGCCCGTCAATTGTTGTGTGATACCCGCGAGTTATTGGCGTCTCATATTATCGGCGAAGCAGCCAGTGTTCACGCGAGATTGGATTCTTGCCATGACATAAAGCCGTCATGTTATTCTCGCCCTTTGATCCACGAGCTGTGCCATGTGCGACCATTGCATGGGGATTCCTAGATGAGCGAAACCCCGTTTTGATGTGACGTGAGGATGGACTGTGACGTGGGCTTCCTGCAGTATGTTACCTGCGATACATCATAAGACCAAACGCCGGTGGAGCATCGGGGATTGATGCTGCAAGAAGACATCGGCAAACAACTGGAACTTCTCAGGCAACCACCGCAGTACGTATATTCAACCTGATCCTGAAGCAGATATCAACGGCGTAGGAAGCGCATCTACAGGGGTTGGAGGTAAGGTGAGGACGTGAGATCTACCAAAAAGGAGTTGTGTATGAATCTTGATCGGTGGTAGTCGGGTGTGGACTTGATGGTTTCATTAAGAGGTGAGGGAAGTTTGCTCTAGAGTATCGGCATCCACAAACTTACAGCCCACTGCGGAATAGTCATCGTCCATACGATCTGGTGCACTACCCAATGAAGATCGGGAACAAGAAGTGTCACACTTGCGTTATTGATCTGCAACGGGATGAAGAATCTTCTCTTCTAGCTCAGTGAATGCATGTTGTGTGAAATCGGAAACTGAACGAATCTTGTCCCCTAAGGCGGCCCCCGGCCACTTGGCATACTTTAGGAAATAGGACCGTGCAGTTAATAAAACTGTGATAAATAAAGATATACAAAGCAGAGGTCTTAATATACACAATTATCAAATCTATAGGGAACATACTAAATACTTGTGCTATTATAGTATTATAGTATATAATTCTTACAAAAGAGCCTAAGCTAGCACATAGTCAACGTGAACGGCAAGCGAGCTGATCAGGCAAGCGAGCTGATCACTCTGCCAAGGTTACACCTCTCTCAATCACTCATCTCAATGTCTCAACAACTAGATCTTGAATCCCTCCCTTGTGAGGATAGGATTATCCTTGCCATCGAAGCTATGAAATCCGATATGTCATTAAGCCAGCGACACGCTGCTACTCTCTATGGCATTTCTCAAAGCACGCTTAGTAGCCGATGCTCTGGAACAGCTGCTCGACATAATATCCATCCTAACTCATCGAAGCTCACCAAGCACGAGGAGGAGACAGTAGTCCAGTATATAAGGAAGCTTGATGTATGAGGATCTGCCTCTATGCTTAGTGACGTACATGATATGGCTGATCAGCTGCTAGCTGTATGTGGTGGTGGGAACGCTGGAGACAAATAGGCTAAGAACCTTGTCCACCACAAACCTGAGATCAAATCTCAGATAACCAGACTTCGCGATCACCAAAGAGTCAAGTGCAGCGATCCAGCTATTATTGGTCCCTGGTTTGACCTTGTACGTAATACCAAAGCTAAGTACAGCATCCTGGATGAAGATACTTATAACTTCGATGAGACTAGCTTCCAGATAGGTATTGGAGGGTCAGTAAAGGTGGTAACAGCATCTGAGAGGTGACTGAAACCACTGCAGGTTCAATCTGGGGACCGTGAGTGGGCAACGTTGATTGCTGCTATCAACGCCAGGGGCTGGCCACTCCCACCCTTTCTGATCTTCAAAGCAAAGCACCACGACCAAGCATGGTACCATAACCCTAAGGGCTAGAGGATAGGTGTCAGTGATAATGGCTGGACAACAAATGAGCTTGGTTTAGCCTAGTTACAGCACTTTATCGAGCATACTCAGGCTCAGACAGTAGGCAGTCACAGGCTGCTGATTCTTGATGGCCATGAGAGCCACAAGTCACTTGCTTTCCAGGAACTGTGTAAGGAGAACAAGATTATCACCCTTTGCATGCCTCCACATGCCTCCCATATCCTACAGCCGCTTGATATAGGGTGTTTTGCTCCCTTAAAGCAAGCATACAAGAAGGAGATCAATGTCTTAGCAAACTGCTACATCAACTATATTGATAAGAAAGCCTTCCTAATTACCTTTTCTGGGGTTTTTGACAAGGCTTTTTTAGAGAAAAACATTATATCAAGCTTCAGAGCAACTGGTTTAGTTCTACACAGTCCAGAGATGGTGCTATCAAAACTTGAAGTGAAGCCTCGTATGCCATCACCAGCTTTACCAGGCCCTATCTGGTAACCCAAAACACCAAGCAATGCAGTTGAGATAGATACTCAATCAACGCTTATCTTTAACCAGATTCGAAGACTCCAGAGCTCCTCACCAGCATCGATTATTGAGATGGTGAGGTAGTTTAAAAAAGAGGCAGAATTGATGGTGTATTCGCAGGCGTTAATGGCTGCCAGGGTCACAAAACTTGAGCTAGCCTGCCAGGCAGCTTCTGAACATAAAAAGCATAAGAAGAAATGGATTCAAAAAGGAGGGACCCTATTACAGGCAGAAGTAGAGGCGATAGTAGCTCAGAAGAATGCTGAGGCTCAGCTTGAGGCAGAGAGGCATGAGGAGAGGGAGGAAGTGGGTGCTGGTGTATGGGGTATTCGATGCTGTAAGACATGTGGTGAGCCAGGGCACAACAAGTGTACATGTAAAAAAGATGCAGTAGATGTAGAGAATTAATTTGAGCTATTGTAAGCTGCAATAGCTTGTTGTAATATTGAGATATTTAGATTTGGAGGTAGAGCACTGTATTTAGTGATCAGCTCGCTTGCCTGATCAGCTCGCTTGCCGCTCACGTTAAATATTAGCGAAAAATAAGATTAAAAGCTAGCTAAATATAGATTTATAGATACTATAAGATAAAAGCATTAATATAGTTAGATAAGCAAAAAGCGATAACGTTAGTTAGAGTAAATAATATATAGCTGCTACTATAGCAGCAAGTAATTTTATCTACACAGTAGACACTTAGCATGGTCGGGGCATAGAACCCTCAGCCAGGCGCCTTCTTCGGGCGTACACATGTTTCTACTACGTTTCACATGGAATTACACAGCTCCTCCGTGCAATAGATTACGCGGCACCGCGTGATTATGTAATGTCACGCGTAACTTATGATAGAGTTGATTGCATCGTCCACAGTCGAACGGCTAAACCGCCCTCCACATAATGCGGGCGCCTCGCTCAATCTATGCACAAGTGTAACAGTAACAGCAGGGCTTGTCTCACGTCCAAAATGTTACTGACCCTTCGCATTCCAGTCGCAAGACCTGGAGGCCAGACATCACTCTCCCTCCGCACTTCATTGTCAGCGAAGCGCAGACTTCACCTCGCTCCACCATGGCTTCTCGACGACTACACTCCCCGCTATCAGCTACTATCTGCACGCGATGCGGCTAAGAAGCGTTCGGAAGCATACGCACATCTTCGCAACTGCAACCTTTGCCCGCGACTATGCGGAATCGATCGGTACGAGAAGACAGGCCATTGCTTGATTGGCGCCGAGACAGTGAAGGTTAACACAATTGCACCCCATTTTGGTGAAGGTATGCGTCCAGTGCAAGCTCGCAGGCTCCTGTCTGGTATCTGACCACTGTTTAGAACCCTGCTTCCAAGGCCACAATGGTTCAGGCAGTGTGTTCTTCAGCGGATGTAACATGCGCTGTGTATTCTGCCAGAATTACGACATCGCCCACCAACGGAACGGCTTCGATCTCACGCCCGAGCAGCTCGCTGAGTGGTATATCAAGTTGCAGGATGTCGGCAAGGTGCACAACATCAACCTGGTTACTCCCGAACATGTGGTCCCGCAGGTCGTGCTCTCGATATTACACGCCCGCGACTTGGGTCTTCGGCTGCCTATAATCTACAACACTTCGGCGTTCGACTCGCTCGAGAGCATCAAGTTGCTTGATGGCCTCATCGACATCTACTTGCCCGACTTCAAGGTGTGGAAGGATAGCACAAGCAAGCGGCTGCTGAAGGCAGACAACTACACGGCAACGGCTATGGAGAGCATCAAGGCGATGCATGCACAAGTTGGCGACCTCTGTTTCACGTCAGACGGGATCGCTAAGAAGGGAGTGTTGGTGAGACATCTTGTTATGCCTGGACACGAAGACGAGGGCAAGGAGATTGTCCGCTGGCTTGCAGAGAATGTGTCTAAGGACTTGGTGGTGCATATCATGGAACAATACTTTCCCCGCGCCTATGTAGGCAGGCCTCAACGAAGTAGCTCGGGAGAGGCCGTCGACCCTGAAGCCCCGCGGCGGTACGAGGAGATAAATCGCCCTGTCGATCTCAAAGAAGTAGCAAGCGTACGAGCCGCGGCGGAGGAAGCCGGATTGCAGAGGTTTGTTGAGGCAGCGCGCCACGGAGGATTCAACATTTGATCTGGCTCTACCAGGCTGATCACTTGCACCTCGCTCCTGCCCCCTCCGGTTCGCCGGTTTCGCGTACACCATGCGCCGTCCCTTTTGCGCCCACCTAACGCTGCATGTGCACCTGACAGCTCATGTATCCACATATACGAATCGGAGCACTGTCAGCTTTCGACGTCGCTCGCGAGGAGGATCCTAGATGAAGGCAGCCCTCACGAGCTTCAAGATTGAACTTGACATAAATTACTATAGGAGGCCTATTTTGAACCTCTGCGTGCTATTTTAAGTGCTTCTAGCAGTCCAACAATGAGCTGCGCAAGCCTTGGCACAATTCACTCGCTTTCCGCTTTGTTCCCCATCTACCGTTCTTTGTGCGGTTTTGCCGCCGAATCTGTATCCTAGGAAACCCGCGAAGCTGCGAACGGACAAAGAGATAGGTCGGCAAAGTATATGCTAGTGAAGATGCCGACAAATCTCTCTGTAATGCCAACATCACCGTCCATCACACAGCAGAATGTCGGTAGACGACGCAGCAAAGAACGATCCCGAGAAACACGATGACACAGGGTCCGATCGCGATTCTCCCCCGTCGATTGACGAGGACCTAGCTGATAGAGCGAGAGTAGGTGGGCCCCGCTTTGATGCATCCCAAGAGTTCGTACTAACAGCAGGCAGAGGAAACAGGCCTCTCGCAGCACGTCGCAAACGCGCCTGTCGAATTCGAGTCCACAAGTTAAACGGAACACAGGTCTCTTGTCGCCCAGACTCAGCCCTCAGCGTTCAGCGTCTCCCAATGGGTCCCGGAAAATGACTTCACCACGACCACGACCAGGTCGTCTCGGACAAGAATGTGCGAACTTCCTCAGGCCACGCGAGGTCACAGTCCAAAGGGATTTGCCGGAACCAGGCCGCCTTTCTGAGGAAGTGAGAGTGCCTTATATGGGCCCGCTCAGCATCGATACAAGTGTTTTCAAGAGAACACCAAAGTGCTGGGGGCACAGGATTGCGAAGAGTGGCAAAACTTGTGCGCAGTCTGAACCAGGAAGTCCTGTCAAAACTTCAAGCTCAGACGGCCCGAATGGCCAAAGAAAGGTGCGCCGAAAGAGTGAGCGACCGGCTTCCGGGCAGGATTTTCGATCACACTGGGAGTCCCCCTATGGTGAACTTGATCACCCTGTCACTCCTATGACACCACCTAGCTCCGACTGCGGTGATGGTCAATCGGAAGGGGAAACAAGTAATTCACTAGATCTGATGGAACCAATCTATCGTAACGATAGTGGTGTTGCGGAGCATCCATCGGCCGAAAGTTTCTCAGACCTTGTGGGCTCAGAATCGGACGACGCTACTGAATCCACACAACAAACCGAAGAATCGCTGATTCACACTCGCAAACCTTCACAATGTCATTCGATGTCAGAAGATTCGTATGCAAGGGACTTACGGCTCCGTCCAACCTCTCAAGCCAGTTCCATGGGTCACACTGATAGCATCCTTCCTTTGCATATGTCTCCATTTGACTATGCCATCGCTCCGTATCTCCAGAACGTCAGGAGTTCCGGCGAATCTTATATTCGAAATCTTCCCTCACCTACGGAGCCATCTACTCCCTCCGTCAATCGCTCTTTTGTCGATGATGACGACGACTCCATAGCGGAGTTCTCTCATCGCAACGAACAACTATATCCACACCCAGATAGAGACCCATACCCAGATCCTCAGCTTGAACTCTTTCTGCTGAACATGAGCGCAGCGATGCGCTCACGGTACATCAACCTACGGACGGTATTGAGCCGTTGCACCATGCTCGCTTCCTGCCGTGTGGACCGTTCGTCAAAGTACTCAGCCCCTCCCATCACTAACTTCCACCTGCTCAGTCGACTTGCTCGAAGGCATGCTCTACCGATAGCGAAGAATCTCGAGTTGGAAGGCTTTCAGGCCTTATGCCACTACTGGATTGGCCGCGGAGAAGCGGGGCTTAGAAATTGGGATGCAGCAGAAGCAGCGTTCGAAGAGGCTCTCAAACTGCAAATAACGACACGCACCGATTTCCGACCCAGAGCTCAAGGGCGAGACGCTCAGACTTGGCTGGTCCGGATACGGAAACAAATCTCCATGGTGGCAATAGTCGACGAAGACAAGAGTGTGACAGACGTCCTTGAACGCTATGACCATTACTGGGAGGCCGTGGAGGAAGGGGATCGCGTGGATGTGGAAGCTTCTCGGGATCAGATCCCCACCGCCTGGGTGCCGGACGAATTACTTGACCATGGCGAGTTCACAGCCAAAGATCTGGCATATGTGAAGCATAGCTCTTACGAGAATGACGAGGCCGTGAAGGGGCTTGAAGCGGTCATTGCGGAGAATCAGTGGAAGATTTCGCAGAAGAAGATGGATTATTGGGTTTCGTTGTGGGAAGAAACACAGTGCTGTTGAGATTCCATTACATTCCGATTGTTGAAAAGAAGGAAAACATACCCTTCGATCTCGCACTCGTATAGCGCATAACTCTGATATAGTGCGAGCGGGAGCTTCCTAGGAAACTTCTATTTACTTCATATATGCATATCTCCAATCGTTAGTTACCGTTTCATAGCGCTGCATACCTCTGTCCAGCCTTAATGCTGCTCCTAGATGTGCGAGCCTCGTTCTTCTACCCCAACGTTGGCGCTTTGTTCGCCCCATGCAACAATTCTTGTGCGCAACTCCTCTTGTTTCAATCCTTTGTTTCTTGCTTCATTGTTTCGTTCCAATTTCTTTGACCTTCTATTTGTCTTACACAGAACAATCTTTCTTGTCCGTCTGGCACCCTCGGAGGAAACGTACATTCAAACCCCATTCAAATGTCCTAATATTAAGACCACAGTCTGCAGGCGGTCATAGAACCTCCCACTACTGTGCTGCGCAGTTTTTTGGACTTCTCTGCATCATTCTTGATAGCCGGGAAACCGTCTATGGCAATCATCTTTCAATCATCCTTTCACTGAAACGCATCTCGCCCAGAGCTTGGCCAGATCCTTTGCAGCTTAGGAATACTCTCTTAATCAGTTATCCTGAACCCTTAATTACGTCACCATTTCGACTGACCCTAAATCCAGCTACCTCAAACTTTCAGGCACCTTTCACCAACCGACTTCACACAACCTTTCACTTTCACCACAATCTCGCTTAAGGAGGCCGCGATCTTAGGTCCTTCTATTTTCTACCTGCCTGTCGAGTTGGTCCTATTCCTCTCCAACTTGACCAACACTCAACATCGTCAACTCCCCTCTTTTGCGCCATCCACTTTTCTGAGCATCCACTTGTCTGCACCCGGTTTCGTCCCCTCGTGCCACCGCCATGGCATCGAACAACTTCTTAACTTGGACCCATGATGCCGATGATGCTGCTGCTGCCGCTTCCCTTGTTGTCCAAGCGCAGCCATCCGCTGTCAGCCAGATCGCGGATACACTTGTTGCAAGCTTATACGAGCACTCTGATACAGTAGCGGCCGGGATTGGTGGTACCTTGGCGATGATCTGCGCGTTTTTTATCCTACGCTATATGCATCCCAATGTCAACAATGCAGAGGTAAGTGTTCTTCTTCCCCACTTGCTTGAGGCCATCACTAACGTTGCTCAGATCATAACTACCAACAGTCAGAACATTTCCCAGCGACGCGGACATAGTTTCCTGGATCATGGCTATAACGCATATTGCACTGTATCGCAATCTCCAAGTGACTTTGGCCTCGTCGTTCAGCAGTATCTTCAAGAAATCCAGGCTGCAGAGCAGCGCGCTGCCAGGATCCAGAGCCGCCCACTCTACCTGCTCGGCAACAACCTATACTGCACCGAGTCAACATCACCGTCAGGTTACGACTACATTGTCCTCCAGCATTTGGAGCAGATTCGCGCTGCCGAAGAGCTTGCCGAAGCAGCTCAGCGATCCGGCGGACTTCCCGCGGATGTGCCCGCCCAAACTACGCATGACCCAGTTTCCTTAGCCGGCCTGCAGCGCAAAGTTTCTACCGGCTCAATCGCTGTTAACTCCACTACGCAATCATGGTCATTGTTTGACGCTATTTCGGACCGCGACGGTACGATTGACCTGGGCAGTGTTTTCCTCTGCTTGGTTTGCCTCTACATCGGCTGAGCCCAGATGTTCATCATGCCTAATATGAGGCTCGGGCGTCGTAGAGACTTTCCCCGTCTCGATATCTATGATCCAATCGCCTTCCTTAGGCCATACTTACATCGCTGGAAGCAATACCTCAACGCCTGGATCGTACGGGATCTCGGACCCGAGCTTGTAGACACCCTCAAACCGCAGATCCTAGAAATGCTGAAGCAAGGGCAGATCGTGGATGAACTGGTGCTGGTCATGATCCCGCTCTTGAAGCCTGAAATCACCACTGAGCTTGATCAATCTTCCTTGGACGCGCTCAAGAACGAATTGAAGCCATTCATCGAAAGCCCCATTGTCTCATTCGCCAAAGGGAAAGCTCGAGCCCCAGTACCCAAGATAGAAGGGGAACCCACCGACGACACCTGGGCCGAAGCTTTTGACCTCGGTAGGATTCTGGGTGATTCGTTGCTATCTGCACTCCCGGAAGATGTGACACCGATTGCGGAAAGCAGAATGGCTACGCTGGAGGCTCTTCTCCGGGACGTCGTTGAATCGCTCAAGGAACGCGTTCAGATGGCGGAGTGGAAGACGGACCAAATCCCAGTTCTGAAATTACAGATCGAGGAGATACTTGCGAATATTGGCCAGGGCTCCCTACATCAACAGCGGTCGCTCTCACAGCCTCACTTCTACCAGCACCGCGTGCTTCAGGATCCCAGTTGGGTGCAACCGGGTCGTATGCTATCGTCTCTGAGAGCGGACCTAGCAAAGGTTATGCTTCCAAGTTGGAACCAGGGATTATCACACAGGCCGCTTCCGGCTCTGGCCTTCAACCAACCACCCAGCTCGCTCCTGACGTCCAGCTTGACAACTGCGTCTTAGAAAGCCACGATCGTCGGCTGACGGACCTCGAAGGGGCCCTGCACGTCGTGGCTCAACATATCCGCGAGACCTTGTTCGATAATCCCAATCTCGCAAACAACGTTGACAGTCTGGTCAAGGATTGTCCTGACGACGACGTCAAGGTTATTCAAGCATTTATTCAGACAATGTTCTCCGCTTCTACTGGTAGCCAGTCTGTCATAGAAACCAATCATCCTTCGCCAGCGTCTAAAAGCAAGCTCTCGCCTCTCTCGCCGTCTGTCAGCGACGGTTCACATTTGTCTGATTTGTCCAATTTGTCCGATTTCCTGGGGGAGCCAATCGCATCCCCTTCAAAGCAGCGTCGCCGTAACTCCTTATCATGCTTATCTTCGCTCGGATTCTCGGAGACGGGATCCCTTCACGAGAGAGAGAGTGGAAACGATGCCGACGAGGAGTTTAATCTGTTTGACGATTCCATATTGTGAATGAAAGAAAGGGAAAAACGGTAAAGGTCTGGTCTTGGACTGGGGAAGGAGTTGGGGACAAAGAAGCGCCAACCGCGGAGAAGTACAAGAAATGCCTCCCCGATGGAGAAGACCGCCTTCATATTGTTGAGAGCCTTGACAGACTACTTACCAAGAATGATACCCCCACTTTGGAGGAACACATGGGATAGTTACTCTCTTGGTTTGTTGATTGTTTTCAATGAGTAGATAGAGTAGGTAGATATGTCGTATTGGGACGGTAAATCTGATGTAATTGTCGTGCCAGTCGTTCCAGTTCGCAATTTGGATGTTAAGTGCAACTTTTGGGAGAACACTCCCCTCATGAGGCGTAGCGAACAAAAATGGGTCTTGCGTTTCTGATGATGCTTATACGAACGAACCTACCCAACTCGATGATCGTAAAAACGGCTTTTGAAACGAAATATGGCGCTTCTGGATGGATACGTGCGCAATGAAGCTGATTTCATTCACGATTGATAGTTTGGATCTACTTCCAGCTACTTGATTGAAACAAGTCTCTAGAAAGCCAAACTCCTTTGCGATCACTCGCATCCTGTGGCTACACAATAAGTACTCCGTAGACATGTGCGGTATTTCCTCCTCTCATGTTATAGGTTTGCGGAGGGAGTAAGCTTACTAAGACCCAACACCGTGGAGGCATCAGATTAACGGAGTTAAAACGCCAGGCTTTTGGCCCCAGATGGATCGAATTTTATTTCTTCCCAATGGTTGGATAGACTGCGAGAAATTCCTTTTCATAGGCGAATGGCTACTTGTTAGCTTTAGTCTCTACCCGTTTGGGCAAGGCGTCATGATTGAGCATATACGGGACAAACTGTGGGACGGGCCACGCTTACCGTGCTGACTCAGGCAACGCCCAACATCACCCTGCGTCCATTTTAGCGATGTTTGCCACCCACTTTATGAAGCTCTACAGCACAATATATATGTTGTAGATGCTACATTTTTTGCAGGAGTAAATAAGAAAGCTTGACAATTCAGTTACAATAAATAAATTATGTGCAATAGCGTTGTGGGGGGAGAATTTTGCGGGTGCGTGTCTCCCTAGCCACTACATCATCCGTACACACTACATCTTCTCCAACAGCCTTAGGGGTTGTAGTAGATTCCAAAAGTAAAGGCATTCTTTTATTACACCTACTGCCCTTCTTAGGAGTTTGTAGGTCCTGGCGGAGCTGTTTTTCGAGTTGTTTTTGGATACGGGCCTCCTCACGCTCAATCGCCTTCACCTTCTGCTGTTGAAGGCGGATTTCTTTAGCTGCTATCCGTAGTCGTGCACGCTCTTCCTGTAGTACCTTTTTCTCCTGTTTCTTCTGCTCCTTAAGGCGTTGTTCTTCTGACTTTTGAAGCTGTAGAGCCTTCTCATCAGCATCCTTTTGTGCCTGCCTCTCACGGGCATCCTGAACCTTCGTTGGTGACCAAAATACAGCACCACCATGCCAATCCTCTGGCGCTTTAAGTAGGAGGGCTTTGCCACGCTGGCGACGCTTCTTCTCATTAAGAAGAGCCTCTTGCAAACGCTCATTTTCATGCTGTAGTATCTGCTTTTGGGCAGAGATTGCATGGATAGTATGAGAGAGTTGATGCACATGCCGGTCATGGAGATCCTCTACTACTTCCCGTAGTAAGCGCTCAATTTTTCTCCAATCTGAAGCTGAGAGCACTGACGAGCTACTCTTACTTGAGGAAGGCCTTTCTTCGACTTTATTAA